ACCCGTCAAAATATCCTCTGTGATAGAGCCGTAGATCCAACCCAGCTACAATTAGGATATACAAAAGTTTCTTACAATGGCCAGCTTCTAAATCACAAATAAGAAGGTGCTGATTCAGTATTATTACCTCAGTTCCCCACTCAGTCTTATCTTCATAACCACAGCTTATGACATGGATTGCCTCCTTAAGAAGCACTGCAGGACTTGATGACGGAGGAACGCCACCTTCTTCCATCAAAGTTGAGGTTACAAAGATGGATGATTGCCCAAACTTTTTCTCAAAGTTCATTTCAGACATCAAATGCTCCTTATCACCTTCTGCTCCTACCAAAAAACACTATCAGATCTGCAAGATTCCAACATAAAACTAAATCTACTTCAAGATACGGCGTAATGTTATAAGGTTGTTGGGATAATTTACCTCCAAGGGCTGCTACGTCACCATTCATGTCATTCTTGGAAAACTTATTCTTTCTCCGGCGCCCAAAGCAAGGACAACAACCACAGCTAATCATCTTTGGACGTTTAGGACCCTTTGGTGGTTCATAACCATACAGAGCTTGTCGTTTGAAAACACAACCAGTACCAACATAAACTGGACCTTGGATTCCATCTAGACCTTTCATATTGATCTGTAGCAAACAAGAGTGTAAGCAAAAGGGTATATTTATCTCATAGACCAAAAGTTAAAGAAATATGGATTTTATCTTACATCAAAGAAGACTGTGTTTCTGTTGGCGTAACGATCGTTCGTGTCAATACCGTCGAACCTTTGAGGGAACTGAACATAGCAGACCTTCTTTCCAATCTGAGGATCCATCAAAAAACACATTGCTTCCCTCACGGCCTTGCTGTTGTTCACATAGTGATCACAGTCCAAGTTCAGCATGAAAGGAGCATTTGTGAGTACGCCTGCCACTCGAACCTGACAGAAGTATCATGTTAGGTCCAAGACACAGAGATCAGTTTCTCATTTGGTCCAAGGCAGATCAAGAAAATTACCAGGGCGTTCATGGCACCAGCTTTCTTATGGTGCTGAAAACCAGGACGCTTCTCACGGGACACGTAGACAAGCCGAGGAAGTTCGTGGCCTTCGACATCAAATCCTCCGCTGTGGCCGAGGAAGACTTGGATCATACCGGGGTGGTCCTTGGTGTTGTTCCCTGGCCATGGTGTTCCATCTTGCATGATCCAACCTTCTAGAGGAACCTTTGAGGCCTTAGCCACGAGAGCATTGATCCTGACCTTGAACTCCTCATATTCTCTCTGCCATAAGTCAATTTCACTTATGAAGTTTAGATTATAGTGAAAAGCTGTGTGGTGGTATAATTAGATCAGGTGATATACACTGACCTTCATGGCTCGACGTTCCTTAACAAACGTTGGGTGGACTTTGTCCTGGAGATAATCAATTTTCAACGCGAAGTACATCTCTGGTGCCCGTGGCTCTATGGAGAATTTCTTACAGAAGGGAACCCATTTTCTTGCAAACTCGGCAGTTTCCGAGAGAGATTCGAATGTGAGCATTGAAGCACCATCGTCAGAGACATAGCAGGAGATTTTCTCAACTGGGTAGTCCATGGCCAAGATTGAAAGCACAGTGTTGGATGTGACGAGGGGAGGTTCCTTCAGCGGGTCTACCGTACTGACAAAGACATCTACAGGGGCAAGCATATTTGGTTCACATTCTCTCTCGTACCTGTATAAACAAAAAGATATTTATATCCAAACTCCAACTCATAGATTTTAAGACTCCTACTTGAGAATATGTGGATTTTACCTGAGGGAAAGCCGATCTAGATAGGTCTCACGTTCAATGGGGAACCACTTGGGAAACTGATCAAGAATCCAAGAGACAGCGAACCAGATTTCACAGATCACAGAGGTCAGCCATAACCCCAGAGCATCATGCACTGGGTTCAAGAGCCTATACCGTAGAAAAACTGCTAGAATCACAAGCCTAGCCACGATGACCATCCGATATGGATTGATCTTGCTTGAGGCAATGGGCACTTTCCGCGAGAGTGGCTGCCGTGCTTCGTCAATCCTGCAACCATTTCCAATTCCAGAAGTTTGTAAGCATGAATCCAAATCATATAAAACTAATATCTCAGACATATGTTTGTGAAGGCATTACAGTCCCATCTCAGGATCATCATCTGGTTCTGGCCCAAGATTCCCATGCTGGAGCTTCCAGTCATCCATTCTTTCCCGCCATCCTCCCTCACTCCCTACCACATTAAAATTACACACAGAAACAAACAGGAAAAGTAAAGTATTGTTAGAAAACTCTACATCAGTTGTTTTCACTTGTATTAATTCCATTTTATATGTGCGTGAGATTCGCTAAAAGAAGCAGCCATTTCTAAAACAAGGTTCTGCTGATGAAATTCATATAACAATGTAAGAACCCCAAAGTCCATGTTTATAAAACTATGTCCCTGTCTACTACCAAGCTGGAAGGCCTCATACTTATGATTTTTGCCCATATTGAAATATGCATGACCCTAATCATCACTAAGAGACGTCCTTAACTTTATATGTAAGTTAACATTTCCATGAGACTCACCAGCTTCAGATGATGGATATGGGTGGACACGCTTATGAAGCCCATGTTCTCCATTCCCATAGCCTCCTCCAACAGGGAATTCTCCACTATGACCACCAGCTATAACAGGTGGGAATCTCCCGTTCTCATCATCCTCAGGACCTCTTCCATAGCTCATTTTCCCATAAAGCATAGCCTCAGCAGAATGCTTCTGCTTATCATGTTCATGTTCGATATTAAACTCATACTCAATATCATCAATATCTTCTTCATCCTCATCTCCCTCCACACGTGGGCTTCCTTCAGAAACCAAAAAAAAAACAGATCATTCTCCGAGTTCAAACTAAAAAGAAACAGCCTTTATTTAACTTTCATTGAGGCATTTCGTCGAACAACATAAGAGCGGAGGGAGATTAATAAAATAATTACCTCTGAGACGCTTGTAACGAGTCTTACACTGAGGACAGTTCTGTGTTCCTTCTCTTCTCTCGTACTCATAGCAAGGCCTACACGCCGGAAAACCACACTCGTTGCAAGCTACGAAGAGGTCTCCGTCTACTGTCAAACCAATCTGATCTCCACATATCTCACAGAATTGTCCATCTAAATTCTTTAGAGGCTTTGGCTGTTATAATATTCCACAAAAGTTTCAGTTCGTTAAAAGACCAAAGATTGAAGTAACTTTCTTTTTTTTTTTACAGCGATTTAAGTGGTTAAACCTGCAGCTCAATATAATATTAGTAACAAACTTACAAAAGTGTTATGTTGGTAATAATGAAAAGTATGATTTTTCTATAAAATTGTTGCAAATCATAGCATACAGATTATAAATTTTTCATAATCCGGAAAAAAAATGATATATTCCCCAAATATTCGAGTTTTTAAAAATTAATAACGAAACAAATCAAGAAAATGCAGTAATATTTTTACTAGTGAATTGATAAAAAAAAAAAAACTTTGGTAGTCATGAGAAAAAATGGGTTAAGTAATATGAAAAACCTCTTCATGGTTGTGAATGACGACAAGTTCGTTACGGTTATGAGAACCGGCGACAAGACCGGCGCTGGCTTCCATAGCAACGGCCGGAGATTAGCAGTGATCGTGAGAGACAATAATTCATCAATGAGAGACGGTCAAATTTGGTTTTTATGAATGAAAGCTATAATTTCTCTCTCTGTATGGTACATAAGTTTGTTGTAGAGTCTCCATTGCCTTCACGCTAAGCTTTCGTTTTTTTATTATTTCTTTTATTTTTAGTAAAATTTTCTGCAACTGCAACAAACTCTCACTCACATCCATCAGCTGATATGTCTTTCTTTCATCGTCGCGGTTTCCTCAAGCTTCTCTTTTTGTCCTTTGCCTGTCTCTCTCGTTTTACTTACTGCCCTAATCTCATTCCTTCTATTTTCATTTTACCAATTATATGATTTTTAAAAATATACTTCCTCCATTCTTGCAGTTATACTTTAAAAATATACTCTTTCCGTTTCAGTTTAGTTGTCGTTTTAGGATTTAAATTTTGTTTCATAATAGTTGTCGTTTTAGGTTTTCAATGCAAATGTTTGGTGAAAATTCTAGTTTTATCTCTACTGTTTTAATGTTTTGGCCAATGAATTTTTTTATAAAATATATTAACAAAAGTAAAACAGAAAATTTAATGTTTTTCTTAATTTGTGTGAAAGAACCTTAAACGACAATTAAAACGAAACGGAGGGAGTAATAATTATCTTATTATATAAAGTGATAGGCCAAAATACTATATTTTGAATTAAAATTAGTTAAGGGGTTAAGGTTTGGTGAGAGGAGTGCAAGCCAAGTTACGTTCCCTGTCCTTAATTAGGTGAATTTTCTGCATACATAAGCTAAAGAGAATCTAAAGATCATTCATATATGCCTTTGAGCTTCTTCATCAGCCTTTCTTGTCCATTCGGTTTCCATGACAATTCCTCTGCGCCAGCCCTTTATTTGAGTCTGCCGGTAACGGTCTAATTCATGGGCTTGGCAGGTTTAGAAGCGAAACGGGCCGAGCTTTGACTAGCCATGATTATTTTCAAATACAAGAGGGATGGATAGTCTATCGGCGATCCAAACCAACACAACCCAATTAACACACAAGTCAATCTTGGGGCCATCATAGGCCTGAGCAGGGCCACGACAGCGACCCACCACAAATCTTGGACACCTATGTACTCTAGTAGTTTGTGTTAGTGTGTTACTACGTCGCTGTCTGAATTCGAATGAAGCATAATGCATAATTGCATACTAGTTGAAAGGGAAAAAACATTATAGATTTGAATCAAGGCACAAACTTGACAAATAGATCTTTTTGGCATCATTATATTGCTTCTCTTTATCACATTTTCTTGTGGCAATGTTGCAGATAAATCAAAATCAAAATGTACGAAGAAGAATCAAGTGGGCAGCTATTGGAATTCAATTTTGGCACGGATCATTATTAACATTTTTTTTTTGGTAGAACGGATCATTTTTAACATTGAAACCAGAATTTTGAGTCTCTTGCACTATAATTCCAAAAATTAAAAAAAAACTTATGATATTGCAGACTACAATTTTTTAGTGATACGGTACTAAATTAGACTAGACTAATAGTATATAAGAAAATTAAATGATCCTTAATCTGAAAATTTTATCCAAATAATCAAAACTATGAAAACAGTTATAAGAAACTTACCCAAAAAAGGAAAAAAAAAAAAACAGAATCAAACTGTTCACAACACACAAAGCAAACAACTAAAGATCTTTTACTTATTTTTCTAAGCGTCGTTCCAAACTGTAAACGTTGAAGCCCCTTCTCCACCGCCTTCACCATGAAAGTACATGTTAGAGCTAACGTTATTCGAAATCGCCACCGGAAAATCTCCTCCCGGAGAATGCTGAATCTGCTGTTGTTGCTGCTGCTGAGCATAATAATAACGATTTCTTGCGTTGTAAGCAATCTCAGCAGCAGTGAAGACATCACAATTAACCGATGTTCCAACAGGGATTGCAAATCCTTGATAACCACCATAACTAACGACATTTCCACAAACGGTAACCGAATCATCAGAAGTCGAGATATGATGATCGACATTAGTCATGAGGCTCGGCGAGTTGCTCAAGAAGTGTTGTTGTTCCTCCTCTTGTTTGAAACAAACCCTACTACTCTCGGTAGACAAGTTTCTTCCATTGTAATAACCAACGTACCTCTCCTGCTGTTGCTGCAATAAGTTCAAATCCACTCCCTGGTTATGCTGAAACGCAGCGTTTTGCCAACCACTAGCATTATTTCCACTCTCTGAAACGTTATTACTAATCATCATACTTGGAACCGGATTGTTAACGTCCTTGAGACGTTTTGCAGAACTACCAATAGGTAGACTCGGGCTCTCGAGGATTGCTTTAACATTGTATCTGCTCATATCAAAGTTAGTCACTGCACTTAATCCTCTGAATTTAATGGCTGCAATGTCATAAGCTTCTGCAGCCTCTTCTTGTGTGCCTACATAATTTGTATAATTCACTTAGATATATATCCCTATTTAATATCTATGGTTTATAGTTTTTATTTTTATTAAAGTCATGGTTTAGAGATTTGATAGAAAAGTGTACGTACCGAAAGTTCCCAAGTAGAGGTCTTTGTTACCGGCGACTCTTCCGATCCTAGCTTGCCACCTTCCATGTTGGTGATGCCTTTTGGACCCATTAAAGGAAATATTAATTAAATTAATTGTATTGTAGTATAACAATTATTATAGATGGATTAAAAAATTGTATTGGTTCCATTTATAGATGGATTATACGTACCTTGTTACTCCTCGATAAATCGATGCACCACGAGAGAAACCACTACTTTTCCTGCATATTTAAATGTTTATTATATATTCCATATAATGATTTATTCAATGTTAAGAAATATTAATAAATATATACGTGATGGGTTTCAGTCATATAATAGAATTATATGAAATATGTAAAATGCAATAAATTCAAGAGTTCCATTATATACCTGCGGAGAGAGGCAACATACTCTTGCCTCGTCATGTGCTTCATCTCTTCTACCTCTTTCTCATATTCACTCATCTGAATATTATATCCAACCAACATTACTAATTTATTATGGTAAATGTAACGATATAAACATGACAATCAAAAGTAAGATAATAGTTTTTAAACAAGTATTAATCAATCAGAAAGAAAAAAGAATAAAATTAGTTAGAAGTTAGGCATATATGTATAATTGATTAATTAACTTACGGGGAAGTTAGTAGTAGTAGTGGTTCCCCAATACTTTAGTGCGGCTAAATCGTAAGCCCTAGCTGCTTTTTCTTCTTTATCATAACCTCCTACATGATAAGATAACAAAACAATTATATTTTGCTTAGTATAGATTTACTAGTCATATATTATTAATTTATAGCTTATAATCAAGAACTTACCCAAATAAACTGAAAAGAGAGTCATCAGGTGCAAATATATATAGAAACACGTGGAAAAGAAAACCAAAATTAGTTGGTAAGTAAAATGGTATATGAAAAATATCAAATTAATTGAAATATATATATACCTTGTCTTCCTTTGCGAGTCTGGCCTTCTCTTTTGCAACTATTATCCCATAAATGTGCCTCGTATCTTCCTGTCCACCGATGCCTGAACATTAAATTCAAAACATTATATGATTAAGAGTATATACCATATACGTACGTATTATTGTATATATAAACGAACCCATGTCAACTAATTAATGTCTCTCTTAAATATACATCGAGGGACATTCCGTTGCACTCTCTCAACCGAACCATTAGAATGTCCCAAACTTTACCAAGAGCCATTTTAACACAATAAACAAAAATATATAGATGAAGGAAACCTTGTAACACCGCGGTATATAGACGTTCTTTGTCCAAAACTCTCAATAGTTTTCTTTGGTGTCGCTTCTACGACATCAACAATAGTATTCTCTTGGGCAACATCATTATTGTTGTTGTAGTTGTTGCTATCACAGGTAGTAGATGAATTCATAGAGAGTGACAAGCCTCGTGCACCGTTACCATTGTCTTGATAATTAACATTAGCCACCGGATGGTTACTCAGCCATGTTTTTATCATCGAAAGGCCTAGTGAGCCACCACCACCGTCTCTACCTCCAGGTCCTTCACAGCTGCCACTTCCATCTCCAACGTTCTTGTTGGTATTGTAGATCGTGGTATTGCGGCCGAGAAAATTCTCCAGCTTTGGTCCATTTTGTTCATTATTGTGGATGTTACTGCATGCACCACTATTGATGTCCCAATCTATAAACAAAAAAGCAAAGAGATCCCCAACGTTGGGTTTGATTTATCACCGATCTATAATATACGAAATGGAATTTTGATTTTATGGACAAAAGGATACAAAATAAAAATATATATACACATATATGTGATCATATATAATTATGATTTTGAATAATGGTGAATATATATATGTCTAGTTTCATATTTGACTAAGTTTCAATTCATGAGATGTGAACAAACACTAAACCCCACTCATGGAAATTCTCAAAAGAGATGAAATCGATAAATAAGCAAAAACAAAATAGGGCTACGTGCGTGAGTCTTGGTCTTTGTTCTATGCATTGGAAGAAGGGGAAAAAATTAACAAAAACAAAAAATAAATAACTATTTTTAAAACAAAAACCTCGGGAGTGACTATTGTTGTCTCTGGTGAAAGCTTCGAGGACGACACCAAAAGGAGAAGCAAAAGATGTTTGAACGGCAGAAGACTCATCGGAGGCAGCGGCCAGATCAAAACAGTACTCTCCGGCAACATCTACGGCGGTTGTGGTGGTGGAGGACTCAACATCGGTACGGTGGTGATTTTGATCATGAGGAGAGAGAGAGAAACCTAACCAGTTATTCATCGAGTTCATATAGTAATCAAATAACTAGCTCCTTGTGAGAGATTAGAGAAGAAGAAGAAAGAAGATAAACTTAGTTAGGGTTCATGCATGAAGAGGAGAAAGAAAAAGGTTTTGGTGTTAAATGAAGAGAGAAGAAGAAGAAGAAGAAAAGTCAAAAATATAATGTTCATTTCTTCCAAGGCGACATATTATGCGCATTTAGAGAATTTTGCAATTAAATTCAGAAAGAAAAAAGAAAATATTTACTTGAAAAATGTGGAGATGTATTGGTCGGTTTGAAGGGTAGGGGCACAATAATAATTTCAAGTGGATAATCTCTTAATTACACTTTAATTAATCAGTCAAAAACCATTTCAAATCTCTCTCTCTTCATGCGTATAAAATTAACTAATGTAAAGGACAAAAAAGGGTAAACACGAGGACCAATAGTAAAGTCCAAAAAACCACTCGCTGTCGATTTAAGACTAATGATGCTGTGTCTCTTAGAGACATATGACACGAACCAGCGAATGCGTTTTGGCGTTTTTTTTCTTTCAAACACGAACTCGTCATTTTTAGTATTTTCCAACAAACCCTAAGATTCATGGTTTCGTTGTTGTAATATTTTGAAGTGTGGGACTAAGAGATGCTTCCGTTAAGAAATTCATGGTTTGTGTGATATTCATGGTTTCGTGCTTAGTCATTTTTAGTATTCTCCAACAATCTTAAGCAAAAAGTATTGCCACGTTAAAAATATTAAATGAATTTTAGAATAATTTGACATGCAAATATATTGTGAAATTATATTCTTAACTATATATTTACAAGTTTATCAAAAAAAAAAAAAAAATTCCTAACTATTTGAAGTATAGACTATAGCGGCTATAGTTAAACCAATAAAAACGTCTCAAAATTTTTAAAACAAATCTTCTTCGATCCTCCAACGTATAAAACGAAAGAAGTGAATGACTAGTAGGGATGCTAGTCGCTAGAGATGTACATGCTAAGCAACCGTAGTAAAGTAGTTGAGCTTATCCGACTAATTGTATCAAATTAAAAAATGATTTAGGGGAATTAGAGTAATTAGGGAGGACAATGTAGGGTATACACATGGATCAATGAGACGAAGGTGAGCATGTGCATGGGTTTATAATCTTTCAAAGATTTATACATTTTTAAAAAATTTGGACTTTCTTTGGTAAGATACGATTCAATGGATTGTCTTTCTATTTAATTGTAATATAATTTCACTTCCTCCATTATTATGCCTGCAATATCTAACACACAACCAACACACGTTCTAGAATTGCCTCGTACCTACAAAATCATATTATTTTTTCCTAACAATTTGTTCATATCTGCTTTATATATATACCCCAAAACCTTTGGTACCAATTATTTCATTACCTCAATACCAATTAGTAGATCTAGGAATTAAAATTCCTTTTACATTTTCGATACACGGTTCAAATTTTCTGACCGCTACCAAAGAAACTTTATTCACTTACTTTATGTTTTGATCCGGGACGATATTTAATCTAGAAAAGCTTGATCAAAAGTTTTGTAAACAGTATTACTTGTCAAAACCATATGTATCAAAATGTTTTTTTTTCAATAACATATGCATCAATTATTATGCTGTGTTTCTTGTAAATACAAAGCTAAGTTTTTTTGGGGGTAATTTATTGAAGTGGGAAACACCTGTGGATTGAGATTCCATCTGAAGATAAAAGGAAACACCTGTAGATGAAGATATCTACAACTGACAAGAGCGTGTGACCAAAAATAGGAAAAGGAAAAAAATCTGGAAGTAAGTAAAAAATCTGAAAAAAGAAAGAAAAGTGGTAAAAAAAACAACAAAAGAAAAAGAAGAGATGAAAATGTTATTAAAATCAGATGGATGAGTTTGAGATATTTGTCAGTATAAATGCTACTGCTGCTGCTCTACCATTCCCCCACCCAATACCTTTTACTTTGCCCATTCATTGTTCATTTGCATGCACATTTTTTACTCATTTTACTAGTATATAGTATATGCATATACACCCATTAGTATATGTCATTGATGGGAGAAATTACTTCTTTGAACATCTTGATCCGGAACTAAGTTGCAAGATAATTTTGTATAACATGTTTTTAGTCGGAAGTATTTTGTCTACTTATATATACCTTCTCGGATATTTATGAGCCAGTCTAGACTCAGTGGTTTTCTTTGCTTTTGTTCTCTTAAAACGTTATTTTGTTTTTATGTAGTATTCTTAATTACACAATAAACCTTATATTTATATCATGCAAGACATTTAGATCAATCTTTATCCAAAAATAAAGACATTTTGATCAATTTGTATGTCGACTAAATCGTATTTAGACTAGTTTATCAAAAAAAATTCGTTAAATCTTTTTTTTAAGCATTTGTCCAATATAATTAGCTAGTCTGCTAGTGTAAACTCTTCTCATGTTTCTTCTTATTAGTAGATAAAGATATACTCTACAACTTTGCTGACAATTAGTAGTTTTTCATTGGTCATAGTATACAATATTTTTTATTTGTTATGTAAAGACGAATGTATGTGGAAATGATGAGGGTCTGCAAGAGTCTGCCTTGCGTACGAAAACCCATATCATTGTCACATTGCAATTGCACCAGCCACGGGCAGTGTCATTGTCATATCATATTATTTATATTTGTGCTCTATTATTCCATATTTTTCAGAGGTCAAACAAATCGACAATATCACTTTTTTATATATATATATATATATATATATATATATATATATATATATATATATATATAAGTGAAAAGCTTTTGGTTCCCCCGGTTAAAGCGGGCGAGTTCTTCAATTTTCACTACACATCACACTGATTCTTTGCATGACTGACATCTCATTTTTCCTTTCCACAACTTTTTCTTTTCGTATCTTAAATTAGTATTTATTGGAAAAGAAAAATCTTAGATTTGTTCAGAGATTCATAATCGATCGAATGGTAAAATTGGCGTGCGATTCACACGGTCCCATGAATGAATTACAAAATATAGTTCTCAATAAAAAAAATGTTATACAAATATGCAACAACAACAAAGAAAAAAAAACACTGAATTGAAAAAGTATGCTATTCACAACTAAAATATAAGGCAAAAAACTTGAAAATACACACGTTTTGGTTTCATGTTCAACCATTGAAAAAAAGAAGAAGAGTGTTTTTTTATTAAAACACAAAACGGGCAGTGCCGGCCCGACATCTGCGAGTGTCCTACGTAAAACTTCAAAAAGTATGCTTTTTTCATATACTACAAAAACCATTAACAAATCATTATCGGATTTGCAGCTTTCTTTTTTAAAACAAATTTGGAAGGAAAAAACAATAAATTCAAAAGCAAAACTAACAATTAACTTCAAAACCTAGGATTTTTCACTTGTAAAATAAGCAAATTGACTCACATACACGCATAAGAGGTATCATATAGCGTCAATTTTTTTTTTTAATTCAATCAGCGTTTTAGAGTTTTTTTTACTAAATCAAAAATTTAGTGTTGAAGATAATTAGTTTGTCTTTAAAAGCCCCTATCATTTTTTTTAAAGGCCCTACAGAATAAATTTATAGCTTTTGCAGCATATCCAAAACTTAACAAATTTTTAGTTTAAAAGGCCCTAAAATTTTGAGGCCCCAATCGTTGGCTTCAGTTGCTTGGCCTCTGCGCCGGCCCTGCGGGTACTAATCAAATACTTTTTCATTTTAAAAACATAGTTTACATAGATGATTATGTTGATCACGATGTCATTCTATTTAACTAAAATAAGATCATTTTTGTGATGTTTACCATTAAAAGGATAAAAATCAAAATGGTTCACTTCATAGATTCCGAAAGAGTAATTATTCATTGCTTTCATGTTTTCTATTCATTTTTTTGCTATGGAACTAATATTGTAGGATCTACTTTTTATAACTCTTAAACTTTATATTGTTTAGTAAAATATTTATATTCTTAGCCAAAAAAAAAAAAAAATCAAAAGAGAAAAAGTTATAGTTTTAGACTTCTATCATTATATGTTCCTTCAAGTGGAGCCAAGAGAGCAACAATGCATTTTTCTACAGATATCATCGTACAACTCCATTTCCGTCCACATACGAATACTCAATAATGAGAATTGAAGAGTCAATATGTACGCTAAAGTGAAGAATCGCAAATCAAAAAACAGTTTTGGCAGCAAAACGAAAGAAAGTGAAAACGATAATTTGAGGCGTTTAAGCCATGGAGAAATAGCTGAATCATACTGTTCAAAAAAGATTAATGTCACTCTCTGTCATAATTGCAACAACAAAAATATGGTAAAATTAAAGCCAAGTACTGTGAGATTTTGTATCGCATCGTTCTCTAGTGATCATCATCGTTTTTCTAATCTCTTAAGCAAAAACTTGGATTCATAACTGCTTTTTATTTTTTTCTTCCTAAATGAATCAAGGTTAATATTTCTCATCCATAAATGTGACTCAATCAACTAAAAGACAATAGAACTAATTTTCTTTTGTCCTGAGTGTTTATCTACTGTTTCAAAACCTTTATAAATAGGATTGGATCTAATGTAATACAACTTCGACACAAAAACAGATAGATTTGAAATACTAATCTAAAGATATACCTAAGATGGATCCGAAAATTGCATAAAGTCCATTTGTCATCATCATAAGGGGCTATAACATGTTTAACATATACTAATATTCAAAGATCACATAATTGATCTTTAATCCATTATGAGTCAAACCACCGGCAAATTGCATGAGTGAAAACATCAGAAACTTTAAACGTTCTTTAAACTCGAATTGAGAATCCTTGAAACGAAATCGATTTTAGTTTATGTAACCGAGCCGCACTGATGGCATTTTTGTAAATATCATCGACTTATTTATAAAGTTATCGCACAAAAACCCCGTTACTTTTAAATTGTAAACATAAACCCTAATGTCGGGAAAAATCTAAAAATTATTTTAACTTGAGGGACCTATAATGACACTGAACCCTAATTACCAAAATCTTTGTACGCCAAAACAACAAAAACCCCTTTTGGTCTCTGTAAATTGTTACGCTTTCGATCAAAAACCCAATCTCTCTGTTCGCAGAGAGGATCAATTCGTGATTCAGAGAATCAAACTTGGTGTGTGTGAGATAACGAAGATGGACGCTATGAGGAAGCAACTCGATGTGCTCATGGGAGCTAACAGAAACGGCGATGTCACGGAGGTCAATCGCAAATACTACGACCGTGATGTTTGCCGTCTTCACCTATCTGGTCTCTGCCCTCACGAGCTTTTCCAATTGACGGTGCGTTTATACATCTTCTTCGATACCCATGTTTTCTTTCTTCTTCAGCTCAATGGCTTTATCTTGGAAAAAACCCTAATTTCAATGAGAGAGAGAGCTTTATGATACATAAAGTTTTAGTATTGGTATGTGTTATGGATAATGTTAAAAATCCTAGCTTGATTTTGCGGGAGGTTGTTGATTTAGGTAACAGTGTGAAATTTATTTGTCGGCTAATTTGGTTTATGAGTAGTCTTTGACATGTTTGTTATTATTATCAGAAAATGGATATGGGTCCTTGCCCAAAGGTGCACTCTTTGCAGCTGAGGAAAGAGTATCCTTTTTAATGAATGTAGAGTCTTCTTCTTAGTATATGCAAGTCTAGAGGCTGTTTTTTTTCTTCTAAAGTTCACACTAGTTATTCAGTAGGATGTTATTTTGCTCCTCTACTGTTTTGCTTTAACTCTTCCTTAGATATAAAGAAGCAAAGGCAAAAGGTGTTGACAACTATGATAGGGAATTGGAAGATGCGATTGATAGGCTTATTGTTGAGTGTGATAGGAAGATTGGTAGGGCTCTTAATCGTCTTCAGGAAGAGGATGCCAAAGCTGCCATTGCAATTTCTGTCACAGAATTTACTCAGGTGATGATCTAACTTCTAATTCGTTGAGTTATTTTTGTGGTTTTTTTCAACTCAAGCTTTTTCCTCATCATTTCATTGTCGTATTGCAGTCGCCTGAAATTCTTGAATTATCGAAGCAAATCAAAGAGAAGATGAAGGAAGCAGACCTGCACGGTAATATAAATGAATATTATAACTTTTTTGGCTACTTAATTGACCACGTTATGCTTGAGGGTTTTTGTTTTATGACTAGAACTTCATTGCAGCTCACATATATTGGAACCTTTTGTGTTTGCACTTTGTAGGCAGTATATTTGCTTTGGTATTTTTGTAGGCATCTTTACAACATCTATAGTAGGCTATCAACTTGGAAGTGTCTCTTGATATATGCTTGCTTCCACGAACAAAATAGTTGCAACTTAACTCAATTTAAGAAGTAAATCTGCCACTTCCTAAATGACTATTTTAGCTGCCCAAGTGGTACGGTATGTTTAGATTTTTCATCTTCTGGAAAATAAAGCTTTCTTGTGGTGTTGCTAGAGATGAGTCTTCACCTTTTTTATAATGGCCTAAATTTGAAAGAAAGCATCTTTCTGTATAATTGGCACTAAATGGCTTAGATGTAAAGCTTCTGCTAATGATTGTTGTGTGATTATTTTTAACATTTAATTAGATCGGGTAATTTTCGAATAACTAGAGTTCTTTACCTTTGATTCCGTAAAACTTTGTATCCTGCTATAATATTCAGAAATGATGTTTTCATATCGCAGATCTTGAAGGCAAAACAGATCTGAAGATTAGAGCTCTTGAGTTAGTTGAAGAGATGAGGACGAAGAGAGCTGACCTACAGGTCTGTTATTATGTACTTTGCTATTTGCTGTGCCTGGTACGTTGTTAACAGTCAAGTCTTTTTTCTTGTTTCCCGACAGGCTGTGCTACTGTTGGATGCCTTCAACAAAGATAGGGCATCCTTGCAACAGCCCGTTCCAGCTCAGCAACCAGCTGCAGCGTTACCTCCTCCCGATCCTCGTACTCAAGAAATGATCAATGAAAAACTAAAGAAAGCAGAAGAGCTTGGTAAGGGGCAAACCTCTAATTCGCATCTGTTTTGTTACATGTGGTGATCTTGAATCGGTAGCTCTTTAAGTTATCGTTGCGGTGGTTACTTGGCCTATTAACTGATTCTTTATGAATGTACAAAACTGAGGTTAGGAAACGTTTGTGATAGGCAATATTAGAAGAAGGCAGATTATGGTTACATACCTACATAAAGGACGTTTGAACTTTTTCAATGTTGGAAACAGCCACTGTACAGTTATGATACCTGTACGTTTATTTCAGGTGAACAAGGGATGGTTGATGAGGCGCAGAAAGCACTAGAAGAAGCGGAAGCTCTTAAGAAGGTTTGTTTTCTTTCGTAAATTAGTGTTTTGTTTGGTTCTTGTTTCCGATTTACTTCATACGTTATAGGATTTGGAGATGTTAATGAAGTCTATTGACACAGGGATCTCTCTTTGTCTTTGTGGTTAAATTGCTTGAATAGTTCTGCATGTTACTTATGTCTCTCCCTACTCACTTATTGTATAATATTTTCCCCTACTTTTATTAGTTCCTAAGAGTGTTGTGCCTGTACATGTTTCAGCTTACTGCTAGGCAAGAACCTGTAGTGGATTCAGCCAAGTACACTGCTGTTGACGTGCGCATTGTAAGTCAAGATCATCATTTATATCACCTTATCTCTGACATGATAATTTATTGAAATTCATTTCTCATTGAAGCTCTCAAGATTCTTAATTCTTAGGTGTTCATCTTATATAGTTTGTTTAGTCTGACGACCATTAGAATTTAAGGAAGAGTCCTACAGTCCTACTCCTAGTATCCAAAAAGAAGTAATGGCTTATAAAGTTTGAGCACAATTATAATTCTTTGGTTTAAGCATGTATTCAGTGTTCTCAATTGTCAAACAGCTTAAATAGAAATTGCTTTTGAAGAGAAGTATATACCATTTTCTCATCTCTGCTCGATGTATCGTCTCTATTTTTTATGTCACTTTGTTGGTTGGTAGCCCTCATTCTCTCTTCTCTTATTGTCTCAGACAGACCAGAAGCTGCGTCTATGTGACATATGCGGAGCATTTTTGAGCGTCTATGACAGGTTAAGTTTGGTTACTTAAATTTTTTTATGCTTTATGGTTCCGTGGCGGTTCAAAAGAAAGCTAGAAATAGATTATTGGGTTGCAAGTGGTTCATTATTTGACCCTGGCTATTGTACCTCCTTTTCACCAGCAGGCTATTTGGGCCCAGTTTTACGAGGATTACTTTTGCAGCTAATAAATGTGCGTTCTTTCTTGATTTATTGTGCCTGTTAGAGATAAATAATGGAACTTTAAACTATATCTTTGTCACCAATCTGTTATTTGCATTTGGCAATGTCAAAAATCTGTTGTACTGCCTTTAGTGATCGTCGGTTAGCTGATCATTTTGGAGGGAAGCTTCATTTGGGTTACATGCTGATCCGCGACAAATTGGCAGAGCTTCAGGTAATAAACAGTAGTATCTTTCTACTGTGATTTTCCTGTTCTCTCTTGATAGAGACTGTATAGTTATATTCTTTCTGTTTTCTTCAGGAGGAGAAGAACAAAGTTCACAAGGAACGGGTCGAAGAAAGGAGGTTTACTTTTCTCAAGCTTTTGAACACATTATTAGTTTACTTCCTTAAATCTTTAACATTTTTGCTGAAAAGCTAAACCAAACTCAGATCAAAGGAGAGAAGTAGAGAGCGAGAATCAAGTAAAGACAGAGACGGAGGAGATAGCCGTGACCGTGGAAGAGATGTTGACCGTAGGAGTAGAGATCGCGACAGGCACCATGACCACCGAGAACATGACAGAAACTATAATCAGTCACGTGGCTATGACTCGAGAAGCCGGCGCAGTTCGCGGTCCCGGTCTAGGGAAAGACCGAGGGATTATGATCGCCGCAGGTAACTTTGATTTAGAAAAGACACATCTTATTGTTACTGCAAATCTTTTCGCCACATTTAAGTATGCATTTAACTACCTTACAGACGCCATGACCGCTACTAAGACCCTGCCAAAGATGGTTGCACCGGGTTTAAGAGGTTCTTACAGATGTGTTTAGGATCAATTTGGAGTTGCAAACACTTTCATTTTTCTTTGCTCAAGTGTTTTAAGGATTTTTTGAGATTGTAAGTTACTAAAGTTTGTAAGAGGAGCTTCTCCAGATATTTTTGATTTTTATGTTGTTGACATCAAAAGACTTGCGAGTAGAAGATTTCCACAAAAGGTCAAATCATGAATTGTCCAACATAAGTCGCTTAGAATCTACGAGAGCAATTTAAAAATTGTCTGATATGTTTCAGAAAAGTTGGAATATAAAACTAATCTTACCCAAAAAAAAAAAGCATTAGGTTCAACGTCAAGTCAGCGTACTCTCTCCATTGTACTTCTCTCGGTTTTCTGCGTACACCTTTTACTAACATTTTCCACTCAAAAAGCCGCAACTATATTTGTAAGCTGAAGAATTAATGACAAATTTAGATTATGCAAGTTAAAATTCACCCCAAACATTGTAACAAACTTTTATGAGCATATTGTTTTTGGGTTATTTCATAAACTTACTTACCTAGTTTTTATCAGTAGAATTAACAATCTATATATCCCGCAAACATCTATTTTGAAAATATCCCAAAAATGCTAATATATCCATTAATACAAAAAGGGAAGGTCAAAGATCATTTGTAACTCAACATCACACTGTTTCACAAAGCATCTCAAATTTTAACATTATTGTTCTATGATTTTATTCAAAAAATAAATAACGGTCACCATTCATTTTAGTTTTTAAAAAGCATCTTATAATAGTATTTATATATAGTTTAGTGATTTCTTAGTTGATGGAATCATATTGGGCAATTATTGGGACTTTCTTTCTAATAAATAAGAATTGGGTGATGCAGAAGCCACACTCGTTTGAATCGAAACCAAAGCAAAGGTCAATAAAAAATGAGTTTTGTTTAATAAGGCCAATAAAAGAGCTTTTTAAGACATAAATTCTCATTACACTATAATATGGGCAATCAAACATAGCTATTTAGTCTAATTAGAAGACCCGTGTTTCAATTTTATCAATTTCAAGGCGGATTGAAGACTAGCAAGACTCATTTCTCATCAAATGTTTTGTTAACTTCAATCAAATGTGTTTTTTTAATAGCTAGGAAGTTTAGGGCCCGTGTGCCCGTACATTCTCCAAGACGAGGTCCATGCCATATTTTTTTTCCTTTTCTTTTTCTCGGGAGCAGTTTCTTCCAACGCGAATCGAACCGTGACCTTTTAGGTTTCTACATTTTCGATAACTTAAGGGTTTAACTATTAGGCTAACTCCTTGTTGGTAACCAAATGTGTTTCGATCCTTAATCAAACGGACTTGAAAATAATTGATTTTATCTCATCATTGGTTTATTATAGTTATTTTTTCCTTCTCACTTTTTGTTCCTAATCAACCTTTTTCTTCTACAGCTTTCTCATGCAAAATATTGAATTTATCTTGAAAAAATAGACTACTAAGAAAAGAAAAAAGCCAAGAAAGCCTATATATATACATGGAATCTTGAATGAATGTCACCATTGTCACGTAACTCTTCTCCTTCTCTATTAAGAAAGCCTATTTCTTCTTCTCTCTCCCTATATAAACACTCACAAACACTCATAGACATATATACATATACACATACATACAATATACATATTAATTTATACACATATTTTTGATCATATATATACATAGTTTTTTTGTTGAAGAGGAGAATGGGTGCATTTGATTATATATCTAGCTTTTGTTCATACACATATGCTAATGCCAAAACCAAGCGTAAGCCATTGCAGGTCTGTTCTTTCTGTCAATTCTCTTACAAGCTAGTCTGCTTTTTCATTCTTTATATCAAATAATACTCTATATTATCTATATTACTCACTACTGTTTTGGTTAACTTCAAAACTATATGCTAATACGTTATACGTGTCCATGCACAAAATTCAAATGTTACGTTTCAATATGTGAACATGGTTTTTGTTTTTACCCGTTTCTTTACTTAAACACGTTTCTTCAAAACTTCATCAAAATGTTTCGTTATAGCTAACACAATTGGTCGAAGCTAGAAACTGATTACCGCTGAATTTATAAATTACAACATGGCAGCGAAAAGCTTCGAAAATTAGTTTTTGATTTCTATATAATATTTTCGGGATATTAGTATATTATATCTATAAAATATATATGCATGTTTATTTTAGTAATGGAAAAGTAATGGTTTTTGTGTAGACAGTGGATATCAAGGTAAAAATGGACTGTGATGGTTGTGAAAGAAGAGTTAGAAACGTGGTTCGTCGCATGAAAGGTTCTTTTTCCCCATCTCTCATATCTCTCTCTCTGACTTTGAATCAAAACTTTCTCCAATCTTTCTTTTTTGTCCCTTTTTGTTTCCATTTTCTCTATTATTCTCCATGCTTTTTCTCTTTTAAATATTCTTATTCCTCTCTTAAAATTGCAATTTTATAGCTGGCCAGAATATATAATTACAATTACTAATCATTTGCTCAATCCTTTGATAGGAAAAACTGTACCAAACTTTTAGACCGAAAATATTATGGGTCAAATGGTTCCGAATCTATCTTTATTTACATATGTTAAAAGAGTCCCATGAAGCATTACCAGTAAATATGATCCAATCATATTTTTCCATATAGATTTTTTTTTTCTAGTTTTTCCTACTTTCTAGTAATTTTAAAATAAAATAAATCTTGTACCCTAAAAACTAAAGTAAATTTTCATAAATATGCTAGTTACTTGAAAACAATTATACTGATATAGTGATATAAATTTTCATATCACAAAAACTTGAACTATTCAAAAGGCCAAACATTTTCATGTAACGAAGTCTCTTCAGAAGAAGTTGATATTGTTAAGATTTAAACCAAGAAGTGATGTTTTAAGATTTAGGCAACTTAAATGTATATATTTGGAAAGAGTTAATAAAATGGTTTATTCATATTTGCTTTTGTTTATCAATGTTGAAACCGACCGGTACAGGGGTGAAATCGGTGGAGGTGAACCGGAAACAGAGCCGGATAACGGTGAACGGACACGTGGACCCAAACAAGGTGTTGAAGAGAGTGAAAAGCACCGGTAAAAAGGCAGAGTTTTGGCCGTACATACCTCAGCATATGGTCTATTACCCTTTTGCCCCTGGCATGTACGACAAACGTGCCCCTGCAGGCCACATCCGTAATCCCACTCAATCGTTTCCAACCGCAAACGCTCCCGAGGAAAATTACGTTTCCCTCTTCAGCGACGACAACGTCCACGCTGCTTGTTCCATCATGTGAGCAACCAACCAAAAGATTATTCATAATCTCTATTTTGTAATTTGTATACTTTTCTTACTTTTGTTAAAATCAAAAGGTAATGTAGAAACTTTGTAATAAATTATAGAGACAACACTTAAAACGGAATCTATTTGATGGTTTATGTTTCGAACAATACTTTTTCTTACAAGAAGAAGTCAAATCAATAACCATAAGCTATGTAGAATCTTAAAAGTAAAAACATTGGTATAATGGACCAATTAAGCAACCAATGTTTGTCTAATTTCTATAGGACAGGAATGACACTTTGACAATAATCGTACATTAATAAAATAATTAAAGAAGAATATTAAGGAAGAGACCCAAAAATCAGCATCTTGTGATTTGTTAGGCAAATTGCTTCCTTTTTAATACTATTTTGATTAGAATAAGCTTCAAAGGCTGAGAGAGTGTCACATTTACAAGTTCCAACATTTTAACACCAAAAGAAAAAAAAAGAACTTTTGAAGATCAAAAGAATGCAAAAAAGCTGTATTCTTCTTCCTCCAAAATATGTCCAAGAGGGACCAAAGCATCTTTAGCTTTTCTTTCAAAGCTTCTTTCTTTAGAAGAAGGAATATAAAGACCAGAATCACGGTAAAGGAAAGCTGTTTAATCACGGTACCGCATTGCGAATTTACGATGAAATAAGACCTAGAGTCGATATTTTGGAGGCTGTTTGGTGTTCGCTATGCACGCTTTAAACCTACAAAGATCATTTTGAATTAATACAGGAACAATTAAAAGAAATAAATTTGATACTTTAATCAATCTTTTGAAAGATGAGCGGAGTTACCTGATCTATCAAAATCGTGAACAAGCATGGAGCTTTTACCGCTTCTTTGCTTTCCTTATTCTGGACTGTGCCTTCTGCCATTTCTTCCTAGGCACTAGTTTACTCTTTGGCTTCAACTTTATTTCAGGTGTGAATTTGAAGTTTGGATCTCTCATTCGAGTTTGTATATCCTTGAAGAACTGCATGTTAAGTCTCTTGGGTCCACCTTTCCTTAGCTCTTCATACTCAGGTCCTGAGATAATGTTTTCAAACGCTCCAATCAGAATGTCGATATCACTCATCACTTCCCACACGTTTGTGTAACGCCCGTCAGGCCCTTTGTTTAGTTTCTTCAGCGCGTTCTCAACAGCAAGCTTCCTCGCCTTTTTACCGGGTGAAAGCTCCTCGGGTTCATCCTCAGATTTCAACAACTCTGAGATTGTCCTGTACTTTGGCTTCTCCTCAAACTCAAACAACTTATCTAAGTATTTATCAGATGCCTCGTTCGGGCGTGGCTCTGTTGGAATATCATCGTCATCATCACCTTCATCGCCAGTCCACAACGTTTTTTCCTCATCACTTCCTGACCAAACGCTGTATAATTCATCACTATCATCAGCATCAATTTGATCGGAGCTAACTTTAGCTTGTTGCCTAGCTTTCTTAATCTCTTTTTCAAGGCGGTTTCTTCCACTTTCTTGTTTTGTAATATCATCGCCTTCGTCTTCACTTCCTGACCATAGAGTATCATCATCCCCCATTTCTTTCTCCCAGGCTTTTCTAAAGTCATCATCACCTGGTTTCACATTACCAAATAGATTGTAGTCTTTACCTCTTCCACTTGCATATGATCGAGTTGCTGCAAGACATTAAATCAACTCAAGTGTAAACAAAAACCACATATATAGAGTCATGAACATCACTAATTTACCGAACACAATCGAATATAGACACTCTACTTTTTAAAACAATCCATTAATATTAACATCAAGAATGAACATACAACTAAGCCCAACTAATGTGGATCTTCAATTAATCTCAAAGGAACTTTTGTAGTTCCCAAATAAACAACAATGAGATTAGACAAATAAGCTGCAACTGTTCTTTAGGGATGATTGTGTTTATGAATTGATCATTTCATGAACTTATGGAGCTCAAACAAATATCCAATTCCTCAGATAGCTTATATACCATTTTCTCATGTTTAGTCATATCTAGTACTATTAACTTCTGAAACTTCCTACCACTGTATAACCCATTCCAAAAAAAAACTAAACTTTCAAAGATTCGTACACACAAAAATTCTCTGCGGCATTTTCACAAACACCTGGTCTACTACTTGGACTAATCCGAACCACAAAGCTAAAAAAGACTCCAACATACGAACAGACTCGGAGATAGATAGCATAGAAGCTTAAAGATCAAAACATGTTGGAGAAAAATGAAACCTTGTAAATTCTGACGAAACCCAGCAAATACCCAATTTTGAGCAGTTGTTGCTGGACACGAAAGCAAGCGACTTTGTGATCTACAATTAGAATCAGAGGAACTACATCAGTATCGAAATTACTTAGATTTATGTGAGCGAATGGTGTTGCTTTATGGAATTCTCAGATAAATTGATCAACCTTTTGGTTATGATTGAGAACAGAGAGGAGAGTCTTCGCGCCAACATCCTTTTCCCTTTAACGGCTTTTTCAATCGTCGCCTTTGGAATCTAAATATTTTTACACTAGTCCAATGGAGTAATAATATTTATCTCTCTCTTTTTTTTTTCCTTTTTTTTTTTTTTGTGGTAAAAACAAAGGTCAAGCATCGAATTTGATTAATTATACATCTTATCTAAACCAATTACATTTAAATTCACAGCAAAATTGAAAAATATTCGATTTCTCCTGCGATTCTCAGTTCTGTTTAATTAATGTTTTAATGTGTATTTCTTTTTTTAACTACGAAATTCAGAACCAAAATTCATATAATTTTCTCGTATATTCAAATTATTCTTTACTAATTTATCCGTACAAATTGTCACTCCATAATGTTTTGTGTACTTCTATCAATGATTGAATTCCATCCGTTTCTCGTTTCTACAATGGATTGGATTTTTTTTTTTCTGTATTAAGCTTTGATTCAATGATTTAGGGTTTATGATGCAGCTAATACTTTTCTCGATCATAATAGCATCTTTCTTGCGTCCAGTATAACAATTTATTAGCTTGCACAAGTATATATATATTACAAAAAAAGAAAGCATACATCAAGTAAGTCGAAAGACAAGACACAAAAGTATCAACTTTAACATAACATTATGTGGTCATAACATAACGGATACTAATTCTGGACTTAGATCCCCTATGTGATCACATATATAAAACAAGTAAAATCATTTGTCAAGCAAATACAATAGCATGATTATAATTACCGACAAGAAAGTCAAATGGGGATAGATCTAGAGACTTTGGGATAAACTCTTCTGGCTGGATGACCCATTATACGGCGACCTTTGGCGTGTTTAAAGATATAAACCACCGCACCAACTGGCCACTCGATGATTCCGGTTATCAGAAAAGCCACGAACCCTAAAGTTGGTCCGACCACTTTGCAGCGACACGGGTTTTGCCTCGTTCCGCATTGAATACACGCCGGAAACACCATCTTTTTTTAGTATGTAGAGTACGATCGATGATCAATGAGCACACACAGAGCTAACTATATATTTTTGTTGGAGGAATCAGATTCAAGGAAAGAGTGGAAATGTGATTTGTTGAAGATTTGATTTATGAGAGTTGGATCTTTTATAGAGACGACGAATCATTTGAGTTTTTTTAATATCTTTCTTCTTTCCACGTAAGGTCAGTGTGTTACTATTTTTAATTGTTATAGATATTTTTGGGTTTTATGTCGGCTTGTTACTATTTAATTATTTTCTTGAGTTTTGAGCTTAAAGAGGGGTCGATAAGATGGACACGTTTCGGGTCCAGCACAAAGGTCACTAAACACGTGGCTTAAGATAATTGGAAATGAGTTGTGAAATTCTCTTACGTTAGGCTTTTTTGGAGGGTCAAATTATGACTATGTCGGCGTGGCACGACTGTGATTGAGGTATTTTATTTAACCGTGTTTAAATTTATGAAGAGTCTCTAGCTAAGTCAGAAAGGTCAATCGATAGAGATTTAATTCGGATGAAGTCTGAAGAGGTGATTATTTTATTACCTCTTTATGGATGAGTAGATTTGTAGATAATATATTATTATTGTTTTCTTACTTACATATATGCCAATGCACTCGTAACAATCTTTAGATAAAAGTATGGTTTATTTTTTATTTGGAGATCGAACAAGAGCAGGAACATCACGATAACATCTAATGCTTATATCATCTCTTCAAGTATACGGATTCTGCGGGATACTTAGATCACGAGTCACGACTACCGTTTTTAGACCATTAAATTACATGGTTTCTGGACTTTGCAAACTGGGATTAACTGTTAGGTTTTGGGCTTTGAATTTTGGAATTTTGAAAGTTGGGCTTTGAATTACTCGATATCAAACGAACACTGCAGAGATTTTTTCTTTTCCCATACAGAGCTATTTTCGAAAGATTTGAGACAAAGACTAAAAAAAACCAAAAGACTAAAAGGAGCAATCTACGAGATGATATATTATTTCTCTCGATCGAATAACCTATAAAATTTAAAATATAGAAACGTAACTGTTTATTTTTTTTTTCTCTCATAAAAAATTATTTATAATGAACTGAATACATAAAATTCAAATCAACATATAGGTTCATTTAGTCAATATGGAAGAAAAAAAAAACATATTACGAATATCTTGAGATTGATCGCTTCTAAGGAGATCAAAAATAAAATATATTTTTAAATTTAATTTGGTCTGGTTTCTTTTTTTTTTTAATAAAATGTTTAGTTCCTTTTTAAATTAAATTAGTCAAAAATATCTAGTTCCAAAATAAAATAGATCACCACAAATCCAAACTATGTTTAATGGTTAATTCTGTTTACTTCATAAAGAAATAGACAAAATAAAAACAAATTAAACTATTAAAAATCTGAGAAAGATCATAGTGATTTTATGTTGTTAGAACTCATCATAATCTTAAACTCTTCAAAACTCACAAAGCCATCACCATCTGCATCAACGGCTCGAACCATCATAACACATTCTTGCATTGTATGCTTCTCTCCAAGACGTTTCAATACCACATGAATCTCACTCGCGGATATCTTTCCGTCACCATCAATATCATACAAATCAAAAGCTTCTTTCATAACAGTGTCTTCATCGTCTTTTCCTCCTTCACCGCCAAGCATCAAGCACGAAGCAAATTCCGCAGCATCGATTTGGTTATCACCGTCGACGTCAAGCTCTCTGAACATCTGATCAAGTTCTTCAGATGTTATTAAAGGAGAAAAAGCGCGAATCGCTTCGGCAAATTCATCCCATGAGATTTTTCCATCTTTGTTTTTGTCAACTCTCTCGAAGATTTCTGCGATAGACATTCTTGCTTTGAGTAATATGATGGTGATGATCTAGAGTCGATGGAAGATTTTGTGTGAGAAGACAAACACCTAAATCTATATTTATAAGAGAAAATCTCGAATGTTGTTTGGATTTCTACAAAAGTTTAGTTTTAGCACGTGAGATCTAATTGCCTTATGAATGGATTTCTTAATCTTTTATTTCTTTTTTTAACAATCCTAAACTTTTAAGGTTTTGGAAAAAAAAAAAAAAAAGCAACTTTCCCTTTTTTTCTCTCCGTTAAATCAAATCCATAAATTTCCATTTTTAAAGAAACAGATATAGCATGTGGCAATGTACAAAATCTTCTGAGTTCTCACAATGGTGGTGGCCACAACTCACAAGACACTTGTCTTTTGTTTTTGTTTTAGATAACTATGAAACAGTGTAAGACTTTTGTTACTCTCCTTTAGCTTTTGCTTTGGATGATTTAAAGAACTGTAGTGATTTTTGGTTAATTAATAGATTTTGTAACTTATTATCTTGAAGTAGATGTAGATGTGCTTATTTTGTCAACAATAAATTCTGTAGATATAATAATAAATATTTAGTATAGTAGTTTTATCAAGAACTTGAAAAGATATATTTTTTTTTTTAATAAAAAGGTACATTATTTGATCTAAATCTCCAAAAAGATTTTTCATATTTTTCTTGTCTTATCAAATTTCTTTTATACAGTTTACAGATTTTATCTACATTAAAATGAATATATCAAAGTATGATAATGATACCACTACTTTGTAAATTCATTTTCTTGTTGTTTCTTAAAATATCTAAGTGTATTTAATTTATGTAACTTTAAAAATATATATATATAATAAATATCAGTGTTCAAGAAAGCGTTAGGCGCTAAGCGGGCGGTGACCCAATGCCTAGCGCCTAGAACGCCTAATCGGAGCCTAGGCGATTTTTTAGGCGGTTTAGACGTTTATAACATAAAATATTATAAATATAATATTATATATAAAAGTTATATAAAATATCTATATAAAACTAAAAATTATGAAATTATAAACAAAAATTAGATAAAACATTTATTTATATTTATATTAAACAATATATGAATATTTATAACTATATATATAAATAAAACTAATTAAAATTGAAAAAATATATTAAACAAGATCTGTGTAATTTTAGGCGGTCAAGGCGGTTATCTAGGCGTCGCATAAGAGCCTAGCGCCTAGTCGGGGCCTAGGCGACCGCCTAGACCGCTTTTTAGAACACTGATAAATATATATTTAGATAGTTTTTATACACAAAAGATAGAGAGGTAAATAGTGGAAATTTTCTTGGACCAGTGGCCAACCAATCTTAATAAGGTTAGACGTGGTAAGAAATAAATATTTTTAAAAATGGAACATAAATTAAGATTTAAATTCGATATTCGAATCAAATTTTCAGTTAAATCCATTAGCTACTTAAATCTAAATTTTGTTCAAGACCAAGTCACATCCTAATTTTGCTAAGTTTAGGTTTAACTTGGACCAATTTCGTTCAATTGTTGTTTAATCATTCCTCCAAAAGTTCCTAAGTAAAAGCACAACCTCAACTGTTCTTTCCACTCAAAGATTTATATAATTTGATCTTTTCCTAATTCCTCGACCAAAAAAAGCTCAAAGAAAGAAAAATTTACATCATATAAAAAAGCACACACCCACATATTCACCAAGACAATATGGCTGATGCGACGGAGAAAGCCGAGCACGACCGTATATTCAAGAAATTTGATGCTAACGGCGATGGAAAAATATCAGCAGCCGAACTCGAAGAAGCTCTTAAGACACTTGGCTCGGTAACGCCTGATGACGTCAAGCGTATGATGGCTGAAATTGATACTGATGGAGATGGAAACATATCGTATCAAGAATTCACTGATTTTGCAGGTGCCAATCGTGGACTTATGAAGGATGTTGCCAAAATTTTCTAAAATGTATTTGCCATCCTTTTATTTTGAAATGTTTGAATTTTTTATATTGAGAGATTTGGTTCTAACTTCTAAGCATCGTCATTTTTTTCTTTTGTTACTTTTACATCGGTGAATTTTAACTTATATCCTAAATTTCATGTAATGTGATGTGAGGTTATGGATGTAGGACCTTAATATTTCAATAAGGGCACAATCTAATATTTGTAAAGCAAATAACATAAAACAAGTATCAAATATCAACAATACTAAAAGGATGATTGAAGAACGTAGATTGACGGTGGTAAACAGAGTCGAGAACGTTGATGATCTCTTTCCTTAACTCAAAAATCGCCCCGTAGTGTGCCGGTTTGATGACAATTAGAGTCCCATGATAAAACTGTTTCTCCTTTTGATTGCAACACTCAAATCAAAAGCTAAACGAACACTAGTCTTGTGTTGTACTCTCAGACACAAACAAAAAAGAAGAAAAAAGAAGAGAAGGATTTTTTATGCTTTGATCGATGATCAGAATGAGAAGACAAAGGCTTGACTTTCTACTAAAAGCTCAACGTCTATGCCATAAAGAGGAGGATATGTGAGTTATGAGAATTTGATTCTCTAACGTCAATGTCGTAAATTGATTCCAACCTTAATTCATGAGACTTAATTAGGTTGTTACAAAATCAATCAAGGAGATATTTCTTTAAATTAGTCAACAACATAATTCAATATGGATTAGGGCAAACAAGAATAAACTAATGGGTTACAAGCCCATATTATTAATCTCAAATCCCAAATCCAACCCATATGTGTTTGAGTTTCTCCTTTGACCTCCAAAGTGGTCCAATTAACATTTAGTTAAAATTCCAAGCTTAGCAAGCTAACCACTTTGGACCTCCATTTCTCATTCAAACGAACTCCGTTTTTGACATTCCAATACACCACCACGTAGTGCTCGCAACAACGATTTTATCGTGCCCAAGAACCGGTCATTCCGATGAACGTCTTCACCGGAAAATCCACCGTAACAATGGTCAAAACCATTTTGTCAAAAACAAGTTCCAACAATGGATCAATGGATCATTATTCTTGAAAAGGAAACTAGTTCGTTTCGTTTGTGAACACCACAACAACTAATGGTTTGTCTTTAAAAGGTATAAAAATGGGCTTTAACGGTGAAGAGAACCAAAACAGTCATATAGTTGTTTTGTTATTTAAATTTTATAATATGGTTTAGGCTTTTAGCATATACAAATATTTTGACTCAATGAATATAAAATAAAATAAATTCATCAATATATTTACTCGAAAAGATTAATATATTGCGGATAGACTCTAACCTAAACCTTAACACACATGACACGTCGAACATATTTTTAGCTGAACTACGTTTTCAGAACGTGGAAAAAGGATTTATTATTCATCATCTAGGTTATTGCAATATTCACACATGATAAATTTACGATCACGTCTTTTTCCATGATGTGATGTCATTGTTTCAAATTTCCATTTTCGATGAGAAATTGTCAACTGTAATCTTTGGGTGTCAATTCATATATTTTTGGTCGGTCTCTTGTAATTGGATAAGTCCATCAAACGATAAGCATCAGAAGCTGGATTGGTAGATTGAAGGGAATCTATTTATGCCTAATGGCTTTTTGTTTGCTTGGTGTAATACTCTTATCTTCTAAAGTTTTTTTCTCATCTCCTTTATTTTCCTTTTGAAGTAATTACTTTCTTGAAATTTCATTAAAGAAATTTGAGGTTCATCCATTTTTGGAGGAATAGAATAATGCCACACTACCATTGGATTGGATACTCTTTCTTTATTCCTTCTTTCTTACTTCACATTATCACAAGAACGAATGATTTTAGCTCCTCTTCCTATCTTTACCCCTTTATTTCTTAAACAAGCAGAAGAACATATTACAAGATAAGTCAGAATTTGTTTCTTACATTCCTCTTCCAGATGGATCCCATGAATGAACCTAACCAGTTGATAGGGATCTAATAATGACCTTGATATTTTGAACTTACTATACACACTATAATATATAATTCTAGCAAGGCTTGATATTAGAGAACTTTCTCCTATGAGAATTCTGACCTCCTTTCTACTGATATTTTCAGGAATAAGATCAGGATCATTGAATCAGGTGCATTAAAGCCAATCATCACCTTCTTACAATCAGATACTACAACTCTACAAGAGTATGCTGCTGCATCTTTGCTCACTCTTTCCGCATCTCAAACCAGCAAGCCTATCATCGGTTCGGTGCTTATGGTGCAATTCCTCACCTTGTCAAACTCATTAAGCATGGAAGCCCACAGTCCAAGGCTGATGCAGTAATGGCCCTCTCCAACCTCTCAACAGTCACTAATACATTAAACATGATATCAGAGGCAAAACCGGTCCGTTCAATACTTAACCTTTTGAAATCAAGTAATGAATCGTCTAAAACAGCTAAAAAATGTTGTTCTCTGATTGAATCTTTAGTGTGTTCAGATGAATCAAGAAAGGCTTTGACTTCCTTGAGAATGGGACGCTGCAAGGTCGGGAACACGCAGTAGGTGCGTTATTGACATTGTGTCAAAGCGGCATGAGTAAATATAGAGAACCAATTCCCAGTGAAGGCGTAATACCGAGCTTATTAGAGCTCACAGTACAAGGAACATAGAAATCTCGAACAAAGGCTAAAAGACTTCTCTGTTTGTTAAGAGACTCAAGGAGTCCCAAGATCAGAGTTTCAGCCTGACACATTAATTAGAAAACTTAGGGTCAGACATAATCTCTCACACTGATGGAGACGATCAATGCGGTGAAGAGAAGAAGATGCTCGCTGAAATGGTTAAAGTGACCATGCAGAAGAGCTTGAGGCATTTGCAAGAACATGCATCTCCAGTTCCAAAAAACCGAGCTTGTCTTAATCGTGAACCGTGCTTCCTATTGTCTCTTCCAAGTAAAAGATCTCTTCCTCTCTTGCTCATTGTCACGTGACATATATACAACGAAATGATCCCCTATCTATAAAACAAGATATTGTTCCATAAATAGTAATACAATATAGATATATGATTATGCATATAAGTAGAAAGAGTTGGGGCTCATGTTCCTCTTTGTAAAGCAGTCTTGTATGTGTATATAATCAAAGTTGAAATGTGTTTTATACCTTAGAGATTGTCCGGATTTTTAGTCTTGACTATCAAGATATATATCGAAGTGTTGCTACGGGTAAAATCAAGAAATGACAAGTCTGAAGATGTTCCAAGACATATTGAAACATTGCCATGTTTTAAGTTTAAGTGAGTGTAGAGAATGAGAGTGTGGTCCAACTTTACATATCTTTCGGTGAATACATGTATTTTTCAAAAGTGGTGATAAAATTAGTACTATATAGCTAAACATTTAATTTCTTTTCCCCAATGTATTCAAGATTTGATTTTAGTTTTCTTTTACACATTCCTAAGCAAAACGGTTTCACCCACTTGATCAAAAGCTGACAATGAAGACCTCAAAAACCGAAAAGTAGAGTTTGGACTCCGGCTTTTCAGAAAAAAATACTCAAGTGAGGTTTAGCTTCTTTACTTCTATCATCATCATCATCATCATCATCATCTCCCTAAAACGTTAGCCTCTATGCGTCATTTTGTATATATCTTTTGGGTGAAATTAAATAACGTCAATTCGTTGACAAAAAATAAAAATAACGTCGCTTCTTCGCTTTTATTCAAACAATCAAAACACTAGCTCGTGCTGTTACATGCACACATGTTCCTCATTTTCGAATCTCGCTCGACGACCAACGAACCAACTGGGTCCCAAAAGTAAAAGCAAAGAATATTTCGGGCGAAATTGTCATAAAACGAAACTAGTGGGGTACGTCAAAGTAAAACAAAAACATAAAAGGTCACGTTTTTGCAAATTTTATTTCTTTTATCTATATTAAAATAAAAAAAGTTCCCTATGTTTTTTTTTCACCTCGTATGACGTAATCTCTACCGCCGCAACTCCGCCGCGAGTTTCCAAGCCGATGCGGCGATGAGCGGTTTCGTCTGCCACGCAAGCATAAGGCTTCCGTCGTTCTCCTCCACTCTGTATCCATCTCCGCCGCCAGATAACGCCAATAGCAAACTCGCTTGCTTAAACGCGTCTGACCCGAGATTAACCGGGTCAAACCCGGCGTTTTCCATCCGTTTCCGCCACTGAGCCAGTGTCTCATGCCGCTCGATCCGATCAATTCCTTCCGCCGCCACCACGTTCAAAATCTGTCTCCCTAAGTAAACCTCCGACATGACTCGGTCTTGACTAGGTATGACAACACCATCTTCGAGCGAGTCGAACAAGCTCGAGTAATAGTGAAGCGCTTCGTTAAACCGGTCTAAGAAACCGGCGCCGTTATGGTTCGCTTCTTGTTCCACCACCGTTACGAGACCCGGTTTAACCGCATTAACCGTCGCTAACAGCTTTTCGATCGAACCGGGTTGGGATAAAACCGGGTGAAGCTCGAAAACCGAATTAACCACTAAAGTCTCCGAATCGGGTCGGGTCTCGAACATATCCGGTTCCAAATCGGATAATCTCTCCGTCGTTAGACCACTGAATTCGAATTCGACGCCGATGGCGTGAGCCAGCTGAGCTAGCTTCCCACCCAACTCTTGAATCCCGTCACGATTCGACGGAGTCCCAACGCCGGTGAGACGAAACGACGGTGGACCGCCGGGTCGGAGAGCTAAGGCTTGCATTAACGCCGGCCATTGCATCCCTTGATTAAGCCCAAGATCGATAACGTGTACGCCACGCGACGTCGTAACGGCTTCTAGAATCGCTTGATTGGCCGTGAAATGAGCGAATTTGAGGTAAGGACACGAGTCGTAGAAGTTCATCTGAAGAATCTCTTCAAAGGAAGGATCAATGGCGGCGGAGGAAGGATGAATCCGGTAAATCCGACGAGCTAGGGCTTCGGCGAAGTAGGTGGCGACTTTCCCCATCGCTCCCGCTTGAGAAGCCGCGAGTGATCCCACGCGCTTCACGAGAGCATCCGCGAGGCTCAGATTCTCATGTTGGACCGCCTCGGCGCAGGCCACTAGCGCCTGGACGAGTCTGACTCCGGTCTCCTCGATAAGGACCACGGAACGAGTTGAGTCGCTGCTCACCGAGTCAGACCAAGGACCGAGTCGAATCCTCTTGTTGCTGTTACTGCTACTGCAACACTCGTCGTCGTCTTGGATTGGTCTCAGATCGCAAATCCGGGTCGGGTCGAGATCCGGGTAGTAGTTAAGTTCGGAGAGCATGCTGTGAGCCCAACCGGAGAGATCAGAAGGATTGTAATGAACGGTGTCGTTTAAGGCATTATTAGAGGGACAAATATCATTGGACAAGACCATTTCAAGCTGTTCAAGCTTCTGTGCAACATCAGCCATGTCTGAAGATCGAACCTTGTAACCCAAAACAGCAAGAAGCTCGTCCATGTTATCGTCTCCACCACCACAACCACTACCTTCTAGCTTCTCCGTCATTGACGGAGCTTCTTCTTCTACGAAGGTTTCTTGATGGCTTCGTTTCATCGTCAAGAAATGTTGAATTTTTTTTGGGTATGGTGATTGAAATCAATTGGTGTTGGTTAGGCAAAAATTGTGGAAAGAAAGGAGACGAATTTAAACAGAAGAAGACGGTGAGAGATAGTTAGAGGAGAGGTCCAATGAGGGAAGTGAGGGACCTGGAGAGTGTAAGTAAAGAGATAAGGAAGAGACTAGAGAGGCAGGCCATTATAATTTCGCATGTGTTTTCTTCTCTATTCTTCTTCTCTTTCTTTTATTATTAGTAGTATTTCGTTTTTAGTAACTTTTTTTGTATTATTAATCTCTTTATTATTATAACTTTATTGAATTTCTGATCCAAGTTACAAAAAATTCGTCGCTCGATAAGGGCGTGTAGTTTTGTTTAATGGTCCAATGGGGGACTGTCATAGTCTAAGTAAACCATTTTTTAATTCCCACTAAATGTTGAATTTCAAGTTTCTAGAATTATTAAAATGAGTGTTGCAGTAGATATGACCTATTTTCATAACCCAAACAGTTCTTCTTGAAATAACTTGAGCAAAGCAAATTGTTAACTCCCAAAGTAATTGGCCGTTTTCTTCAAGTATCTTGTTTCAATAACAAGATTTTTACTAATACTAATAAACATGACAGAAATAGATAAATTTACTGACAAAATTTATTGATATTTTTTTTTTGAAATGGTTTGCCGAAATGGTATAAAAATAATATTGTTAAAAAATTGGGAAAAAAATTAGAGGTCCCGAAAGAAGTACAGCTCAAAGTATTGCAGTTAGGGAGACAACGTGACCAACCTCACGGTCGACATGTGGCGGCAGTCGACATTGCCTACGAGACGTCCACAACATTACGTTACTTTCTTATTATTTTATTTTTCTTTCTTTCTTTCATTCTTTTGTGTAAATTGAATTTTAAACATGATAACTCACACACAGAAAAGATTTTTATAATAGAGTAAAACAAAGCATAAACATAGATTTCTAGACAACTATATAAATGGCTCCGAATGCAGAAACCATATCGAACGGAGCGAATCAAACGTATATTGACTGTAGACCCACATTTATTAATATCCATCTTATGAAGAAAATCTGAAAATGTATAAACCTTTATAAAATAAAGATTCGAGATATTTTATATTACTTTTTTATTATTATTTTTATATTACTTATTAGAGAATGAATACACAAGCTACATATATTATCGTTCGGTCGTTGATATATTGAAAAGTTTTTGGGAAAAACAAATAAACAAGGAGATTATCTAATGGCCGGATACATTTGAAATGTTACTCAAGTTACTTTCTCGACATTTCAGGCGGATGATCCATTGACTTATCCTCTTAATTATTCGAACAATACAAAAAATAAATAAAAAATACACTGTAAATAATCCGCATGTTTTAACATGTATATATATCCAAAATGTGTGGTAAGAAGATATTTATCCACAATGTTCCGTAAAAATCTCATTTAATTACATTTTGAAACCTATCATCAAACTAAGCCTGGAATATTTAGTCAATTATCTTTTTTAAAAAACTCAACAAATCCCCTATCATTGTGACAAAACCCTTGATCTCACTCTCTATATATACTTTATGATTTTCCTCAAACATAGTCACAACGAAATTAGCATGGCAAAAACAATCTCTCCTTTAACTCTCGTTTTGTTCTTACTCTTGTCATCAATATCTCTAACCCTAGCGACAGATTATCCACTATTCACAAAGTCGCGATGGATCGTAAACAAGAAGGGCCACCGCGTGAAGCTAGCTTGCGCAAATTGGCCTTCGCACCTCAAGCCAGTGGTAGCCGAGGGGCTGAGCAGCCAGCCAATGGATTCGATATCGAAGAAGATAAAAGACATGGGCTTCAATTGTGTTAGGCTCACTTGGCCACTTGAGTTAATGATTAATGACACTTTAGCCTTTAATGTTACCGTGAAACAATCATTTGAGAGATATGGATTGGATCATGAGCTTCAAGGGATTTACACTCACAATCCATCCATTGTCAATATTCCTCTCATCAATGCCTTTCAGGTATATATACATAATTAATCATGTGATTCTAATATTTTCATTTCCTTATACATAAATTTTACAGCTAACTTAAATAAAAACTTTTAGGATCTTATACCGTTTGGGAGATGATATAAAAAACATGAACTGTTCCATTCATTTTCAGTTGAAAATCCATGGTTAATAAATAAGTGATTTGTGACTGAAAAAATATATGACTAAAACATTTTCTATTATATAGCAATGATTATTTTTCCATTTCTTTTCAGATCTGATTATCTTTGTAATGACAAAGATATATTTCACATTCTACTTGTTTTGAGTATATGCTATCTTCTAACGCAAGGCAACATATTGTGTAGGCTGTGGTGTATAGTCTTGGGAGGCATGATGTGATGGTGATACTTGACAACCACAAGACCGTACCGGGTTGGTGTTGCAGCAACAATGACCCGGACGCGTTCTTTGGCGACCCAAAATTCAACCCCGATCTATGGATGTTGGGTCTTAAGAAGATGGCCACAATCTTTATGAACGTGAACAACGTTGTTGGTATGAGCCTGAGGAATGAACTTAGAGGCTACAATCATACAGCAAAAGATTGGTACAAGTACGTATATAAATTCCATTTTTATTTATTTATCATAATGCCCATGTGAAGCTTGAAGGCCAAGGAAATTAATGCACGCTAATTAATAACTATCACGTTAATTATGTATGTCTGTTATAGATCTTAACAGATTATATTCCGTTGTGCTATAAATAATTAAATCCACAATAATAGTTAAGTACAAGTACATCTAAACCAAAATTGATATGTATATTGGTTGATATAGGGAATCCAATGTTCATCAATTTAATTAACAAGAAATCAAGAATCAATGCATTACGCATAATTGCATGGAAAATAATAAATTAACTTGATTCTAACCTTTTAAAAATATAAGAATGTTTTTTATTTTATTTTTTCACATGTAGGTACATGCAAAAAGGAGCAGAAGCAGTGCACACATCAAACCCTAACGTACTGGTCATACTCTCAGGGCTTAATTTTGACGCTGACCTAAGTTTCTTACAAGATCGTCCAGTGAATCTTAGCTTCAAGAAAAAACTTGTCTTGGAGCTTCATTGGTATTCTTTCACTGACGGTACTGGTCAATGGAAGTCACACAATGTCAACGACTTTTGCAGCCAAATGTTCGCTAAGGAGCATCGTACCGGTGGTTTCGTTCTCGAACAAGGCTTTCCTTTGTTCTTGAGCGAGTTTGGGACCGATCAAAGAGGTGGGGATTTTGAAGGAAACAGGTATGTATACAATTAATTACATTTAGATCTTGGTTGAATACACATTAGACCATCTCCAATGTATTTATCTATTTTTATCTCTATTTCTATAATAGAGGTGAATTTTTTCTATTTTTACTCCAATGTATTCTTCTATTATTTCCTCTAAAAAAATTTAACTCTATTTATAGAGGAAAAAATAGAGATCCTCTATATATATAGAGGTGAGAATAGAGAATCTCTATTTTTTCCCACTATAAATAGAGTTAAACTTTTTAGAAGAAAAAATAGAAAAACACATTAGAGTAAAAATAGAGAAAACTTACCTCTATTATAGAGATAGAACTAAAAATAGGAAAATACATTGGAGTGGTCTTAGTGGGAAGAATTGTCTTAGTTATCAAAAACTAAAGCGTTGATTATGTGTTTGAGTTTGTGTTTACGTTTGCAAACAATTTAGCGCGTTACCCATTTTGTTTGTTTATTTTATGTAAACGCAAACGTATAAGTTGCGGTATAAACAACCAACGGTTACATTATTTTTATCAACCATTCCATTAGGTACATGAGTTGCATGTTGGCATGGGCGGCTGAAAAAGATATAGATTGGGCGGTTTGGGCGCTTACGGGAGTTTATTATTTCCGCGAAGGCAAACGCGGTGTACTTGAAGCTTACGGTATGTTAGATGCGAATTGGCACAATGTTCATAACTATACTTATCTCCGAAGGCTCTCCGTCATTCAACCACCGCACAAAGGTAAATAAATCTTGCTAGTAATTTAATCAGATATATAGTGATACACGATTGATAGAACTTTGATGTAAATTAATGAACAGGACCCGGTATAAAGCACAATCATCACAAGAAAATATTCCATCCGTTAACGGGACTCTGCCTAGTGAGAAAGTCATCATGCTATGAGTCCGAGCTCATGTTAGGTCCGTGCACAAAGGGCGAACCTTGGAGCTATTCTCATGGAGGCATACTTGAGATCAAAGGCGGTCACAAATCTTGCTTAGAAGGCGAAACTGCGGTGGGAAGAAGTGTGAAACTTGGCAAGAAATGCACAAAGATTATGCAAATATCGGCCACAAAGATGCATTTGTCGTTGAAGACTAATGATGGTTCGTTGGTATGCTTAGACGTGGATTCAGATAACAATGTTGTTGCTAATTCTTGCAAGTGTTTGACCGGAGATATTACTTGTGAACCTGCAAGCCAATGGTTCAAAATCTTCTGAGGTATATTTTCTGATTCAAGCTAAGAGAGAATAAAAGTAGTTACAATAAATGTCTAATTAGGATTAGTGAATTGTTTAGTTATTCTACGTTTCCCTTCGTAAGCTTCGTCCTCTGTGTTTCCATGGCAGACAGAAGAAACGATGACGATTTTGTATTACCTTCACAAAGTCAACACAATCTTTTTGCTGAGAACCCTAAAGCATTAATATATATTACTCTCATTTTCATATTATCTTCTTAAGGAAAAAAAATGATAAGTATGCAAAATCCTCCACCTGAACCTTAAACCCGTCCAACTATTACAATCTTTTCACATATTACAAAACAAATCATTCCATACATGGCCAATACGATTCTGTAATAGTAACTTACATATATATTAACTATCTTAGCTACTAAGCTTTATTATCTGAATCTCTTACACCTTTTACAAGATTCGGTTATAGATAACCAGCCTCTCCATCTCCATGTATCATGAAGACACTAATCATCAACATGTAATGCACACATCTAACTTAAGCTACAAAACATTAAACAGATATAATCAATGCTTACTTGGAACCATCATCTGGTACCCATATACTTGACCTGAACCCGGTATATATAGCAGCTTGAATCTACTTATCTGAGTGATATCAAGAGCAGCTGTAATTTCCTTTCCAGTTACGAATACATGAGACTGCAAATAGTCTTCACCTTGGTCATTTACCGGCTATTCAAATCAAATTCCCCTGCTTCACGCCAGTTCTCTTGTTCCCCTGTCTCTCCATTCTCGTTCTCCTCATCATTCAAGAAATCTTCTGAAGGTTCCTTATCCTCCCTTTGACTGTTGTTTCCCCATCCATTCATCATCTCATCAGGGTTCATGTTACGTCCCTGCTCTCCCATCTCATGGCTAAGCTGAATATTACTGCCCTGATTCCCAACCGCATTAGCCCTCAATGGGTTACGAGCCATTATCTCAGCATGTGATTGAGACTGTCCAGCTTGAGCTAAAGCCGCCATCCGCAGCTTAGCCTCCTGAGCCTCCCGGCCAGCCTTCTCCCTATCCATTTCTGCTTTCAGTTCAAACAACGCTTTCCTTTCTTCTTGTAGCAAAGCTTGTTCTACCATCAACCTTTCCTCAGATCTGAATTCTCCCATTGCTCGCTTTCGAGTTATTATGTTAAAAGCTAGGGCTTGTTTCTCAAACGTTGCTGTGAATTCAGCAACTTTAGCAGCAATGTTGTTATCCCATTGTTGAGAGCGGGATAAGGCCTGGCCTGTTGGGTCTGAATCAAGGATTCTATCATCCTCTTCTGCTTCGTAATCTGCTACGACATGATATGGTAATAATCTGCACAGATTGTAGGAGAACACAAATGTGAGTAATGACCACAGTATACAGAATGTTCAAACAAGGCAATAAGCAGATATGGAAGAAGACAGGTAATAATTAGTAATATCCACGGAGCTCAGTAATGTTTCTCAAAACTCAAAAAAAGAAAGATACCTATTCAAGAACTCATGCTTCAAGTAGACAAAGATCCCGTCTTTAATCTATAATCACAAAGCTATAGTTGAACGAAAAGACTAACATAGATATAGTACTCATTCTAATACCAAACAGGACAACACAAAGCATCAATGTTTAAATCTAACGTATTAAGAACCCAGAAAATGTGATAGATCATTAAAGCCAATCATTAATAGATAGATCAATGTTTAATTGAGACTGCAAAACTATACTAATTGCTTCGATTTCATTATCTCTTCCACGATGTGAATTCTATCAAAAATAGATATAAAATTTGATAATTGAATTGATACAACAAACCTCTCGCAAGCATCTTCAAGAGAAGAGAAAGGTTGTTTAAAATTCGGGTGACAAACACGCCAAGCGTCCTGATAAGCGCATTGAAGCTCGATGTGATTCAATGGCCTCATCAATTTCTGCTGCTGCTGTTGTTGTTGCTGCTGCATCATCTGCTGGCTCGATGCAATCTGCTGCTGCTGTTGAAAATTCGGTGTATGTTGTCCCAAATTAGGGTTAGGGTTAGGATTCTGCTGAGGCGGAGGATTAATGGGTCGGTTCTGAATCAAACCCGGTGGACGGAGATGAACGTCGATGTTCGATGGGAATCTAGACATTGCTGCTTGTTGCTGTTGTTGATGTTGTTGTTTTTGCAATTGTTGCAAGAGAAGCATTTGTTGTTGTCGCTGTTGTAATTGGTGTTGATAGAGAAGTTGTTGTTGTTGCTGCTGCTGCTGCTGCTGAGGATTGTTTCCTCCCAATGGTGGTGGCTTCGTGTCCTCCATTTTTTCTTTCTTTCTCTTTTTGGGATTCTATTTTGGGATTCTAGGGTTTTTCGGGGAAATGTTCTTCGCCGTGAATAATGCTCGTCTTCTTCTCTAAAGGTGAGAGAAGAAAGAGGCTTTTGATTTTATCTGGGCCAATATAATCGGGCCTTTTTGTGATTAAAGACCACAGTTATTTAGCCCAACTATACAGACTAAACCGGGAAAACGATAACCAAAGTTGAACCGAGAATGTTCCGATTTTGATTTTTGACCATTGCGTTCAATATCAAAAAAATTGGTAGATATAAATAATTATTTTAGTACTATATGATTCAAGTAAAAAAAAAAATACATGAAATTACACAAAATAGTCGTTTTATACAACGTAGGAAAAAGAATAAAAATACATGTAAACCCCTAAGGACTTTGCTTGAACAAACGGCGTTTATGGCGTATTGGCGTGTACACTCACTCATTCATTATGGTCCAAAAACGAGTTCTTTCAAAGATCTAAACGGGGAGTTGTGACCATAAGCCACTGCATCTCTCCACAAAGCCAATCCTGTTCCACAAAAATGAGGGAAAAAAAAGAAAGTGTTTACAGTGATTTATGAACATCTCACACTTGGATATATGGCAAAAAAAGAAAAATATAAATTGGAAGGATGATAATGTTAGAGAGAGTATCTGTGAAGTAACCAACCTATCCATGAGATCAAACCAATTGTAGCCGCCACAAAGAATGACTTGCTGGTGCAATTTACCCTGTGGGAATACCGGATTATCGATAAACTCATTTACTTGCGACAAAAACCATTCAAGAGAGGTTTGCAAGGGTTCTTACACGTATAAGCAAAGGATATTTCCATATCCATAAAAGAGAGTTGCCCATAGCGAACCTGTGAGCCTGCGTCACGGTTTAATGAATATCAAGTGGTATGTTACTATGGGTGAATATAGTTTAAGCTGGAAGGTTTCGAATTGAGAGAGCTTAGATTTACCACATCAAATCACGGATAAATAGTGCTCGTGGGATCATAAGCCCGTTTCCCATCATCGAGAGCAACATTGTGATTGACGATAAGCCTTTTATGTTGTCCGGGTTTAGGAAATTTGTCCACTGAAATGTGGAAGAAAATCAGATATCCAATAGGCAAAGAGCATTTAGGAGAAAGTTCAAAGAAAGAGAGAAGAAATGAGTTGTTATACCATTTGGGAAACTGGCATCCACATGAACATAAGAGTTGCTGTCCATCCAGATAAAGATCCGACAAACCTAACACCTTTCTCTGAAAGTTTCCCAGTTCGAGCCTGCATTCTTACCAGCAGGTAGTTAAGAGAAAAGAAGAACACTTCATCCAGATAAACAACTACACAACTTAACAGTTGTTTTGAAGGATCTACGAAACCGGGAATTAGATGTCAGAGAATCCTAATACAGAATAGAAAAAGCATCAAGGTCATCATTTCCCTCTTCTATAACTGAAAACTCCTATTTCCTGACATGGTGTTTTTTCTTCATAAAGCCCAATAACAAACTGAAGTGAAATTGCAATGCAAAAGATTCGGCATCCAGCAGTTAGCTCAATGCTACATCGAGGTCCACAAAGTTCAAGAATGCAGTAAGCATCTCTAAAACAATTCAGTTCCCCCAGCAACGATTCTGTCAATAGCTTAGGTTCCAGTAAAGTAATGGTTACAATATTACCCAAGCTAATAATATGACAACTTGTTAAAAAGGTTTCAAGATAATCTCCTAGAGGCTAAAAGTGACTGATATGACTAACCAATGTCAACACATTACTTACAGATAAAATTATGGGGGGAAAGTAAAAAGTATTCGAAAGCGTACCATAATTATAGCTGCTACAGCAATACCAAAAGCAGTTGTCCCAGGCAAGATACTGTTTGGTACAAGAGGGACAAAAGTTGACCACATGATCTGCAATTTCAAATTCGGAAGTGTCGAACTAATTAAACAAGTGTCTACTATAATGCCTTTGGAATACATGTCAATGGAGCAAACCCAAAACTCAAAAGGGAAAGAAGTAGTAAAGAGAGATTACTTGAGGAAGAACGGAGAGTCCACCAATAGTGATAAAGTCTTCCCACAGTTGCCACGCAGTTTTGCTAAGCTTACCAAAATAGTACAAACAGTTCAATATGAGACCGATGGTGACAACAGCTGAAGTGGCAACAAAATACTGCAAAGGCATTGCTTCAGCCATTGTGAGCTGTGCAAGCACAATGTGAGTAGAGACCACTCCCAGTGTTTGCACAACAGCTGCTTCTTTTTCTCTCTTCTTTGCAAAATAAGAAAGCAACGAAAGGTTTCCTAACAAACCAGTCAACATTCCCTGTACTCAAAAACAAATTCTATCTGTCACATATCCACCAAATTCCCTAAAAACAAACTGGTCTATGTAATATAGCATCTTCATTACCAGCCATGGGACAGCAGAAAGAGCGGTATTGTTTCCCGCCAAAAGATTCTGGGAATTGAGGATAATCTGTGGCAATTGCAACATGAGAAATGGAATGTTTGCTCCACCGGAGAACTTGGCCGTCCATGAATCCCATTCTTGGTATTCCTTAAATTTCCCCAAACATGGATTTCCCTTTGAGAAAAAAAAAAACCCAAAATCAAAAATATTCAACAACAAAGTTTAACATTTAGTTTTAGAACTCAAGAGTCCGTCCATAATTCGACGAATTCATAATACGTTTTTCTCAGTATAAAAACGAGAAGAGAAGAGACCTTCTTCACTCGTCAAATGCGATTCATATGCTCAAAAATTCAAAACCTCACCTGCTGATTCTCGTGAGGGAAGTCCGAGCCTGATTCCGAGTCAATAGCACGAACAGGAACGAGTCGGCGAGTCGAAACAATCGAATTCCACCGAGTCAAACCATTGACGCCGGAACAAGAGGCAGCACCACCGATAGACGCACGCTTGAGAGGCAGGCGAGAGAGCCGGGATGTAGAAACGAAAGAAGAGCGAGGAGAAGTCGGGAATATCAATACACGGTCACCGCAGAGAGACGTCGCGATGGATTTAGCTTCCATGGAAATGTGAGAGAAGAATTATTGTAGTACTTGGTTTGGAACAGAGAGGAGGACGAAGAAGGGTATATCAGTGAAATCATGTGAGTGAGTGAGAGTGTTCTTGGGACCGGAAGAGATGCCACGTGGACGGTTGGTATTATCGTAAATTGTGCTAGTTTGTATTGATCCTAGATTTTGTTTTCTTCAAGAGAACAGTTTCCATTTAAAATTGAGTTTAAAAAACAAAAAACGAAAATCTTTTGAATGGCTCAAATAACTTTCGCGAGAAAAAGCCCATTATGTTTGTTAAGCCCATTTGCTCCAAAACGTATTTTTGCCAACAACTACACAGAATCATCAGGATTCAATCTTGTTCATCTTCAAAGAGAAACAGAAATAAACTAACATCATCGTTCCTGTCGCCTGAATTTCGTGAGCTCTTTATCGTCTCTCCAATGGAAGGTAGACTTTCTTTAAATGAATTGCTTTTATACTATTCAGTCTTCATAAGTCGATCTCTTAACTTCGATTTCTGTAGTCACGCTTCCAAAGTTGGATCCTTTAAAATTCCTAATGTTTTGGTGTTTTCGGAGTTTGATTCAGTTCGATGATGTAAAAAACTCAAATCATAATGATTCTAGAATGGGAAATTGTCTGTAGAAATGTCGACTCTGTTCTGCTGTCTCATTTTGAAGTTTTCCTTTTTGGATTACCAAACCTGCTAGCTTCTTCCTCAATATCACCTTTTTGTCCATCAATTTCCGGCAAGTTTTATGTTTGAAATTGAGAAAAAGTGCGGTTTTTTTTTTCCAGGGAAGGTTTTCCAAAACTTAAATGTAGTACAGAGCTGCTACCTACAAAATAAGCAGTTTAAGACACGATACCAAAGAGAACCTGACCCATTCATGTCTGCTTTACTTCCCTGTCGAAGAGGGAAGCTTACATTGAACCTCAACTCTTCCATGCGTGCCCACTCTTTCTCTAAATACCAGACTGTTCTTTCAAAGCAAAGAACTTTTTACTGCAATGGTCCGTTTCTAGGCTTCTTTAGTTTTTTTTTTTCTCGGCATCAACATTTTTATAGCCCTGCATTTGTGTACTGTTTCCCTATGTTGCTTGGCAAATAGATGTGGTGTTTCTTAGATCTTTTTTTCTTGTTGAAATGGGTGCCTTACTTTGGATCTTTCATTTGCAGCTGCTTCGTCAAGTGTTACTGTGCCATCTCTTGACAAAACTGATTTTCTGAAGCTTAAAAACGGCAGGTAAACCATACATCACTTACCAGCTAATCATTACTATAACTCTCTGTTTATTAACGTTCGCTGTTGACTCCCCAGCGATATTCGGGGTGTAGCGGTCCCTGGGGTTGAGGGGGAATCTGTAAGCCTTCCTGAACCAGTGACTGAAGCCATAGCTGCTGCTTTTGGGCAATGGCTGTTACACAAGAAAAAGGCTGAATCCCGGCGTTTGAGAGTATCTGTTGGCCATGACTCTCGCATATCTGCTCAAACCTTGCTGGTAATATATCTAATTCCTTGATTTATGGGACGTTTTCCATGTGGAGACATTAAGTTTTAACCTCTTAAGCAATTGGTCTACATTTCTCATTACTCTCAATTTTAGCCCAAGACGTTTTTGCACTTGTGGAAACAGTGTCTCTTTAGGGAATGGATAAGTAATTTATCTACTGGCAATTCCATTGTTTATTTTGTAGGAGGCGGTTTCTCGAGGTCTTGGTGTTTCTGGATTAGATGTTGTTCAGTTCGGGTGAGTGATGACTAGCCTTTGTTGTTCTAGAATATTCAATTTATATTCATTCCTCAACAGACGTAAATGAAAAGTTCATTGTATTATAACAGCCACATGTTTACAAAATTATATTCTCACTTGTTACTGGAAGAAATGCAACAATCAAGAATTTATATAACTCTCTTGAGTGTAGTGCTGAGGGGTCATATGCTTGTTTGAATCACATTTCTTATATAACTTATTGAAGCACATCTTTTGAATATTGGTTTATGTTTTTTTTTTTTTGCAGATTAGCATCAACACCAGCAATGTTTAATAGCACATTGACTGATGATGAGACATTCTTGTGCCCAGCTGATGGGGCTATCATGATAACAGGTAATTCATTGATCTCGATTTTCATAAGAAGTAGTTTCTTTCTCTCTATAGTAGTCAATAGTCATCACTTAGTGATGCTTTTCTATCTTGTACTTCATGTGGTACTATGCTTTTATTTTGAGCAGCAAGCCATCTTCCTTACAACAGGAACGGTTTCAAGTTCTTTACCAGTGATGGAGGGCTTGGGAAGGTTGATATCAAAAACATTTTGGAACGAGCTGCAGATATTTACAAGAACCTTTCTGATGAAAATTTGAGGAAATCACAAAGAGAAAGTTCTTCTATTACAAAGGTTGACTACATGTCAGTATACACCTCTGGCCTTGTAAAGGCAGTTCGGAGAGCAGCAGGAGATTTAGGTATTACTCCTTTGAGATATTAGTTTTTTTCACGAATCTTAGCATAATCAGTAAAGTTCTGAACTTCCAATTATCTGCTGCTAATATATCGAGCTTCATTTATGGCGTTTCTGATTCTTAGAGAAGCCTCTAGAGGGATTTCATATAGTTGTTGATGCTGGAAATGGAGCTGGAGGATTTTTTGCTGTAAGTCCAATTCTTATGTTTCTTACTTTCAGTGACTTGAAACTGAATTGTCTGTTCAGGCAGTTTGTTGTTTTAGACCTGTCTGGAGTTGATTTTTTCGTAATCTGAAACATGACAGGCCAAGGTGCTTGAGCCTTTAGGAGCAATTACTTCTGGCAGTCAATTTCTGGAACCAGATGGTATTATCTATGCGTATGAGTATATCTTGGCCTATTTTAATTGATAGTTGATCAAACCTTTTGGATATCAGGTATGTTTCCAAATCACATCCCTAATCCGGAAGATAAGTCGGCAATGGAAGCTATAACCAAGGCTGTTCTTAATAATAAGGCTGATTTGGGTATCATCTTTGATACTGATGTTGATAGGTAGCAACTGCAGCTATCTGTGTTACTTAGAAGAGTTTGTTAGATTGCCTCTTACAAAGAATTTTGTGAAGGTCTGCTGCTGTGGATTCAACTGGCCGTGAGTTCAACCGTAATCGTCTTATTGCCTTGCTTTCAGCCATTGTTCTAGAGGAAGTGAGATATGCTCCAACCATTTTACCACTACCGTCATTGGGTATCACATCTATTGTATATTAACAGTTTTTTGTGTTCTGATGTTCTTTCCTTGTCCATCCAGCACCCTGGCACAACTATTGTTACAGACAGCGTCACTTCGGATGGTCTGACCTCATTTATTGAAAAGAAGCTTGGTATGTCAACAATTTACCACCATGTTGTTTATTTCTCTGTGAGTTTTTCACTGACCCAAACTTGTTTTAGGCGGAAAGCATCACAGGTTCAAAAGAGGTTACAAGAATGTCATTGATGAAGCTATTCGCTTGGTAATAAATGATCATATCTTTCGAGAACTCATGCTTTGGTGCCAATTGTTGTTAGCTATTTTAAGTTGTGTTAGAATTGATACAGTGTCTAAGAGTGTTGTGTATAGAAAATGGTATATTATTAAGTTGCAGTTGAGTTAGACAGAGAAACCATACATTCTGGCAGAAAAAGAATGCTCCGCCTTATGGACAGTTGATGTTCCTTATCTGAAACATAAGTTGTGATGTGATGGCAGAACTCAGTTGGAGAAGAATCACATCTGGCTATAGAAACCAGTGGTCATGGAGCTCTAAAAGAAAACCATTGGCTTGACGATGGGGCGTATCTCATGGTTAGCTTATTTTCTCAGGTACATGATTTTCGTGGTTTGAAGAACAGAAAAAAGAAACTGAAGTTTGCCATTTGCAGGTAAAAATCTTGAATAAACTGGCTGCGGCCCGAGCTGCTGGTCAAGGGAGTGGCAGCAAAGTTTTAACAGATCTTGTTGAAGGTCTGGAGGAGCCCAAAGTGGCTTTAGAACTGAGGCTTAAAATTGACAAGAATCACCCCGACCTTAAAGGAAGGTATGATTGATGACTTGCTTCAGTTCTCGACTAGTTTTTTAATTGCATTTCACTAATTAGTGAAAATGGTAGTGATTTCCGGGAGTATGGAGAGAAGGTCCTGCAACACGTGTCGAACTCAATAGAAACAAATCCAAATCTTAAAAGAGCTCCAGTTAACTATGAAGGGGTGAGTGTTAGATATATGAGTTCCCTAAAATCTGCCTCCACTACATAGTAGTATAAATCTTTTCATCTCTTTTGAAAAAAAAAAATAGATCCGTGTTTCGGGCTTTGGTGGATGGTTTCTTCTCAGACTTTCTCTACACGATCCTGTTCTTCCCCTTAACATCGAGGTAAACATATGTATAAAGCTTGACTTAGTTTCAGTGTCTAAACTCTCACTGGAATTATTCAATTGGACGCAGGCTCAGAGTGAGGATGATGCAGTGAAGTTAGGCCTTGTGGTTGCTACGGCAGTGAAGGAATTCAATGCTTTGGACACCTCTGCCTTGTCTAACCTCACTCACTCCTCCTAAGATTGGCATGGAACAATGTAGGTACTTGGTTTCTCTACATTGTCTATTATTTTCCTGGTGCTTGTTGTTGTTTTCTGGTCCAAATACAAGAATCCATTTAGAGTCTTGTTTATAATAACAAGAATATACGCCCCTTTATCTTAGAAAATCTGATCAGTTCTCAATCTTCAAAAATCTCCAGGTAACAAATGCAAACAGATACAGAGAGTTCGAGTTTCTTTACTAAGACAATCATTGCATTGAAGTTATCAATAAGGTAGTTTTTACAGAGAAGACATGATCAATTTATTAGAGCTTTTTGCTTCCTCTGTTGAATACAAATTGACCATTAAACACACCCTCAAGCTCTTCCACAAACATTCGCATCGCCTTCTCTGGCAAACAAACCGGTACAATGATCCCTATCTCACCATTTCTCTTCTCAGTCGAAACGTAGAAGCTAGCCCCGGGAAAATCCTGAACTCCGGCTGTACCAATTCCTCCGTAAACCGGTTTCCCCCAAATTTTGAAATCGATGTCTGCGAAAATTCTCACATCAGATACCAAGTAAGCTCCGTCCGACAAGAAGCTTGGTCTTCCCTTTATCACCATAAGATCTGCAAGCGATCGCATGTACTCCTCTGTCACGCTCAATTTCGCCTCTTTTACTAGTCTCAGAGCAAACTCTAACGGTTTCTTAGTTCGTTACTTAGTTCCCTAGTGGTTGCGAACGCGTTTCCGTAATATCCTGGAGGTAGTGGTGGGTTTTTAAGTTTAGAACGCCCGTTGACGATGAATATGAGTCGCATCTCCTTGTCCGGGTCGGGTTGTAGAGCGACAGTGCGATAACGCCATAAGAACGACGTCAGCGTTTCCATATTGGTGCTACTGTTGACAATATTCGGTGGGAGGAGCCTCCGTATTGCGGACATCTCGCCGTGACCGAAGAAGAATGACCGGCCTACCAGATTGTCCCCACCGCTGTTTTCGTACCAATTGCTGGCATTTCATCGTATTCCCGGTGCATGTGTGTCACACGCACCGGGACACAGGCGTTCAGCAAGTGACGTTCCCACACCGAAGCAACCGTAGGCGCATGATAACCACGCACGAACTCGCACATCGTTTTGAGAAAGAGCTTGAGACCGGCGGCGTCCGACATTACGTGGTTGATACGGACGGCGAAGACGAAACCGCCGCATTTTAAGCGCGTGACCTGCACGAAATTATATGACCGTCCCCAAAATTAGTGTTGCTACATCGCTCTCTAATAAATTTCACGTAATAACTAAGAGCATGATTATCCATAGTGTCTTAGAAATAAATCTTACGAATATTTAAGTAATATATTTATAAAATATGGATCTTAACTATGTTTTTGTTGCTTAGCTAAGAAACTTTCTTAGCAATAATAGCTTAATTGAGATTTAATTTTAATCATTTATTGTTAAGATCCAACTTAAGATTTTTTTAAGAACTTGCCATTAATCATAGTCTAATAACGTGAAGTCTATCATATTATTTTCATGTTGTTATAACAAAATAGGAAAAAAATATTCTTTGGAATACATAAAACTCATTAATAACATTCGAAGAAACGTAAACCGAACTTTATTTCTATTTGTGTATTTTATAAATGGATACTATGTGAAACTGACCTGCATGAGCATCAAAGGAGTGTTGAGCATTTCACTAGAACCTTGTATGTCAAACAGAAGCTCTTCAAAGCAAGGGAATGGAGGCTTAAGAGCATCCTTCTCTTCAAACTCAACAAGTGTCACGTCAGCATCAGCCTCAATGAACAAAACGCCTTCACCGGTGCAGTCCACGGCAAGTTTCCGGTTCTGTCCTTCCCGGAGCCTACCTGCAAACGGGTAGTAGTAAACCAGCGTCTCCGCGAGGCTCTCCGAATAACTGCGACCGGATCGGAATAAGCAGTAGGGTTATGTCTATAGAAGAAGATAGTGGGAATGTGGAATCTTAGTCCTTCTTGGTCGTCGATGTCTGAGAGGAGTTTGAGCTCTCTCGGTGTTGGTTTTACCGGAGAAACTAACTCCGGCTTCTTCCGGTGAACCGTAAACGTGAGCAACCCGGACATTACGGGTGGAGGGATTTGCAGCTCCTTTTGGTGATATAGATTTTATGGTTATAAAACTTATAATGATGATGATGTATGATCCACTTTTCCGTTGGGGTTTTTGGATTTAGAAATTGTTCAATCTACAAAATCTTGAAATTGAAATGGATTACAATCTTGTTTCCGTTTATGTAAGCTTCGAAATATCATTTGTTTCGGCTTAGTTAGAAACAGTTCGGACACATCCATTTCAGACTAAACACGTTTTTTTTTCGTCGCTAAACACATGTTTAAAACCCCACTAGGAGTCTAGCAAAAATGTTGTACACAAACACAATACGATTATTATTGGACCACCATGTGTGGTCGTACTATGATTATAACAAGTAACAAACATAAAACCATACAAGTTATTTGCTCTATGATGCCTCTTTGGCTCTATCCTCTATGATTTAACGTGACAAACCTTACATAGGACACTTCAATTATTGTGCATGCGAAATGTTTCAGTGAATTTATGAATTCGTGTGTATAGATTCAAAATTATTCTCTAGACTGAACTAACCAAAAGAACCAGAACCGAAACCCAATAGAGAATAACTTTGGTATTCAAGTTAAAAAGGAACTAAAACAAGCTTTGCATTGTACAATGCACAAGAGAAACAAAACATGGTTTCCATTCTCCAATGGCTGGACAAGGCCAAACAGTTCTAACTCTTCCCTCACATTACACAACAATCTGGTGAAGACTCGAGCATGTCCGGAGACCTGTGAACAAGTATACACAAAACTCAGTCCATTGGTATTTAAAGATCACAGAGATTCCAATGAGGAAGAAGACCTACATTTGGCCCAAACTCGCGAAATCAAACCCAGGATCCATCTCTTGCACTATATCACTCGGTGGTTGTCCACACTCTTGCATCTTCTGCATAATCTCCATTATCTTGGTCGAATTGTTTGGTTCGTTCTCATACACCAAGTTGAGTTCTTTGATTAGTTCATACTGGCGCGAGTAACGTTCGAATTCCTCCTTGTTTAGACTGGATTCATGCTCTTTTAGCCATTTCGGGTATCTTGCACCAATCTCTTTCATTGGTTCGTGAAGAATATCCTTCGATAATAGCTGTTGCATCATCGTGTCCACTATTGACTCCAAGTCCTAAACTCAAACATGTAAAATATGAATTTCATAAAGCATAAGAATAACTTCTCTTGATCTAGACTTCTCTAGAGTGGTTCTGCACACTAATTCTCATCTTCAAGTGTAGTTTTTTCGATATTTTTATCACAATTTTTGCTATGAACACCAAGAAGAAGAAGAAAAAGAAGCAGGAACATAATAAAACTTGAAACACACAAGAAAAAGATAGTAAGAGTTCAGGTTAACACCAAGAAAATCAAATCCACCACACACAAAGAGATCAAACTTAACTAGTTATCTTTATTCCAAGAGAGAATATCACCTACAATCTAATCAGAGCAGTCTAAGTTAAAAATAAATATAGCAAGATAGCGGGTAAAAAAAGTAACAACTCAGTTTGTGTATACTTACGTTAGACCCAGCAAGATCCTCAAATTGCTTGATCCAATCTTCGACCATAGCATCATCAGAACCTGTAGGCTGCTGCTTCGATGACAAAGACTCAAGTCCCTTCACAGTTTCTCTGGTTTGTTCCCTGAGTTTATCAAGAGCCTCAGTAACATGGTCCTCTTTAGCAATCTTTTGCTTTCCTTTCTTCTTACTCCTCATATCTGGTAACCCCATTCCAAGACCTTGAACCCCACTCGGCAATGACTCTGTCTCCTTTTTACCACCCTCTTCTTTCTTAACCCCTCCATTTCTACAAAACTCCAACGCTAATCAACACCACAATTCCCACCAAAAACATGACATAAACCTCTAATCTAGTACTGATGTAACCACAATCTGAAATATAGAGCTAAGTAGCTAACCACATGGCACATATAACAATTAAAGAGAGACAGAGATTATAAGAAAAAGGAGCAACCTTTGAGTAAGATTGAGATCCTTGAAATCATCCAAGGCACCTGAGAAAGACGCAGAATTCTAAATTATAAGAAAACGAACCCACAAAGATAAATCACAAGAACAAAAACGTTTTTCACCAATCACCTAGAACTGGTGAACATGTTATCAAATGAAATTAGAATCGTTTGAGTGAAATTATTACTATCGAGAAGCTCGTCTAAGTCATCGGTGTGAGTATCGTTGGCCATAATCTCGAGTCGTCTCTCTTCCTCTCAATTGTCGAAGAAACTCAGAAAATTGAAAGAGGAAGAGAGAAGAATTTATCGCAAACAAGAGAGAAACCAATTCCCAAGGGCGGTGTTGTTCAATTGATCCAAGTTCAGGATTCGATCCAACGGCTGACATTATTTGTTACCAATTTTTTTTCTGGAATATATAAAAAAATCTTAAAACTACTTGAAACCGCGAAAGCCCATTAATTTTAACTGTGTTGTGTCGTAACCCCATTAAGTTGAGCTGTGTTGTGTCGTAAGCCCATTTTCTCAACGACTTTGCCACAAAACTTTCTTTTTTTTTCTTATTTTTTTGCTCTCAAGTCTCTCAAGCAATGGCTCAGACCTTAATGGCGACAACTCGTCCGTACGTTCTTCTCTCTTCCACAAGAGCGAGTCTTTATCTCCTTTTTCAATCTTCAAAGAGACCTTTCGCTTCATTCTCAGCTCCTCTCGTGAGAATCACCAACTCGAGATGTGTAAGCGCCGTTTTGTCTCGTAAAGAGACTGCGCCGTCGTCGATTTACGGCAATAGGGTTTCTGGGTTTGGTGTTTTGGACATTCGCAGCCGCAATTTCAGTACCAGATCCTCTCAAATCAATGATGCTGGTTCTATTGATCAAACCCTTATGCAATCCATGGAGCAAAAGGTCAGATTTTTATATCTCATAAAAACTAATCTCAAGTTTTTTTCACTGGAATTCAATCATTATGTGTGTTGCAGTGTCAATTCATAGGTTATAAAATTAGCGAAATTTTTGAAGGAATTGATTGGATACTTCATACTAATTGGTATTGGCAACATCTGTCATATTTAGTTAATGGAGGGAAAATGTAACACGATTGATTGCTCTCAGTAGCTCCAAATGATCAATATCACTAAGCTAAGATCATTAATGAGGAATCATATCTCTTATATGATTAAAGCTCGATTCTTTTTTTCTGTTTATTAACACATGTCTCTCTACTTATGAGGTTTTGGCTTCATGTACAGATCAAAGAACAATTGAATGCAGAGTCGGTTACTGTAACAGATATGTCTGGAGATGGACGTCATGTCTGGTAATTACTCATTTCATCTTCTGATGATGATTCTTTATTACACAACTGAAGTTGCAGATGTGTGTTTATGGAAGTTTGTGAGATATGGATAAATTCATATTTTTAGATTCCTTTTCTTTCATTATAATCACAAATTCAACAAGTAGCATTCATCTTAACTTTGTAGAATCATCAAAGTTGGGGTATAAGGTAGTACTTATCCGAATTCTGCTCTTGATGTAATCCAGTAATAGAATCTTACGTTAACTTGTCATATAAGATGGTTCTATTTACTTAACACCAGTTTTGCTTAATGTGTGTCAGCATCAATGTTGTATCATCGGCGTTTGAGGGACAATCTGCAGTGAACAGACAACGGATGGTCTACAAAGCCATTTGGGAAGAGCTTCAGAACGTGGTTCATGCCGTTGATCAAATGACAACAAAGACTCCTTCAGAAGTTTGAAGCGTTAAATTTTCCAAACACTAAAAGTCTTCAATATCTATATTATTTGATTTTAGCTGACAATGCTGTTTGTTTTATCAAAAAGAAGAAAAGAACTGATATACAGCTTTTCGTTCTTTGTTTTTTGGTTATTTTTCAAGTACTTGATTGGTTCTCTTGCGACCAGCCAACACATGTTATGCGTTGGAGCGTTTGCGGTTACACGTGTTTGGCGTTTTGAATCGCTCTAAATGAATAAGAACAAAATTAGCGTTTGTGGTGGCGGATTCTCGTCAACAAAACTTTATTCTCTTTTATCTATCATTTCAAAAAAAAAATTATACTCATAAATATAAAATGTAGTCATAAAAAAATGTATCCATGAAGAAATGAAGCAAGAAACTGAAAATTTTATTTGCAATGAAGGTTGTAAGATTTATGATAACAAGAATAATAATATGATTGTTGCTTTTATATACATGTACAGTGAATATTGAGCTACTATGTTTGATTTGGGAACCGTATTAGCCATCAACTAGACAAAGATCATTATATCAGTATTAGCAACACTTGATAATCAATGGTTACAACCAGTCCATCTGCTCAAAGTCCCACATCGATCGGTAAACACATGGACAAACAGTTTTTTTTTTTTTTTGGTAATCAGGACACAGTTTTTTTGTTATCGGTTATTATACCATCATTAGACTAGTTGAACGTCGTAATGTTGTTTTGTAAAAAAAAAAAAAAACACTAATATATTGTTACAACTTGGAACATAAGTTCATTTAACTCCAACAATTACAAGTAGACAAACATAAGTTTTATAGAAACTATACACACAACCCATCACATGTTTTTTCACATTATGACTGGTATTTTACAAAACATAGTTGTTATAGATACTACCACAACCCATCACATGTTTTTCACATAATGATTGGTATTTTACAAGGTCTTGAAGTGAGGGGAAAATGAAAGAATGAACAGTGTGCAAAAACAAACTATGTTCATTCCTTCATTTCACTATGAACATATACATATATTTATGTATATTCGTGTAGAAAATCACTACATGAATATCCTTAAACAGCTTTGTTTCACCTAGGTATTAGTTCTGGCGGCAATGGCGGCGATAATGTCCGGGCGGTTTTTCATAGGAAAGTTGAGCTATCCTTGGCAAGTTATGTCTTCTTGATGGACCTGAAGGTGGAACTAGATATACTCTATGACCCGGCGGGTGGGATTTCTTGCCGGTAGTTGCATTATGATGATGATGATGTTGATGATGATGACAGTTGAGGAACCGGAGTGTTGCTCCGGCGGTTATCGCCGAAAGAAGGACAAGAAGAAAAAGCAACGTTAGAAATAGTTGAGAGAGAGACATTATACTAGGTAGAGAGAAAGCTTGTGAAAAATATATCTCTCTTGTTGCACACTGGAGTAGTGTATATAAATGATTACGATATTTTTTGTGAATTTTATTAATTTATTTTGTTTTGTAACGCTTATAACTTTAGGAAGAGTTTTTGATGTGGTTTTTGGGGTTACAGGTGTTTGTGTAACTAAAAAAGCAACTCTAGTTAATGAAAGTGACTTAAGTTACATTGCTTTTTCATTCTCGAATCGAACCTTTTTTGACTTCTTATTCATAATTGCAATATAAATATTATTATAATCATTGCAAGGAATCCCGGTTTTTAGTTCAAGTTTCTAGATTTTGAATTTTCCGTTTTCAATTTTTTTTTTATCTAATTATAATTAAATATACATATGAATCGAATTATGTATATTTAATTATAATTATAATTAGATTTATCAATGTCGTACGGAAAAGTTAAATACGGTTTAGCTCTCTGTATGCGGTAAGAGCATACATAATGGCACATGTGTGAGTGTGGGTGTGAATAATTTTTTATTATTATAATTAAAAAGAGAGAAAAGAGAGAGAGAAAAGAGAGAGAGATAGAGAGAGTGCAATATTTCTCTTTATTTTAATACTCACATCCAAGTGTAAACTTACACCCAACATACAACTTCTACGCAACTTTTCTATTTTTTCTCTTTTTTATATTACTCACACCTAACCAAAGATTGTACCATTGTGTATGGTCTAAGATTATAAAACTAATACAGTACAAAATTAGAAAACTAGATTATAAAATGTAAGAGCATCTGAGACAAATCTTATTTCAAACTCTAATTTAAAGTAGAATCCTTTTTAACTTTAACTCCAAAATAGAATATTATTTTGTTAATTTATGGCAGAGTTATTTTTCCGTATGGTTTCAATCGCAAATAGTCAATATAAGTCAAATTATGAACAATTTTATTCCAAGTATCTTTATTATGGACTTGATCTTCTTTATTTGTAAAATAGTTCTTTAAATTTGAGATGTTTTTTTATGTAGAATTAAACAATAGTTATTGGTTATCTCATAATTTAAACAATAGTTTTTTGGAGCAAAAAATAAAGAATGAGCAATACGTTGGAGAAGAAAATCCAGTTTAGAGTAATTGGTTGGAAACGCTCTAAAAAACTAAATCTTTAAACCCATATAAATTTAGTCATAACCCTTTTTTTTTAAGTAAAAAAGTCAGAGTTAGTCTATTTTTAATTTAGATTTCTTATAAACTAATTCGTTCTCTGCATTTTTATTGTAAAACTCATATTTTATTTAAAAATATCTTACCTTTATTAGGCTCAGAATGATTAACGTTTTGAAAAAGTTATTGGTCCGAAGTTTTATAGATCCGAAGATTCAGATATAAAACTTCAATTAATTAGATTTGTCGTATCTGAAGTACTTTGTCGGTGATGCGATTTTTGTCCTTTATCGGCGATGCGATAACATTGGAAAATAGTTTAAGTCAGCGACTGAAATCAAATACTATTAAGCTTTATATATTGTGTATCTTCTCTTCAAACGTTTTTAAGTCCACAAATTAGGGATCATTTAGAATCTCCTTCCATAATCATCTGTCTAAAACCTCGGATCCATAATGTATGTAATAGTAATACGTGTGGGAAGTTGAATCGTTCTCATTGATGGTTTGTCTAACTTTGAAATTGATGTCTTTACAAAAGTGCTTGAATGGTCTCGAGTGATCTATCTCGATCCAATCATCTCTTTTGGACCACACCCCAAAGGAGCCGATATCCACTTGCCCCCTGACATGCTAGCTGATGTATTCGCACGAGCATCCTGGTGTTGGTTTTTTTACCATAGTTGCTTTATCCGTTTTATCATATACTCCCTTCGTCCCACAAAGATAGATTTTTTAGAAATTTCACATTCTTTAAGAAATAATGTATAATAACAATTTTAACCTTTTAACTTTTTAACACATTTAAAGAGTATATTATTTATTGTTGTTTAATAAGGGTAAAATAAGTAAACTATTTTAAATTTGACATTAGAAACACAAAACTTCTATCTTTGTGGGACAAATTTTTTTTCTAAAAAATTCATCTTTGTGGGACGGAGGGAGTATTCAATTACTTTTTTTGTTAACTCTATCAGACGATTCTAAAATCTGATAATTAAATATCATATCTTTTCTCGAAAACTCACTTTTGTTTTTATGGATCCACTTTTTTTGCTATGATTTGATTCATATCAATTAATTTAAATTGGACACTGCCTGAAAATTAAATATATATACCCTTTTTAAGCAAAATTTCAATTTTCTTATTGGTAACAAACTAACATTAGTAATGTAGGGTCTATTACGTACATATAAAAGTTTTCTGGGTATTTACTTGAAATATATAAAGTTCCGGGGTGATTATAATTTATACTAAATTGTTCAGCAGAGAAATGGAAGAAGAAGAACTCAGAGAAGATACATAACGAAGCGGTTGGGAGAAGATGAAACTGTTCGACGCGCACTGTCACCTTCAAGACCCGAGGATTATCACCAAAGCTCCTCAGCTAATCTCCTCCGCCGTTGCTTCCGGCGTCTCTGCCTTCGCCGTCAATGGAGTCTCCGAGGTTTTGATTTCGTCAGATTGATAGCTTTCAAAATTTACGAATTTGGCAAGGTTTTTAATTGAATCTGTGGTTTGGTTTGGTCTAGAAAGATTGGAATTTGGTCAAAGAGATGGGAGCTAAATACCCTTCTGTTGTTCCTTGCTTTGGGATCCATCCATGGTAGGGGATTATATAACTTTACAAATTACTGGTAAAGTTTCAAATTTTAAGATCTGTTGTTCATGTTTTGAGTTTAGGTATGTAGCAGAGAGGAGTCCTCAATGGTTTGAGACATTGAAGAGTTTCTTTGAGACCACTCCTACTGCTGCTGTTGGAGAAGTCTATCTCTTGGCTCTTTTAATCACATTGTTTTCATTGAAACCCTCCATGATATGTGTTGGTTAAAACTACTTTGTTTTTTTTGAACAGATTGGTTTGGATAAAGGGTCTAAGGGAAGGGAGATTGATTTCTCAGACCAGGTTTCAGATTTAAAAAACAGACCTTGTGCTTTAAATTGTTTATGTTCCCAATGATGGGTTTTGATGCTAAAGACAGCATTTTTAATTTCAGGTTACAGTGTTTCGTCAACAGCTCGAACTTGCAAAGGAATTGAATAGACCTGCGTCAGTTCATTGTGTCCGTGCATTCGGGGATCTACTCGAGATATTAAAGTATGATTTTTTGCTTCTTGTCGTGTGTACAGAAGCAAAAGTGAAATTTGTTGGCTTTATATTCTCAAATGTTGCTAAAATTATGTTATTGTCTCTTTATAGTGTGTTCTTATGTAGTATGATGTGATATTGTAATATGCAGATCTGTGGGGCCCTTTCCTTCTGGTGTCATGCTTCACTCGTATCTAGGTTCTGCTGAGATAGTTCCTGAATTTGCTAAGCTCGGTGCATATTTCTCCTTCTCCGGTTTCCTTATGTCCATGAGTGAGAAAAAAGCCAAGAAGATGTTGAAAGCAGTAAGATTTCCAATTTTTTCTATACCATATTACAGCTTTAGGTGGAATGGAACCTTGATTTCAGTTCTTGGTAGGTTCCATCTGATAGGATCTTATTGGAAACTGATTCACCAGATGCACTACCAAAGGCAGAGTCAGGTTCTCTCTACTTTGTAGACGGAGATCCTTCTCTACCCGAAGAAGGAAATTCAGCTCAGGATCTTGATTCTGCCTCAAATGATAAGTCTAATGTGTCTAGTGACTCGACGAAGTTGCCAAAGGAAACACTTAATCATCCGGCTAATATTCATATGGTATGTTGTTGCTTTGCGGCTGCTTAACCGATCTTCTTTTTCATAAAACCATGGAAATTATGACCCTAATCAATCACGGTTACAGGTACTCGGGTATGTAGCGCGGTTGTTGGACATGAAGAATGAAGAACTCGCAGAACTAAGCTACCAGAATGCTGTTCGGTTATTCTCTTACGAAGGTTCGAAGATGCTTCTTGAGAGAGGTAAATGATTTCTTGTAGTTTGTCTCTTCACATCTCTTTTTTGGTCCTGAAACAAGCTTTTTAATAAAACATAGAATGGATTTGTGTCTTTAGGTACTGGTGATGTCTCTGGTCACAATCAAAACCATTCAACAACACATGTATCATGAGTTCTTAAGACATCGTAGTGTTTCTCATCACTCTGTTACGAGGCTTTAAATTTGGACTCATTGTACCAGTGTGTTATAGACAGTCACACTTTTCTTTTTACAAAGGTTATTAATTTTTTTTTATTTTGTGTGATTTTGAAGAAGACAAAGCCTATTTATGATGGCTTTGTGTGACAAATAAATATCAGATAATGATGTGATTAGAGTCTTTTACGTACAGTTAGTTCCTTATTAAGAAATAGTTAAAATTGTTCCAAGTTTGTTTAGACTGTAATATAAGCGAACTAATACTTTTTCCCCGGAGAATCCTGCTATATCTCAACTTAATCCTATATCTCTGGAAGAGTCATTCTTTTCTTGATAAGCCTTTTTTTTTTTCAATTTGAAGTTACCGATTTGATTTTGTTTCTGAAATTTTGTTTTGTTGCATTTGGTTCTGTTTTCTTCCATTGTTGCAGAACACATGAAACTGAGTACTCTGTTTCTTGGAGCCTAAGATACAGACCAACTCAGAAATCTACTATCCTTCAGGCTAATCCAAAACTGCTACAAAAAAATGTCAGATTTAGATAAGAAGAAGAACAACAATGAGAACCGGTAAGATTTCTTAATCTCTTTTATTTCAGATTATTTATCCTCATTCCGATTTAATCCATAATCTCTCTCTAATTGTATATTCATTGCTTGAAGAAATTCAATATCAGTATCATATGTATCAGATCTTCATATAAACGTAAAGGGTGTTCCATTTCATCTTTGCAAAGTAAGTTTCATTTGATTCCCCAGATATTCATCGAAAAGGATCGAGACTTTTGTTTCTTAATTTCTCCGAGTTTGTTTTTGCAGGAAATGTTAGCAAAGAGATCGTCGAAAGTGAGCTCATTACTCGAGCGAAACGAGATCGATGAGCTGCGTTTGATCCTACGAGATTTAGAAGTCGATCCAGAAACCTTTGAGCTCGTTGAAAGATTTTGTAATGGCTGTGAATTCAAGTTTACGTCTGATACCATCGTCTCTGTTCTCTGCATCGCGTATTACTTAGGGATGAATGAAGAACAAAGCTCTAATAACTTGTTGGGAAAGGCATCTGAGTTCTTAGAGCAACGAGTTTTACCGAGCTGGAGTGAGACTGTAAATGCTCTTCGTTCAGGGGACAAGAGTTTCGACAAGCTAACTGATGTTGGACTCGTTGATCTCTTCTTCGATTCCCTTATCGAAAAAGCTTCCTATGATCCAAGACTCCTTGGTGAACTGATCAAGAACAGAGTGGAAACCGATGATTATAGACCTAACCCTAGGAGACGATTGTTTGTTATAGATTGGAAATCGGAAGATCTGATCACAATTCCGCTTCGGTTATATGAACCTTTGATGATCCGAGCAATTAAATCCCGCAGCATTCCCGTGGAATACATCGTTTTATCTGTCTGTAAATACGCGAAGAAATGGGTTTTCGATGCAGAAGAAAGCCTTTCAGGGCAAAAGAGAGAAGCAATTGAAGCGGTTGAGCGGCTTTTGCCACATCAGAGGGGGCTAATCTCTTGTGAACTCTTATTCGAATCGTTAAAACATTCGATCTGGTTAGAAGCCAACTCCGAATGTCGAAATGGATTCATGATCAGAATCTGCAAGCAACTCGACATGGCTAAGTCAACAGATCTCAAGATTCTATCCCGAGGATACGGAGAAAAAGCTGAGGGTTACGAAAATATCGAACTCGTTAAAACCGTTGTAAAGAGCTTTTACACTTACTACGCCAATGAAGACTCTGAAAATGTTTCACATTTCGTGAAAGTAGCAAAACTGTCGGAAGAATTTCTATTCTTGGCTGCGAGTGAGGCTTCTCTGAAGCTCGAGGCGTTTGTGGAGTTAGCAGAGATGACAGTGGCAATTTCGCAAGGTATTTTGAGCTACTCAGATGGGATTTACAGAGGCATTGATGAATTCTTGGAGAGCCACGGATACTTAACTGAATCAGAGAAGATGGAAGTTTGTAAAGTTCTTGAATGTAGTAAACTCTCTCAAGAAGGATGCGAGCGAGCCGCGAGAAACCAGAAGCTTCCTGTTAGAATCGTTCTTCAAGTTTTGTTTGTTTCTCAGCTTCAGATACGTGATACAGTGGCTAAAGAGATTAAGGGTATGGAAGAGAAAGTAGATGAAGAAGAAGAAGAGATTGGGGTTTCGAGCGATGAAGATGAGATGGAGAAGATGAGTAATAAGCTGTTAGGACTTGAGATTGAGAATGATGAATGTGTTGTTCATCGTTGGAAGAAGACGAAGAAGAAGAAGATAAGTGTGTGGGGACAAGTGAAGAGGAAGTTTGGTTGCTTGACTTCTTCTTCTTATTCAGTTGATGCTTGCACCTGTGATGTCAAGAAGAAGAAGAAGAAGAAGATTCATCATCATCACTACAAATAACTAGAATAAAACCACTCTGTCTCTGTTTTTTGTTTACTACATTGGGTCCATGGTTCTGTTCTTGTTCATGCTCTGTTTCTGACATTGGAGAAAACTTTTATCAGGTTCTGTTTTTTTGGGTGTGTGTGATTACTGATTGTCTTATAATTAATCAAAATTCATAAGCAAAATTAAAGCTACAACAAAACAAATTCTTCTATGGGTCTTTTACATGGTAATTAGTTCTTAAAGAACAACATTCCTTGTCTCACACGTCAACGAGAGAAGTAGCTTTTTCACAGCCACTCTCTCTGTTCAATCATGTTTGCACAACCTGAAAAAAACGATCAGGTCTTGATCCGCGCGATAAACATCTATCATCCAGTCGCAGATCATTTGTTTCCAATCGATAATCTCAATGGAGTCCTATCGCAGTCCTCATCGACACTACTATCATCATCATCGCTTCTTGAATTCGATGTACCATTTTCTTGATTTTCTTCTTCTTCCATTCGCATATGATCCTGAATCAGATTATTAGAACTACTCTCGTTGTGATCTTCCTCTTCTCCTTCTCTGCCTCTTTCTTCATCCCCAAGAACCACCACATTCCCGAATTGCACATGCTTCTCACCTTCCCTCGGTGAATTCCTCGGCGCCGGATCCGAAGTTGCCGTGACGTTTTCCGGAACCTTGTTATTGACGTTCTTCTCCGGATCGCCTTTCTCAGGATCGAAACTGGTAACGCTCTTGCTAACAAAGATGCTGCTCTTGCTAACAAAGATGATGCAAGGTTTGAGGACGCAGGAGTAAACGTAAGCCAAGAACCAAAAGAGCCAAGGGACACCAACGAAGACCATACCCGCTTGTAGAAACAGAGGGTTCGGATCAGAACGGACCAGGTAAAGTCCTAAAAGGACTCCTCCTATGAGGATACATGAAAGGAAGAGAAAAGTGACAATGTATATTCTTGGATCACCTTTTCTCTGATCCATTCGATTTCCGACCACTGATTTTCTAACACAATGAACTTCAGAGAATGTGCCTTTGAATCAGAATTTGCTTTCTCTTTTTCTTTTCTTTTCTTTTCTTTTCTTTCTTTTTTCTCGGGAAATTTGTGAGAAGGAAAAGTTTGGTGTAACAGAAAACTGAAAAAAGACCGCTAAACGCGGGCTCGGTTTTAATATTTATTTTATTTTCTTGTTTTTTTTTTCCCCTTTTGGTCGATAAATTACTGCGAAGAGTTTTATTAGTGAGTCGTTGTGAAGTTGTTTGAGATTTTTTACGCTCTACGAGTGAAAATAGGAAATGTAACACTTTTATGGTGAGATACTAACAAATTTATTCAAAATTGGAATTTTTAGTATGATATTGGCGGTTTGATTAATCTCATCAGTCATTTTGTGTTTTTCATGTAGAACAACTTTTAGTGGTGGCAATTTATCATCAGACCGCGTAAAAAAATATAAAATAAGACTATATATATGGTACATATATCCCTTATCGTGCTATCAACGAAGATGCGACGAACGTTCACGATGTCTAATACATGAGCTCCACTTTTTTAAAAAAATATTATTAGTTTTGTGTGTGTGTGTGTGTTACACAGATATTTGGTAACAGACAATTGAAAAACAAAATCAATGACTTAATGGACAAACAGTTCTCACAATGTAAAATTAACGTAAAGTCTTCAGAAAAATGGCTTTAAGTGAATTTATCTTCTACTAAAGATTAATGCAAGATCAGTTACACTTAAGGTGAAAATTTTGTTTTAGAACGTAACCAAATTCAAAATAAAAACCGGAACTTCCCTAAACCTCATGTATGGCGATGGGGCATACGTCTCCGGGCCTAGTATCAAATTTCTGCCTCAAGTCAAGTTTGGAACATATATAGATATTGTTAGAGACCTTGTTTTGTTATAAAATGGTTGTTGTAACTCCGGAATGTAACGAATGTGAACTTGGAAAATGATTGAATCGCGCACGTGAGCACTTTCCTTTAAGAGTATTTCGACCCTTCACAAGCCTTGGGTTACACGAAATCCCTTGTAGGATAAGACAATCAAAGTTCTCTCTTGTTCTAGGCTAAGATACAAGAGAAACAAATATAGATTTGTGTTTTGTTTATGTGTTTATCACCAAAGATTCTTTCAATCTTTGATCTTGTAAAACTCTCGTGCTCTATCCTTCTTTTTCTCTATTGACACAAGAGAAACATAGTTTTATAGTGATCAACGGTGTTCACATACGTTTGCAACCGTACGTTTAATATAATAACCGTTTGTACAAAAAGGTGCGATGGTTGGTAAATAACCGTCGTACGTACACTAACTGTCGATGTACGTACACTTAAATATCCAACATTCGTGAATAACCGACGATGTACGTACACTTAAATATCACGTACACTTAAATATCCAACATTCCTCCCCCATTTAAGTGTAATCTTTGATTCACAAAATTAACAACACGTAAACCAAACTCATGCATAAATGTAAATATCGTAACGATTGAATTTACATCTTAGTGATATTACACATTCCAAATGCTCGAGAATCAGGATGTCCTACGGATTGAATCCTTCAACTCATTTTGAGCACATGAAGATAATACACACACGAATTAACTCACTACTCTAAGTGTTTATCCTTGACACTATTATAAGCCATGTGTCCTTATCCATTCATGAGCGTATACAAAGCCAAGTCCGAGCTTCTTGAAGCGGCTACACTTCACACCCATATAGCTAGATCTTTTAATCTTGCACCTGCAAAATGCAATTTTTCAAAAGATCTATTAAGAAGAAAACTTCAACCTAACCTTTTCTTGCAGATCTAAGCACTTACTTTGGGATGATATAAACTAGTGCTTCAATCTCTAAGTGTGGGCTTTCCGCATTGAATTCAGCCTCTAACGTTGAATTAGAGGGGAACTGGGTATCCCACCATTAGAGATTTCAAATGGACTTTAATCCCATCCCTTTAGCCGACTTGATCACCAAGTCTCTAGCTAGTCCTTTTGTCAAGTGATCCGCTAGATTTTGCTCTGACCGAATAAATCCTATAGTAATCACCCCATGAGTGATCAGCTCACGTATCCCGCTATGTCTCAAGCCTAGGTGTCGCGACTTACCGTTATACACTTGGCTATAAGCTTTAGCAAAGTAGCTTTACTATCGCAATGGATAGAAATGGGTGACACCGGTTTCGGCCACAATGGAATCTCGGAGACTAGATGTCTTAACCATTCCGCCTCTCTCCCTGCAGCTGCTAACGCTACAAATTCCGATTCCATAGTAGAATTTGTAATACAAGTTTGTTTCTTTGATGCCCATGAAATAGCACCTCCCCCAAGTAGAAACATCCAACCACTTGTAGAAGAATGATTTTCCTCGTTGGTGTTCCAACTTGCATCCGAATATCCTTCTAAGACCGAAGGAAATCCAAAATATGACAAACCATAATTTATGGTTCCTTTCAAGTACTTGAGCACCCGCCTTACAGCTTGCCAATGATGAGTACTAGGATTACTAGTGTATCTACTCAACTTTCCTACCGCATAAGCTATATCCGGTCTAGTGTTAGTCATGACATACATTAAGCAACCAATTACTCGTGAGTACTCGAGTTGTGATACCGCTAGTCCCGTATTAGGCATAAGCTTCACGCTCGCATCCATGGGAGTGCTCACGGGAGAACAATTTTCATAATTGAACTTTTTAAGCACCTTCTCAATGTAATGTGATTGAGTTAAAGATATTCCTTTGTTCTCACGCTTGATTCGAATTCCAAGAATCACCTCCGCCTCCCCCATGTCTTTCATGGCAAAATTTGATGATAAGAACTCCTTTGTAAGTTCTACTTGTCTAAGGTTGGTACCAAAGATCAACATATCATCAACATATAAACAAATGATCACTCCATTACCGGAATCATCAAATTTGCTATACAAACACTTGTCCGACTGATTTAATTTAAACCCATTTGACAAGACAACCTCGTCAAACCTTTGATGCCACTGTTTAGGTGCTTGCTTTAGACCATATAATGACTTTACCAACTTACACACCTTATGTTCATTACCAGGCATAACAAACCCTTCAGGTTGTTACATATACACCTCTTCTTCCAAGACGCCATTTAAGAATGCCGTCTTGACATCCATTTGGTGGATCACAAGGTTATGAATTGATGCCAAACCAATTAATAACCTTATAGAGGAGATCCTAACAACCGGAGCATATGTATCGAAATAATCAATGCCTTCCTTTTGTCTAAAACCTTGAACAACCAACCGAGCCTTAAATTTGTCTATCGTTCCATCGACTTTCATCTTCTTCTTGAAGATCCATTTGAATCCTAAAGGCTTGCAACCGGGTGGAAGATCTGTTAAGAACCACGTATTACTTCCCATGATGGAATCCATTTCATCATTTACGGCTTCTTTCCAAAAAATAACGTCATTAGACGTCATAGCCTCACTAAAAGTTCTAGGTTCATCATCAATATGATAACAATATGATTATTGGAAACCAATCTCATCTCTTGACCCTTCAACTAAGTAAAGTTGAAAATAGGGACCGAAAGATTTTTCGATTCTCCCTCGTTTACTCTTACGGAGCGTAGGTGACTCGTTAGGAGGAACGAACATGTCGTCTCCTTCCTTTGTTCCACTTGAACTAGGAACTAAATCCTTTGGTCTAGGTATCGACGAGAAACGATTCTCATCAAATATTGCATCTCTTGACTCAATTACGGTGTGAACCGCTATAGAATCATTAGGTTCTATGACATAAAACCTATATGCCTTGGAATGCAAGGCATAACCTATAAAGATGCAATCAATACCTCTTTCTCCCAAAATCTTAATCTTTGGTTGGGGTAATCTAACGATCGCCCTACAGCCCCAAACTCGAAGATAGTTCAAGTTTGGTTTCTTTTTGTACCAAAGTTCATATGGGGTAACCTTGTTCCTTTTGTTGGGAACTCTATTTAATAAATAACAAGCCGTTACCATGGCTTCACCCCAAAATCCGTCACTTAATCCCGAGTAAGATAACATGGAATTAACCATTTCTTTTAGAACTCTATTTTTCCTCTCGGATACACCATTTTGTTGTGGCGTATACGGAGCCGTAGTCTCATGTATTATGCCCATGGATTGAAAATACATAGGATCATAATACTCTCCACCTCTATCGGTGCGCAACTTCTTAACCAAGTCACTATGTTGTAATTCAACCTCGGTTTTATAAACCTTGAATTTTTCCAAGGCCTCATGTTTAGCATGCAATAAATACACATAACAAAACCTAGAATAATCATCAATGAACGTGATGAAATATTTCTTGTTTCCTAAAGATGGTGTAGCATGTAAGTCACATAAATCACTTTGAATAAGTTCAAGCACCTTTGAATTTCTTTCAATGCTTTTAAAAGGTGGTCTAATTATCTTAGTCAACATGCATGTTCTACACTTCTCTATATTCACGTCAAAAGTAGGAATTAATCCTTCTTTAGACATATCAATCATTCTTTTATAATGCACGTGGCCTAATCTTGCATGCCATAAAGAAGTATCATTTTTGCTAGAACATGCCATGTAAATAGAATTGACAACTTTATTAATATTAAGCATAAACATGCCATTACAAAAATATCCAAATCCAACAAAGACACCACACTTAGATAAGACATACTTATCCGACTCATACACTTGTTTAAATCCACACTTATTTAAAACACTACCGGAGACTAAGTTTTTCCTAATTCCGGGTACATGAATTATATCATCAAGATCAAGATTATTCCCGGAACTAAATTCTAACACCACTTTGCCACGACCTAGGATAGGAGCGGTTGACTCGTTGCCCATATAAAGTACGGATCCATCTTGAACCGGCTCGTACGTTTTGAACCAGTCACGATCCTTGCAAACATGTATTGTTGCACCCGAGTCAATCCACCATGTCACCTCATCATCCTGCACATAAAATGCCTCAGCTATTTTTGATACATAATACACTTTTGAGTGTAAATCAAAAACAGAATTCTGACCTTGATGAGAGGATGGGCCTTGATCCTTAGACCCTTGCCCAAAACGTTTTTGTTGCGTTTTGTTCTTATCCTTTGCTGCCCGACAATCACGTTTGAAGTGACCCGGCTTGTTACAAATCCAACAAACGCTCTTGAATCGTTTGTTAGATCCATCATTGGTGTTGTTAGTAAAGGGGCGTTTCTTCCCCTTGTTCTTCATCTTAGAACTCCCACTTTCCTCCATCATATTGATTGAAGAAGTTTCAGCCTCCTTATCTTTGGGTTTTCCACCCTCTTGCACCCTTAGAGATTCCTCTATGCGCAAATGGCTACTAAGTTGTACAAGAGACAACTCTTCCTTTTTGTGTTTTAACATGCGCCTAAAATCTTTCCATGAAGGCGGCAACTTGTCGATGATGCACGACACCGAGATGGATTCATCCATGTTCATGTTGTGTTGAGCGAATTGGCCTAGGATGCGAAGTAATTCATTGTATTGCTCCATTAACGGCCTTGAATCGGACATCTTGTAATTATTAAAATCACTCACAAGGAACTTCTTACTAGAAGCATCCTCGGCCATGTACTTCGATTCCAACGCATCCCATAGTTCCTTTGCAGATTCGACATTTTGGTAACCATCAAAGAGAGAATCAGACATACCGTTGAGAATGTGGCCACGACATATGTAGTCATCGTTTTCCCACTTAAGTTGCTTCCTTGTCTCCTCCACGGACTCGTTCTCACCATTCTCCGACACGGTGGGCTTTGGCACACTTAGAACGTGCACCACATTGAGCGTTGTGAGGAGAAAGTGCATCTTCTTTTGCCATCTTCTAAAATCAACTCCTTCAAACTTATCCAATTTGCCAAACTTTGATGTCATCTCACGCACAGAAACATTAGCCATTGTTGACCAGACTACTCTTTAAGATTGTTATAAAATGGTTGTTGTAACTCCGGGATGTAACGAATGTGAACTTGGAAAATGATTGAATCGCGCACGTGAGCACTTTCCTTAAAGAGTATTTTGACCCTTCACAAGCCTTGGGTTACACGAAATCCCTTGTAGGATAAGACAATCAAAGTTCTCTCTTGTTCTAGGCTAAGATACAAGAGAAACAAATAGAGATTTGTGTTTTGTTTATGTGTTTATCACCAAAGATTCTTTCAATCTTTGATCTTGTAAAACTCTCGTGCTCTATCCTTCTTTTTCTCTATTGACACAAGAGAAACAGAGTTTTATAGTGATCAACGGTGTTCACATACGTTTGCAACCGTACGTTTAATATAATAACCGTTTGTACAAAAAGGTGCGATGATTGGTGAATAACCGTCGATGTACGTACACTAACTGTCGATGTACGTACACTTAAATATCTAACATTCGTGAATAACCGACGATGTACGTACACTTAAATATCACGTACACTTAAATATCCAACATGTTTGTGGGTATATGCTTTTGTCATGTCGCATTTTATTGTTTTGTCTGTTTAATGTAGACATTAGTCTCGCTTTCAGCATTGCATCAGTTCTTTCATTCTTTGACAAAGTCAGAGAAACACAAACAAATGCAGTTCACACACAACAAAAATCTAGAAGAACGCTCGCAAAAACGTTAAACACTCAAAACGCAACAAAATTCTACAACTTGGATAGTAGATTACAAGCCACAAAATCAGATTCATGATTTTTTTGTTCTTGTGTGATTTTCTTGTTTTTAAACGTTGTGTGATAAATTATCTCTGTTTATGCGAGAGAGATTATTTCAGACATATTCATAACCCAAAAAGGATCAGTAAGATTTTTAAAAGAAAAAGCTCCTTACGAGCTAGTGGTTAATTTTGATCAGAATTGGGTCCATACCTGTACACAATGGTCTTCGTTCTTTCTTCTGCTCCATTCGAAACTCAATGATCATTATTTAGAGGGATGCTAAAATCTTAGACTTTTCTTAGCATGCATAAAAGATTCCTTTTCTGATCTAGCTCCAAACTTTTCTTCTGTCACCATGTTCTTTTTGGACTATATATGAATTCGGTCAACATGTTCACATTTAATTATCCCTTGATCTTCGAGCATTAAGCTTAGCTATTGGAAGGAAAAAAAAACAAGCCAAGTTTCAGAATACTTTTCTTTCCAAAAAGGTTTTACTCGCTAGCTAACCCGCGACAAAAATGGCACACACGAGCAAATTTCGCCTCTTTTAGTATTTACCAATAATATTTTTCCTTGAATAAAATCACATTGCTTTTGTGGTGGATGTCCCATAATTTCAGGAGGGAACCAATTGTACTCTACGTACTTAAAATAATCATCACTTTTTCTCAGCCTTCAAAAAGAAATCACTAATTCACTATTACTATTAGTGAACTGTTTAATTTATCAGTAAATACAGTAAAAAGAAAGAAAAAAAAAAAAACAGTTAATGTGAATTTCTGTTTCATAGTAACATACATTACTTAAAAACAAATTAACGTAAATTATTTAATTGGGTAAACGGTAATTTCGCCCTCGATCATACCTCGAGAAAATAAATCTTCCCGTCGATAAACTCCGTACCAGAAAATTCGACACTCCGCCGCTTCTCTGATTCGCCTCCGTCGGTGGAAGCGTCTTCCCACCGCCATCTTCCCCTTCCTCTCGCCGCTGCGAAGTTCCAACACCGCCGGATTCTTCTTCTTCTTCGTCTTCGATCTCTCGCAATACATCAGCAATCGAAACACCCACTACACCTGAGTTCAACGATACAGATCTCCGAATCGGCAGCGAATCTTCATCCTTAGTGTCCCGCCGCTCCTCCACTGGTAGTAATTCCGATCTACCGTCACTATTCGGAGAACCAATTTCCAGATCTTCAATTACAACGACTGAATCAAAATCACCGGTTTGGTGTTGGTAACCGGCCAAATTCATATTGATTTCGGATACCGAACCGGTTTGATGAACGGAACTCGATCGGTTAGCTACAACAACTGAACCAGCCTCGCCGACGGCGGCGGTGGGATTATTAACTCCGGTGACAAAAGCGCGGCAAAGTGGACAATTAGAGTGAGATTTCAACCAAGTATCAATACAAGGAAGATGAAACGCGTGATTACATTTCGGCAACAATCTCAAACTCTCGTTTTCTTCAAATTCACTCAAACAAACAGAGCAATCAGAACCATCGACGAATCCATCTCCTTTCTTGTATTTATAAACTGTGATTGATTTAATCATAGAGTCGTTGAGTCCATCTCCAGTCGTAGAGATTCTTTGCGTGGAGGAGAAGAAACCGTCACTGTTATGGTTAAGAGTCTCTGAAGAGGAGGTTTGGTGGTGGCGATGACAGTACTTTGAGATGAGAGTGTAGTAGCTGACGAGGATGAAGGCACTGGTTAAGATTCCGATGAGAGCGATGAGGAGAGGAGAGAAACTGGAGGAGGAGGAGGAAGAGTCGTCGTCGAGGAAGAAAGAAGGAGGAGGAGGAGGGAAGATTAGGTAACACCATTGAGGACAGTAGATGTTGCAGATTCCTTGAGAGCAATCGTTGTAGGAGGAATCGTATGGTGACCATGGATTAGGGTTTGGCATTGATCCCATTTTGATTTGATTCTCAATGGTGTTTTTGTGTTGCAGAAGCAGAGAAAGAAGAAGAAGAAGAGAGAGAGGAGATGGTGTGGTGAAGTGTCACTCTCTCTTTCTCTCCTTATCTTTGGGCTCTTTGTGATCAAAGAGTTTTATTATCTTTGGACTTCTATAATAAGGGATTAATTCTTTAAGATATGTATATTTTTATTAATATTGTTGTACATGTATTAACATCATTTTACAACTAACTTTCTTTAAATAAAATTAACAACTGAATTATAGTATGTTTAGGTATTTAGATGGTCTCACTTTTCGTGAAGCGGAATGATTTGGCCGTAACATGTTGGCCTTTTGTATGTACAAAAATACAATAATCTTTTGTGGAGAATATGGGAACTAAAAAATTTAACCAAAGAAACAAGAAAATATATAATGGCACTAAAAGGTTCAAAGATAGCTGTTTTATGCTTTAGCTTTATTCGTTTCGTTTCTTTTTGAGTAAGTCTTCCAGATAAGTTAATAGACAATGTGAGTATTTGGAAAAAAGAAATTAGAGTAGATAATACATTTGTCGTGTGTGGTATATATCTTGAAGCATGGTCGAAGGTGTTTTGAGAATGATAATATGATATGATATGATAGGTATATGATACTTATCATCTTTATTGTTTGGTAATTAATGGGAAAGTTACGTAGATATGACTCATATGGAAGTTAAGTACCTTTCATTTAAAGTATAACATTTGTTGGTAAATTGTTGGTGAAGACGACTACCTAAAGGAGTCTTGAACATACGCCATGTGGAACTGGCAAATAATTCAATGATATGCTAAAGATGGGATAGCTAAACAAACATCTTTTATTTGATTTCTAACCAAATCTAAGTATTCAATGATAAGTAAGCATGAGTGTCTCTATCATAGTTTCGAAATTGACTTTTTTTATTCGTTGGGAAGGATTGTTAACCAACATTTTATATTCAAAGAAAACAGATGGAACGACAACAAATTAAAAAGATGAAAATTAATTAACTAATCAGACTACAAGAAAGAGAGTAATATCCTTGTATTTCTTAGAGCATTTTGAAATCTAATGTTGTAGATTTTATGGAGTTTTATCTTTGGATATATGATATATCGATTAATGAAAGAACAAGAAGAAAATATTTCTTTGACAAAAAAAAAAGATTTGCGAGCATATGCATGCTATATAAATAAATAAATAATGCTAATGATCTCTAATTAATTTCACATTTTCCTTCTCCTTCTTTTGCGAATAATTTTTCATTTCTCCGTGCATCATTCATTAAGTATACTAATGCTAACTTTCATGCCATATATACTACTACTACAGTACTACTATACTACTAGTCCATCTGTTCCTAGTTATTTGATGTTTTGAGTTTTTTACTTGTTCCACCAAGATTGATGTTTTGTAAAAACATCATTATTATTTTTGTTTGTGACCAATAGTAGAAGGAGAGAAGTAAAACGAATATTATTAAACTAACAAAATAATAATTAAAAAATATAAAAGTTACTTTTTCTTAATTTGTGTGTAAAACTAAAACATCATTGTTTTAGGAACAGAGGGAGTATTATGTAACACAAGTTACACAATCTTGAAGATGTGTTACATAATCTTGAATCTTCGAGTGGACATGAACACCAAATGATTAAAGTGATGTAAATAACAAGATAGGCTAGATAGCTTTGTAAGGTCAATAGGAATCGGTAACTTAGCAGGGAATCTTGTAAGTGCGTAGATAATCAATCTATAATAATAATTAGTCAGGATGCGACGAATTCCAAGGAGGTAAGGAAAAAAAGATTCTGATGCTTCAGCTTGAGTCCAAAGTTACTGTCTTTCACCATTCTATTACTTACTTAAAAAAAGAAAACGACCCCTATAAACGTACGTGTCTGTTTTTTTCAACAACTGAAAACCTGTCTTTATAAATTCGTTTATTTTTTAAATAAAAAGTATAATTTGATACTAAAAGAAAAGATGAGGATTCAGGAGGCTGAAGAATCTAATCTGATGATACTTACATCGAGGAAGTGGTAGATTTATTACGGCATTAAACTTGTCTTCTTATGCTGTGTATGCCTGTCGATATTAATTTCATCATCCATCCATAAAAAAGATTCGTCCACAATGCGTAACAAAGAGGAATCACTGCATAGTCAGTGTGAACATGAGCGCATCATTTGACCGCATGGATGAATGATTCAATAGTTTTTTTTTGAAAGAGGGTTCAATAGTATCATTTGAAGTCGGCATTGATCAGCTATTTTAGAAATTTCGGATACTAATTCTAAAAATGACATTAAATTGAACTAATATGACGTCATCGGTCTGAGTCTTTGCGTAAACCTTTTTTCGGCTTTCGATTTAAATAGAGATACTCATTTAGGCCCATTTAAGCCCAGAAACTAAGACCGGAAACAGACCGGTTCGGTTATCTCGAAAATTCAACAGTTGCTTATTATTATTAGTCAAACCGTTCTTCTAAATCGAAGCTGGAACTAGCCACTGCGATCGGAGAAGAAACAAGCTCGAGTGTCTCGAGAGACGCCATGGAAATTTCCCGAGCTCTTTCAAGCTTCGTTTGTCTTCTTCTGTTGCTCTCCATCTGTTTCGTTCCCTGCGTCTTTTCCAAATCTCTTCGTCCCATCTCCGTAAGTCTCACCTATATCTCTATGTTCGACTCATTCTAAGCTTTTTTGGATTATGCTTTGCTGATTTTGCCGGATAAATCAAATTTGTAGGATGTAGAAATCAGGCAGAAGAAGAGCGAATGCTACGCTGATATAGAGAGGTGAGTCCACGGGGTACTTGCGATTTGGTTCGAGTAGTCTCTCTTGTTAATTTGGTTTCACTCATTTGTGTATAGACGTAAGAGACGATCACGGAATTGGTTTTCTTTGATACTTGTATTGAGAAATTCTCATTCTTGGTTGGAAGATATTGTGAATCATATTGTAGGATTAGTTGCAAATTCTTGGCTCTATCTTATATGCTCACTTTTGTGTTATGTGTTTTGGGAAATTAAACAGTGGGTTATGGGGTTGGCAATGCAAATCTTCTGCTATAGCGAAAGAGAATTGTGCGCTGCGATGCCTTTCTCCGGTTTGCTATCAACTCATTTATGAGAGTGATCCGGTGAGGCTTGTAACAATGATGGTAATGAGTTTTCTGTAAATTCTGTCTTCTTCTTCTTATGCATTGGCTTATTTTGTTGAGCAGCTTGAAGAAGGTGAAAAAGATTTGATTAGGAGCCAAGAGTACAAGTATTGTATGTACAAGTAAGGTTTTAAAGGACAATTTCTCTCTTAGGTTTTACTACCACTTTTTGGAACTTTACAATTATTGTACTTCTCAGTAGTTAATGAACAATATGAATGACTGGTGTTGTGCAAAGTTCCCTTGATTCGACATGAATCATCTATATATCCATCTGTTTTTTGCAGGTCATCACTCGGGGAAAGCTTAGACGGTGTTCGAGGCAGCTTTTGATGGTACAAAGAAAAGTTTCTCAATGAAGACATTTGCCAAAAGCTGAGCTAAGCTCTTGAAGCCATGTAAGGCTTCTTTTGTTATAAACCTCAATTTTTGCGTTAATGGTTGTTTATATGAAACGTTTACGTTTATGATTGCCAAAAACCATTGTACAAATCAAAGTCCATATTATTATTGGAGTTCTCTTGTCATGCATAGGAGTCCATATTATTACAGTATTTGAGTCTTCCCAATTCGATTCGACCTTCACATACATGCACTCAGCATAATTACACGATAAGGGAAGCCACATAAATCTGGATCTTGATAACGAATTTAAATTCATATATATATATATATATATATGTTTGCAAGGTTTTCTATATCTTGTGTGTTTGAGTCACTGTTCCGATGGTTATTCCAAAGAGGACTTGCTTTGAAAACTCTGTTTGCTGAGAGAACCCATGTCAAGAGTATGGGAGTCTTTTGTAGTTTTTCTTCACCTGCAACTTGAACGATTTCAAGAGCTTAGACCAATGGCATACTAAGTGAAAGACATGACATCTGCTACAATGAAGATCCACCAAATCTTGTCGAAATCAGGAATATGAGATCTCTGTTTCTTTAACTTAAAGTTCTTGGACAACTAGCTGTTAACAGAAGTAGAGCTTCCGCTGAGATCTCTGTTTCTTTTACTTAAAAAGTTCCTGGACAACTAGCTGAGGAATCAGAGCCAAAGAAATAAAAGTTTGACGAGTCAGCACTTGTTCCAGAAGACCAGTTTCTTGCTCAACATCCGGTACTGTCGGAGCAGGACCATTACTAACACTGTCTTTGTGATAACGACGCTTGTGGCTGCAGCAGGGGAAATGCTCTTCAGTCTCTTTTAACTCTTTTTTTTTGAAGTAAATGTTTACAATTGACTTTCAAGTAAGTCTCTGTGAATCCTAAAACGTCTTTTTAATGTGATAGTCATGAAAAAACAATGAGAATTTTTTTACCTTTAGATTAGATTTGGTTAAATAACAGAAGCAAAAAGTGCTGAAAAGAGTTATACAATCCTTGAGATCAAAATACACCCCTAAAATGATTTCTACCAAATACAAGTCATCACATTCATGGAGTAGAACTGAATGATGCAGCTCCTTTTCAAGTGTGGTCAACTCGAGACGGTTATAGACGCTCACCTTGCTCACGAGCAATAGAAGCCGAGAGGATTCCAAGATCTCGATTGAGAACAGTTAATGCAGCTTCACAGTCAGATACGATTCTGGTTACAGAAGAAGGCTCTCCAGCAACTGTCCCCGATGATCCAATTGAAAGTGCTGCATGTGAGTCTCTTAGGTTCTTCAAGTTACCTAGGAACTGTTGCCAAACAGTACTCAATTCATTTCATTTCATCGTGTTATCAGAATCAAAGCATAACTGATATGGACTCGATCCGCCTCGTTAATTAAAGTTAAATCCGCTGAGAGCTACTCAATTTAGTCGATACAACCAAGTATAAAGATAGAAGGAGACAATGGGGTACCTTTAAAAGCATATTATATGCTTCTAGTAAACGATTTGCAGCAGGACCAAAACCATGAAGCTGAGGCACTTCCATCATATGCGTCCATGGACGAATTTCCTGAAAAATCCAACATAGTGAAAAAGATACAATTATTTTTCAGTTTCTGGAAAAGATTGTCAGATCAAAAGATATTAAGAGGCATTTTTTTGCGACATGGAAGCGGCATGATAGAGAGAAATAGCAGATTTCATGTCTACAAGAAAAATGCTGAGCTTAAGCATTTTGCTTCCAGCTAATCTAGGTTGATAGGGAGAGAGAATTCTGAGTTCGTACGAAAAATACCTTAGTGTAGATTGTATTGAATGCCCTAGCAGTTTCAAGAAACGATTCTAAACGAGCCCTTAGTTGAGATTCCACTTCAGTATATTCTTCATCTGGGTTGTAAGCATGCTGAAAGGAGAAAAAGACATATTTAGACCTAGCTGCTAAAAAACAAGACTGTTTCCTTTTATCAACAAGTCAATAAGTAGTAGGAATTGAGATGCATATATACATATTAGTTAAATTATGTACTTATAATTTAAGAGCTATATGTTAAGCAATTGGTATATGCAGTTTACAAGTAAACCAGCGATAAGTAATAAGTGGAGTGAAATATTATAAGTCTGATGAAACAGCAAAATTGGTCCAATGAGTTCTGTAGTTCAGAGTCAAAACATAACTCTTCAATATGGAGAAACCAAAACACACCTTTGCTGCCAAGTCATCGACTTTCTGTTGAAGATTAGAGAGAATCTTGGCCTGTTCTGAAAGTTTTGTCTCCAGTTCTGAAACATCTGGTCTGCAAATTAACTTCGATTAAGGAACATAAGGTCACTACATCTGCTGAAACATGAAGCAACAATCTAAGGACTACGGTTTGCACGTACAATAGTAGTATTAACCTAAAGCTTGATTTTAAACAAAAACCTCTGAGACCAGATAGATCTATAAGCGTAAGTGAAAAAAAAGGATATAACTAACTGGCACCAAAAACACATTGCTAACCCTAGTGACGCATAGTAGCAAAGTTTCATATGTTAATTTGGAAAACTAAGTTTACATTTACAATACATCTGAAAAAGTCCATTACCCACAATGACTAAATAACGAGAAAATGTGCAATAACTTGGAGATAACAGGAGAAAATGGTTCTTACAATGGATATATCGACTGGATCTGCACATCAGCGGGGAACAGTTTGCATTCCTCAGAAAATATAAGAGACTGTCTCTCTGCAATAGCATCTATGAGCTGGATATCTTTGGCAACTTGCTCATCAATACTAAAGAACAAAACAAACAATAACGTTGACGGGAATTAGGGAGATGAAAGACTACAAAAATGCCACACTAATGATACAAAGTGGTGGAAGATATCAGATACAAGTCTACCTCCATTCTTGATTATCTGAGAAGAGGCTTGCCTCCACTAATTCAACAATATTGCGAAGCATTTCCATCCGATCTTCATAGGTTCCATGCCCCTAAAACAATGATAGTAATATTGCATCTTGAAAGTTGAAAATTTACAAAACAAAAGAAAATTCAATCGTGGAACCCATGCTTTGTATTTTGACAAATTATGGAATTTGAGCAAATATAGGTAAATCCAGTTAAGGCTAGATAAAAAAAGATGATCAAACAATTTAAAACAAGCTTACTTGAATGGCTTCTATGTCTACAGTTGGTGTAAACCCCAAAAACTTTGCGATCTCTGCCAAATCTGAAAACGAGACGTCACTTACACATCAAAACTAATATAGTAATAATAATCACATCAACAAACTCTTCCCAGCACTACCACGATATCAATGGAAGCAAACATTTTAGTCAAAGATAATAGCTAGGCATTATTGCTTTGTTCAAAGGCCAACCCGATCAAAGAAACACTTACATTGAATACGAACAGTTTCTTCATCACGAACTCCAGCATCTCCTTGAAGATTTTGCTGTGAGAAAGGTGATTTATCACCTAATAACCTTCAAAGATAGAGCCGAAGAAGAAACAATAAGTAAACCCCAAATAAATCTCCACTGTGATTGCAAAAGAAGAAGGAAAAAAACCAAAATTTCCAGGTTAATCAAGCAATTCAAACAGACCCAATTCATACACTGTTGTCAATTTCAACCCCATGGAAATTTTTGATTAGAGCTCGAAATTTTCAAAATGTTGGGAATTCAAATTGATCTTCAAAATTCAGAGAATTTCCCAGCATTTTTTCTGGTAGAAGAGGATCGAATAAGCTAAAAGAAGGAGAGTTACTTGAAAAAGAGCCATTCGAGAAGAGCATAACGTTCCATCCCGGCGAAGAGGAGAGACTGAGCTGGAGCATTTGCCCTAGGGTAACTAAGCAGCCCTAGCTTCTTCTGTATCTCTTCCATTTGCTTCGCCGCCATTTTCCTTCTCCACCAATTCCGGCGACGGCTTCAACACCGATTCAAATCTCGAGATCTGACACTAGCCTCGTGTCCTTGGGTTCTTCTTTCAAATCTTAAAAGCCTAATTTACCACATTGGCCTTTTTTCCTCACACAAAAAAAAAAAGAAAAAAAAATCTAATTGACTTTTATTTTATTTGTTTTTAAAAAAAAATTATAACTCGGATGATCCGGTTCAATGGACACCATAAACTCATATCTAAGTAGCGAAGACTTTTTTCTCGGATCAATGGGTCATGAGATCCGACTAATCACGGAACTAGAGGGAACCATGTGAAAACCTCTTGCACCATATGTTTACGGGCGTAGTTTCTAAAGTATATCGAATTTGGGGTAACTCATTACAACGTAGTTTCATTACCATTAGACCACATCCGTATGGGGTACATCAATTTGATCTAATTGATTTGAGTGACACAAAAAGTAAAAATGTTTGGGTTAAAAATAAACCGATAAGTAAACAAAATAATTTTGCACAATGTTTTTTCAACTATTTCACCTAATATATAAGTAAACATAGTAATTGGAATAATTAAAAAAAGATAGTACTACATTCGACGAAGGAGGAGCAAAGTCCAAGAACAGAGCTTTCAAAAAAATTTGTACTTCCCAACGGATCTCTGACGTTTGGTCTAAAGCCGACGACGTCCCACAACCGAACCCAAAAGCTATCTCTTTTTTTCTTCTCTCTCTCTCTCTCTCTCTCTCTCTCTCTCTCTCTCTTCGTGCGTACTGGTTTTGCTTAAGCAATGATCTCCCTGAATCTATCTCCTTCCTTAAATCCGGGTCTCCTCCACAAGACCCGGAGCCGTCAACAACCGACCCGTCTCTCTGCTCTTCTCGTCACCAACCCTAAACCCTTCAATCACAGATACCCACTAGGGCTTTCACCGATTCCCAGTCTCCAGATTCGTGATGCCGCCGCAAAACCATTGCTTTCACTCACAAACCCTGAGTCCTCATCTGGGTTCTCGAGAAAACCCAGATCCATCGCCGCCGTTGGCTCATCGGATTCAAATCCAGACGAAAAATCCGATCTTGGCGAAGCGGAGAAGAAAGAGAAGAAAGCTAAGACTCTTCAGCTAGGGATTGTGTTTGGTCTTTGGTATTTCCAGAACATCGTCTTCAACATCTTCAACAAAAAGGCACTCAATGTCTTCCCTTATCCATGGCTTCTCGCTTCGTTTCAGCTCTTCGCAGGTTCTATTTGGATGCTTATCTTATGGTCCTTTAAGCTTTATCCTTGCCCTAAAATCTCCAAACCTTTCATCATTGCTCTCCTTGGTCCTGCATTGTTTCACACTATTGGACACATCTCAGCTTGTGTCTCGTTCTCCAAAGTCGCTGTTTCTTTCACTCATGTTATCAAATCAGCAGAGCCTGTCTTCTCTGTTATCTTCTCGTCTTTACTCGGTGATTCGTACCCGTTAGCTGTCTGGTTATCGATTCTTCCGATTGTTATGGGTTGTTCTTTAGCTGCAGTCACTGAAGTCTCATTCAATTTAGGTGGATTATCAGGAGCTATGATTAGTAATGTTGGTTTCGTCTTAAGAAACATTTACTCTAAAAGAAGTCTACAGAGCTTCAAAGAGATTGATGGATTGAATCTATACGGTTGCATTAGTATACTCTCTCTGCTTTATCTGTTTCCCGTGGCGATTTTCGTTGAAGGATCACATTGGGTTCAAGGTTACCATAAAGCCATTGCATCTGTTGGGACACCATCAACGTTCTACTTTTGGGTTTTGCTCTCTGGTGTCTTCTACCATCTGTACAACCAATCTTCTTACCAGGCACTCGACGAGATCAGTCCATTGACTTTCTCTGTAGGGAACACAATGAAGCGAGTCGTGGTGATTGTCTCCACGGTTTTGGTGTTTAGGAATCCTGTTAGACCTCTGAATGCTCTTGGATCAGCCATTGCGATTTTCGGTACCTTCTTGTATTCTCAGGCCACCGCAAAAAAGAAGAAGATTGAAGTGGGAGGTGATAAGAAGAACTAAAGGTTTTAAGGGCAAATCCAAGGTTTACCTTTTCATTTTTCCAAGTTTTTTTTCGCTGTTTTTGATCTTATTATGAGACTAGAATTATCATTTCTGTTGACTGGTTTAGTTGCTTCAAAGACTTTGATCTACTTAGTTCTTGACCACGTCTACTGGATATTGTTTCACTGATATGAAGTTGGTCTGATTCAGAGAAGAGCTAAATTTCTTAATCTTAAGCCAGTTTCTTCCTTATACAATGAGACTTTGAGTCCAATTCAAAAACTGTACACTAAAAACACAAAAGAGAATTCCTTTCTTCACCAGGAGTAATGCCGGAACCTTCTCCGACTCGTTCTCCTGAAAGGTTTACAAGCCAGAATGCTAAGATCAACAGCTGCAGCAAGTGCCATGAAAATGGCTGCATCTTCCACACAAGTTACATGCCGCATAGCTAACTGTACCACAGGCTTGCTACTTTTCCCTTCCCCTTGCACTCTCGAGCTCATTACAAACCCGCCTCCAGAGACACACTGTCCCAACCCTGAGAAGTCTCCGCTACTCTGTGGGCTTGGAATTGGGGTAGCTGCAACCGTTAGCATCTGTTTATCTGTGTCGATAAAAAATTCCCCACCTTTCTCAGCGCTGATGAGAATTTCAGACATTAAAACATCTCCAATTTCTAGCCCGTTTGATAGAAGGTGAAATCTGCAACACACGGAGTCTCTGATCCCTCGTTCCCGCCAAGCTTCGAGCTTTCCCCAAGGCTGCCAGCTGTTAGGTCGAGATGGGTCAGGCCGGACCACAAGCCAAGCACCCGGATTGGACTTGGCGACCCAATCACAGCCACTGGATGGGACAAAGGGAGTTGTTATGAAAGCAGCAGCAACTGCAGAGCCAGAGAGATCATGTATCTTCACCTTCCAGCCTTTTCTCTCACGTCTCTCACTCTCAAGCTCAGTTCCATCGCCTGAACTTGACCAGTACCCGTTCAACGGATCCACTTGAGACACCCTGAAGAATCAATACCGCCATCAGTAACTAAACAGAGAGCACATAGAGATAGATTTGTGCATATATGAAGAAAAGATCAAATGTCACCTGTCTCGGCTAAATTTGCAACTGAAGATAGGTTGCTTGACAGAGCCACGGAGCTGAACTATCTGAGGGCTCAAGGTAGTAATATCCTCAAACTGGAAAACATAACGAGGATCAGGATCAAGCTTCACTTTCAAATGAAGCTCTGCAGCACCATCCCGCTTGTTCTTTCCAATACTGATCCAGCCATTGAATAGAATCATCGGTTTTCCTGCTCCCCATTCAGGACCTACCTCCAACTTAAATATCCCAATCTGCTGTCTTTTAGCACCAACCCCGCAATTCAAACTCTTTTTACCCGAAAAAACCGAGATTTCCAAGTGAGCATGAGGACTATAGAAGCATCCAGGGGTCAGGAGAGTTCTTAAATCAGATTCTTCAAGATAAAAGCTTGTGGAAATGCTGTGATGGTCAGGAGCTGCATCTAGGGACGGCATCAAAGGGATAGATGTTGTTTGAACAGGAAAGCCTCGTAGTTTTATTTCACAAGAGCATTGAGAAGAAAAGTTCTTCTTCTCATCAGATTTTGAAGTAGAGTTCAAAAGGATCTTGGGAATTCTCAAAGCAAGAGAGCCAACGGAAAGGCGAATAAAAGCTTGGGGATCCATTAGAGGTCAGAAATGTTTCCCCATTGGATCAGAGATGATGCATATCCATCATGGTGGTATGATCAATCAATCAACCTAACAAGCCAAAACCAGAGCCGAAAGAGATCAAACCAAAGTTAGTTTCATCTTAAACTCATATCAACAGAAACTGAATTATGACAAAAAAAAAAACACAGTCTTGAGCTAATAGGTAATGCTCAAACGATTCTTAATAAACTTCTACTGAAATTGACATTTCCCTCTTTTTTTTTTTAATAACTGCTTTCTTAATTACAAAACCACTAAGCTAGAGAATTTAATGTCTTTCTTTCTTCCATAGCTCTAATCTATAAAGAACAGAGAGCACATGACTTCTACCATTAGTAAACTCAAGCTACAAGCTCTAACAGATTAAATTACTTAGAATAAACAAACAGCATACGACAAACTTAATTACATTTAACAAACATTAAAGCTGAAAATAAGCTGCTACTTTCATCAAAAAACAAGCCACAACCAATTGAAGCCAAGGGGAAAACAGAGAAGCAGAGAGAATGAAAAAAGTAACAAACTTTATGGAATTAGGATTTTACCAAAATGAGTCAAAAGAAGAAAGAAAGAAACAAGAATTCAGCTACAAACCTGTGTAAACCCGTAAGCATTATTTTCAAGACAATCTGATAGATCCCAAGAAAGTTTAGACCTTTGAAAAATCCTCTCGTCAAAACCAAAAAACTAGTAAAGAAAAAGGAGAAGAATTTATCAAAACAAAAAAAATGTAAATAAGTGAAATGGTGGAATCAAGAGAGAGGGAACATAAACATGAAATTCGTAGAAAGAAGAGAGATTTAAGATTATGATGCGATTTCGATTTTGGTTTTCACAGAACCCCAAAGAGAGAAACTTTTCTTCTCTCTCTCTCTCTCGTTTTTGCTGTGTAAGTAAAAATATTCTACACCCGAAGAAAAATTGTGATATTCGCTTACGAAATTGACGGGGAGAGTATAAACACAAATAAAAGGGTTTCTATTTTTGTTCCTAAAAATGCATTTTCTCTCCTCTTTTATTATCCTTTTAACGTCAACGTACTATACAAAATATATTTTTTTCCTTTTCTCATTGCTCAAAAAAATATAATTCCACCATTTTCTGTAGAAATGTAATTTTATAATATTTATTTAGAAATAAAATGGTTTCTTAAATTTATGCTAACAAACATGTTATGGAAATGCTTAAAGAGTTGTCCACTCAAATTATATCACATAGAATTTTTAGTTTTATTATACTTTTATACATATTTTCTTCTGTAGAAAATACATTTTATTTTTGAATTTTTAAACAAACTATTCAGAAATAGTTTTCTAAATGTTAACAAAATTTCGCAAAATTATGAGCTTGAAGTTTTTATAACTTATATGTATTGAGAGAAAATAATCAATATATCATAGTGATATTTGTTGTTTAAGTTCAACATGATTAAAAAAAAAAAACATGATTCATCAATATTTATACCTACTTTTTAGTAAAATAATAGTCCCATCCTCGAAGCATGTTGAGGAAGAATAATGATCTATTTAATAAATGGTTGTCAATTATATTATCAACAATAAATTCACCCGGTCGAATTATTGAACTAGAGGTAGGTTAATAGTGTTTGGTGGAAATAAAGATACTAATAATGCAATCGAAGTCAATACCAAGTGAAACCGTATACATAATACCAAAATACAAACGTTTTTTTTTTTTTTTTTTTTTTTTTTTTTGAAAACAACAAAATACAAACGTTTATTTATTATCTTAACTCTTAAGAATATGGAATAAACCAAATTTAAAAAAACAAAAAAAAAAACAAAAATAGATGGATGGGTACGTGAATACAGCTGGAGCCATGTTTCTCCTCTTCTTTTTTCCCATTCAATATTTTACATACAAATAGAAAAATAACGAAAAGCTACAAAAAAATCTAATCACTTTCAGACACATAAGCCTGACTTCATATCCCAACTGTCCACTTTATTTTATTAGGTTTTTCTAAGAATGCAACCTAGCTACAATTATTTGTTTCTTGTAAATTACATGTATTTGATGAATTAATGCACTAGTAGTCTTGGTCATTGAAACTTGTAAATTATTTTAATAAACAGTTAATAATTTTAAAATTATTTGTAGATTATATTTTATGAAAAAAGTTGGTTAAATCTGGATTGTTATTTTTAGTTTTAGGTTTTATACATAATTAAGTTTAGTTAAAAATAAATATAATTGATTACAAAAAAAAAAAGAGCCGCAAAGGAGGAAAGGGATAGAGATGGGTTTTCGAGGAGCTGACATGTTCGACATGTGCCTCTTACTGTCATTTACTTCATCAATCTCAGACTTCTTTTGCCCTCTTTCTTTTTTATATTACTACTATTTAAAAAAAAAAAAATGCCATGTCTAGATTCTCTGAATTAATGATGTTTAAAGGGCTGTTTTGAGTCAAATTACTTACGGATTTTAAGACAAAAGGAACGTTTAAGCAACATGGAAGTTTTGGATACAAGCAGAAAAAGAGGAAAAATATGTAGAGACTTGTGGACTTGTCTATATATTAAGCAAAAATAAATAAATTAATAAGCCTTGGAAATTTGAAAATATCGGTTTTCTCTACTCATGTACATTCTCAAAGTTTTTTTTTTTTTTTAATTTTGTTATTTTGTGGATATCATAAAAGAGTAGCTACTAGCAGGTGGTCATTGCTGAAGAGTATGCTCACCAAAGAAGCATAAGTGTGAGAATTAACACATATTACAAATTTACATATTATATGTTTTGTAGTTTATTAGAATATCTATCTTTATGTGGATTGTGGTTCGTGTTTGTTGAAATTGTAAGTGTTAGATGGTGGTACGTTAGCATCGCCCGTTATGCATGCGTAGTTGAAGTCTTGATTCGGTGGAGTCAGCTCAGAGCTGGTTGGTTATGAAATAAACAAATGTAGTAAAACAAAGTGGTGTATGTTTTAAATGGTGTATTTCCTTTTATGTTTTGGAAGATTTCTGTTGGACTTGGTCTCGAAAATGTGGTTTAAGATAACCAAATTTCGTATGTATTTTATGTTAGCTTTTTCACCATTTCGTATAATCGAAAAGACTATTGGCCAAAGTCATAAAAATCGTCAAAATCAATCGCTACTATACGGCCGTTAAAAAGAAAACATATCCTATAAAATCAATTTTGAGTTTGATTAGTAGGATGATATAAACAAGATTACTATCACTACATAAATTTTATGTGTCTGCAGTCGCGGAGCCAGAAATTTTGTTTATAGGGGTCATAAAACATTTAAAAAATTAGGCCTAAAAAAAAATCTTATTATAAATATATGTATATATATAATTTTTAAACCTAAAATATTTCATATTTCATCTTTCAAATTAAAAATATTCACAGTTTATCTTCTTTAGTTGTATCAGCAAAACTTTTTTTTAGTTGTTTTTTTAAAATCTTGATTCATGACTTTTAGGAAAAAAAATTCTAAGAACAATGTTGAAAAGAATGTAGAAATTAAAACAGTATATGTCTAAAAAGAAGAAAAAAAATCGATATGTTAATAGGTTTTTTTAATAAGAAAAAAATATTATAGATTTTTAAGTAAACCAAAATGTAAAAAAAACATTAAGATTAAATGACAAAATGAATATGCATGGGGTCAAAGACATGAATATATCACATAACATAGGGGTCATTGTGAATACTTTAACCCAAAACATATAATTATTGTAGAAGATTACCTTATAATTAAAAAAATCTAAAAATGTTATGGGGGTCAACTGACCCCCCTAGTTGTACGTTGCCTCCGCCACTGTGTGTCTGCGAAATTGTCAATATCTTTTAATGCTTCTCTTTATATATGCACCCTTCTTTTCATGATCCTCTCTATAAATGCATTTTATGCAAAAAATTATAATGTTCTTTCTCTCTTTCTTTCCTTTTTTTGTTTTGTTTTGTTAGAGAATAGAGAGTTTGATTGCATCCATCCTCTTGCAATTTTAGAATATTAGGACGCTTGATTATGAGAATCAGTTAGTGACTTCTTACTTTCTTAGTTCTCTATTACCGTTTGTTTGTCTTGATTATTTTTTAGGTTATTAGTCCAGTCGCGAATCCAGAACATATTTCTACATAGGGCACAAAATATTAACCATAATTAATTAGTAAAAAAAATTTATCAAAAAGAAGACATAAATAAAAGAGGATTCGAACATAAGATTTTGGATTTAGCATAGGGCAACTTGTACCAATTAAGCTAGAAACACATTTGCTGCTAATACCATTTATTATATTTATGAAGTCTGTGTAAGGCACGTGCCCTACTACCTCCCTATGTAGATCCGCATTACTGACCGTTCGTAAATCACTTAAAGAGTTTTCTTTTGGTATGAAGACGAACAAAATTCATAGCTGAGTTTTTATTCATCTTCTCTGTCTCCCAGATTTTTATTTAAGTAGTTTGTTTTTATATAATTTATTACAGATCCAAAATTTATAATAATCAAAAACTTGTCATGATTTATATATTTAGTAAGCATCCATGAAAGTTTAGATAAATGAACAAGGTCAAAATTATGGTTAAACTAATCTTTTGTCATGTTCTACTTTTGATATTTAATAACTTATATTATATAATTTAAAATATTTTGTTATTATCGAAAAACTCAAATCAAAACAACACTAAACCCTGAGACATGTTATCATCATAGTATATATTAAGACCACAGTCAACTAAACAATAAATATCATAAACTTAGTTCAAATCTATGTTTATGTACCCGCCTAATCCTTTATTTTAATTTTCATAGTCGTATACATCCAATTATCATATGATTAGTTATATAATCATCAAATATCACAGATCAATACATGTGATATATTATTGTGAAGTTTTGTATAAAGTTAGTAGATAAAAGTAAAATAAAAAAACTAGTGGCAGGTTGGAGAGATAAGGTTGTCTTTTGCCAACTTTTTACAACTCTTTTGGCATTTTTGTCTTTCCACTTTGTAATTTCCTAGGTTGGCAGAAAACTCAAAAGCATCTAATACTCTCTTTATATACAAAATCCAAATTACTTTTTTCATTTATGGTTCATATATTCCTTCAACCAAAACCATGAAACAATTTCCCAATAGACAAAAATGGATAAGTATCAACAAAACCAATCTTAATCAAACTTCAACTCCAAATAAAAAGGAAAGACGTTTATTGTGAAGATTCCACATCAACAACAATATTAAAGAGTGATCGTTTTCAAACAAGTGGATCTCTGTTTCCAACTACCTAAAGGGGCAAACTTTATTTATACAAGCTTCATACAAACCAAACACAGAAAGAAAGATCACAACTTTCTAATCTCTAGGCTCGGAATTCACTATGCAATTTCAGAGACTTGATTTTTATTGTTATGTAATGATAATATATGGTCTTTTGGAAAACAATCACTTCCATTTCTTGAAGAATTTCCCCTTATGCTTCCCAAACATGCCATGCTTCCAGCGTTTTCCGTGCTTGAACTTTCCGTGACCGTGATAACCGTAGCCATAGCCGTGACCGTGATGATGATGACCATAGTGTCCATGGTGAGACATATGGTGAGCACCAGCTGCTGCAGCCACTCCACCCGCTATAATTGCTCCTATGCCTCCATGGTGATGTCCTGTATCATCAATTTGGTTTTCTCATATCAACATTAAGTCTAAAGGTCTCTATTGTTTAAAACGCCATTTTCTGTGTGTTTATAAATGAATTTTGTTTGACGATGCTAAAAGGTATAGGATCATTTGGCAAAAACAAATACAGACTAACCATAAAAACATATGTAAACAAACAATCTAAAGCCTAAATTTGGTGACATGTAAAGATATTTGTAAGAAGAAGAATGTAAATGTTGTTGAGATTGAAATTACCTGAGTGAGATGGACCGGGATAGCCATGAGATGGATAACCGTGAGAAGGATAGCCAGCGGGAGGATAACCGGCTGGAGGGTAACCACCGTGTGGAGGATAAGCAACTGGTGGATAGCCATGATGAGGAGGGGGAGGAGGCGGGTATGGATAAGGAGCTTCATAACCGTGACCGTGATGACCATAACCATGACTGTGAGGCCGGTAATGTCCGCCTGCAAACCCTGCTAAGTGGTGGAAGAATCCTCTGTCACTGTGATTATGTTGATCCTTTCCCATTTTTTTCACACTTCAATTTCAGAGTAATCGGTGACTAAACTGTAAACAAAAAAAAACACATTGCCATTGGATTATGAAGCAAAACAGATAGTTTGTTACATCAAATCCGTGCAACAACGATCAGATTAATGTTGTGTGAGTAATAAGGAGCTAAGTGAATGTTGGCGTCTAACTCCAATTTCAAAGCTTATGTCAGCAAACACTAAACCTTAAGAGAGAAAGAATCAAGAGACAATCAGACAAATCTAAAACGATGGAGAATTCGACAGAACATGTTAAAGAACAGAAGAGCAAAAAACAGATGGACACAGTTCGTTCACAGCAGATGCCTCTCTAACTATAGATAGTTAAGAAACTTGACCAACATTCAAATCCAATTTATCGTTTCCACACATACAAATGCTTCTCTAACTTTTTTTTTTTGAAAGATTCGAGGTTTATAGCAGTGATTTCTAGGGTTTCAAAAACGCATAAGTTAAAACTTCAACATCTGATGCCTAGTTTCTGACACGAAGCAACATACATGGACATAACAGGATAGATTCACATATCACAGTACTATTCTAACACTCAAAATCCCAGACAAAAAAAAAATGAATCTAAGCATAGGATTAAAGATGTTCGTACCAAGCTTGAGGGGTTTTTCTCACGAGATTCGACCTTGCGATGGTCTTAAAGCGATTGCCCAGTATAAAGAACGAGACTTTATTTGATTTCGTAATTCGAAAGATCACAACGTCGTCTGAATATTTATAGTTCCGCCTTTGTTGAAGCAGAGGAAACGCCTGAGACGCTGCTTATCGAGCCGTAGTTTCCACGCTACGCGTTTCCTTTTATTTATTTCCACAAAAAAAAAACTGCAAGATAATATATTTTAATTGATGTCTTGAAAACATAGGTCTTTTTATTGTTTTTTTCAACCAATCAGAATTACGGATTCCAGTATCCATTAGAGCATCTCCAACGCAGGGAGAGAGGAGGTTCTCTGAAGATTTAAATAATATTAAAAAGAAATAAAGTTGGAGAGAGAAAGAGAAAAGAGGAGAAACGTTTCTGTGTTGAGAAACGATTCTCGCAAAAAGTGACCAGTTGTCATCTTACTGATACAATGTATTAAAAATAATTAAGATATATTTTTACAATTAAAATATCAATATTTTTTTTTGAAAAATCTCACTCTTCGTCTCTTGCCGTTGGAGATGGCCTTACAGATTTTATCATTTAAAAGTCACGTGTCTTGTTTAATCAACTTAAAGCACAAAAAAACTCAGGTACAGTTTGGTTTAAACTATTCGGTTAGCATTATACTAGAAATCAAAACCGAATTAAACCAGACCAAACTGGTTTAAATAAATCTTCAACTCAACGACCAAATTGGAGACTACTTGTTTGAAACTGAGAATCATGTAAGCTGACGTTTCTGGTAAAGTCTTCTGTAGATTCTTGCACCTTCGAATTCAGCGTGGATCTCTCGTTCTGTTCGTATACCCATCGGGTTTTCCATTAACCAACCATCTTCTGTGTCGACTGTTTCCATGTGTTGAAGAACACTTGATTCCTCGTCCAACTGATCTCTCATGTCTTGAGCCACATCCAGCACATCGGATTCCACAAAGATCTGTGTAGAACCAGTAGTAATGTTGGTAGCCATTGGAAGGCAAGTTAAGCTTTCAGAATTAAGCAAAACACTTACTTTTCTGCCGGGTTTTAGGTTTTGAAGAATGGAATTCACCAAAGGCTTTTGAACAACACGTCTCTTTTGATGACGTTTCTTGAAATGAGGATCCGGACACTGCATTTAACACGCCACAACAAGAAGTTGGATCATCATTTCAAGACAGGGCCTAGAAATATCGCTTTCTCGGATGATTACAATTTTAGTCACTTACCAAGATTGAGACAATCTCCAGTGGTCCAGGATAACTCGATATGAGTTGTTCAAAGGAAACCATGGCGTTTGCAAATATGAAATGTCTGAAACCCATCCATCAAAGAAGTTATCAACAGAGTATAACATAAGTGTATTTTCTAAAGATCTTTCCTAAGGTTTTGGAATGCAGAGATTACACGTTTGAAAGTCCGAGCTCATTCACCCAAAAGTTGGCGCGCTTGACCAGCTGCAAAGAAATGTGACAAATTGAACTTATTTAGTCCAACGTTATAAAAAAATACAGTAGCTTAAGTAGATGAATGATCAAGTGAAAAAAGTCAAAAGGAGATACATCCTTACTTTCTGACGTATTTCCAGCCCCAAGTAATTTCTTGATTCAGCATTTTTATTGGCTAGCCATAGGAGAAATCTGCCACTACCTAAAATATAAGGAAGTAACCACAGTATTAGTAAAAGAATCCAAATCCATTAACAAGGCAGAGAAGCAAGAACGCAAATCAAATAGGAAAGTTTTGGTTTTTAAGAGTTAAGACACATTTCAAGCATAAACAGGGGCAAGATAAGGAACGATATAAGGGATAGTGATTTGACTGCTCAAAATCAAATTCAGATTCCACGGAAAGATGCCAACTTTGCAACCAAAAGTCTCCAAGAAAACAGGATTGGTGGTGACTATAAAGAATTACTTGAAGAAGCAAGCATATTTCAACTTTCAGAAGAAGACTACAAAGAATAAACAGAGTTGAGTTGAGAAAAAAACAATGTCCCACAAGTCCAAGTAAGCTCACAAGTTACCACTTCCAATATCCACCATAAGAGGAAGTGAGGGATCCTTATAAACTTCATCCCAAACAGGAACTGGAGCTGGTTTCTATCAGAAAGAAGAACAGTATAAATCAGTTATGGTGTTTCACTAACATATCAATCTAAAAGCTGTCACAAACTTTGCAACATCATCAACTTACAGAGAAAGAGGAACTGAGAGGATTAACATGCTGTCTGATTCTTACATGACCCACTTCCTGCAAACAAAACACAGAGAGAAGAAAGGAACAAAAGTTAGACACATGATACTCAATCCTATCCACTAATTAGATATAGTGATAACTGATAACAGCTCGTTCTTAGAAGAGTCTATGAAGCTGAAAAGCTCTCCACTTCGAATTCACTACCAGAAATAAGAGCACAGAAAGCAAAGACTGGAAAAGGAAATGACATAAGGGTAAGCAAAAACAGAGAGAGAAGAAAGGAGGATACTTGAGATATCTTATGATTGAGATTTAGTTCTGCATACTCCAAGTCCACCAATTCATTGCTTCTCAGTTCCTTTAAATCGACACAAACTGAGGTAGACGCAGACGCAAAGGTGGATGCTCTGAAGCTGCTACAATGGCGAGAGATTTTATGTCCGCTTGTGAAGATATACGGCGACGAAGTGAAGGAAAACACCCTTTTCGCCAGAAGCAATGGTCTAGTCGAAGATGTAGAGCAAGCTTGACAAAGAGCAGCCATTTTTGTTAGAGAATAGGAGGATTTGAATCAATTGGATTCGACCATAAAAATGGTTTCTTTTCAGTGTTCTTCTGCCTCGTCTTTAAACCCAATGAGGAAGAGAAAGCTTTGTTCTCAATCTACAATAATCTCAAGAGTTTTGTACTTAGTGTGATAAGAATCGAAATAAATGGGGCGTTTGTGTAAATACATTAAAATACTCAAGAACTTGTGGATTTTAAAAACTCCAGCTTTCTCCGCTTGAGCTTTATAGCCACTAGCCAAAAAATGGCCTCGGCGATGGTTACATCGTTCAGGCTGAGGCCAAGCTTCTCCGCCGCCACGTCACCATCCTCCTCTTCTTCCACTAGCAACGTTAAACCTCGTCCCGCTGTGATTCTCCCGGTAAATAATCTTATTCCCCTGATTGAGACAACTATGACGGAAAATGTGTGGTTCCACCGATAAATAAAAGATTTTTACACTTTCAATTGAATTCTCTGTTTTTATAGTTGCAGTGTTTCTGCATTTTTCTTTTGTAACGTCTTTAAAGTCCAAGACTTGGTTTCAGTGTTATATGATTCGATGTTGGGTTGCATTGCATGTTAGTTTATGCTTCCTTTGTGGAATTGGTTTCTAGGGTTTAGGGAACAATTCAGGAGACTACAAGAAGCTGGAGGTAACATTAGGTGAGTACGGTGTTCCTGCGGTGGTTGCAGCTGTATCAAGGCTTGATTGGTTTAGAAATGCAGCCGGTTTGGTTGATCCAGCCTACTGGCGCGGCACGCTCCGCCCTCGTCCTGTTCTTGATTGGTATTGATTGCTCTATGAATGTATCACTTGTTTTGTGTTTGGAATTTTGTGACTGGTTTCAAATGATGAGTCTTTTATATGAATGATCAGGTACTTGAATAGAATTGATGATGCAGTCCGTGAAGCCAATGAATTAGCTCAAGGTAAATCTCACATTCGATTTGGATGCAGATACGATAGCAGTAAAAATTACTGCTTTGTGTTCTTGGATCAGACTTAGCTACTAGTGTCAGTTGTGAATCGCAGTAACCATAAAACACGGTAGTTTTGCGTCACTTATAGGTCAAGGATTGTCTTTGATTGGACACTCAGCTGGAGGATGGCTTGCTCGAGTTTACATGGAAGAATACGGAAACTCTGATATTTCCTTGTTGTTGACACTTGGTACGCCTCACTTGTAGGTAACATACATGTCGATTACATTTTTTAGACCTTTTAAGAGATGTTGCTTCAATGTTTTAACCACTTATGGTTTTGTATTCTGTTTAGACCACCACCGAGAGGACAACCCGGGGTTATTGATCAAACAAGAGGTCTTCTCTATTATGTCGAAGAGAATTGTGCAAAAGCCGTTTACACTCCTGAGCTGAGATATATTTGTATTGCCGGGAGGTAATGCTTCTTCTAGAAACCATATATGTGAGGAACCTCTGTCCAAACTTGGAATCTGAATTTAGTACTTCATGTGTAGATACATTCGTGGAGCTCGTTTGGTAGACAATGCAGATGCGAATGTTGATTCCGATGTGACTGTTGGAATCGACAGTGGAGAAGGGATTTCAGAACTTGCTATAGCAAGCAACAAGAAGATCGGTTCTTCAGGGCCTACTTTCCGTGCTCGTTTTGTAGGGCAAGGATATAAGCAAGTATGTGGAAGAGCTGATGTGTGGGGTGATGGAGTGGTTCCTGAGGTCTCAGCTCATCTTGAAGGTGCACTTAATGTTAGCTTCGACGGTGTTTACCACTCGCCTGTTGGATCAGACGATGAAACCAGACCTTGGTATGGTTCACCGGTTATTGTAAAGGACTGGATTCACCACCTTCTTGAGTGATTTGTACAATATTGATTAGAACTTATGTTCCATTGTTCTCTCTCTTCACCCACAATTCAAACTCTAATCACATTATGTATTTATATTTCTTTCACCAAGTGATATTTACCGTTTTAAGCGTTTACACTGCTAAATGGCAAACAAGGACAAAAAAATTTAATTTTGATTTTGACTCTGTCTCTGCCACGCGTTGTTGTAAAGGTGGAACCTTTGACTTTTGAGCTCTGAGTATCATTTTCATGGTTTCCAGGTTTTGGAGGATACTGGATGATGATGATAGATACCTATTTCTGAACTGAATCTATTTGGTAGAGCTCAGAGAGAATCCATGGCTTCTCTTCCTTCTTCTTCTTCTTCTTCAGCCGTGTGGAAAACGGACGTTTTCGTGAGTTTTAGAGGAGAAGATGTGCGTAAAACATTCGTGAGCCATCTATTCTGCGAGTTTGATCGGATGGGGATCAACGCTTTCAGAGACGATTTGGATCTACAGAGAGGAAAATCTATCTCCCCAGAGCTTATTGATGCGATCAAAGGCTCCAGATTCGCCATTGTCGTGGTCTCTAGGAACTACGCAGCTTCAAGCTGGTGCTTAGACGAGCTCTTGAAGATCATGGAATGTAAAGATACGATTAGTCAGACAATCTTGCCCATTTTCTACGAGGTTGATCCTTCGGACGTGAGAAGACAGAGAGGAAGTTTCGGTGAAGATGTTGAGAGTCACAGTGACAAGGAGAAAGTGAGGAAATGGAAAGAAGCTTTGAAGAAATTAGCTGCTATTTCTGGTGAAGACTCACGAAATTGGTAAGTTTCCAAGACAGTCTTAGTTGGTGTTTATTCAAAGTTATTATTAAAGTAATGACTTTTATATGGTAGGAGGGATGAGTCAAAGCTGATTAAGAAGATTGTTAGAGACATTTCTGATAAATTGGTTTTGACTTCAAGGGATGATTCAAAAGGTTTGATTGGAATGAGTTTTCATTTGGACTTTCTTCAGTCTATGATGTCTATAGAGGACAAGGATGTTCGAATGGTGGGGATTTGGGGAATGGGTGGAGTTGGGAAAACTACGATTGCTAAGTACTTATACAATCAACTCTCAGGTCGATTTCAAGCTCATTGCTTCATGGAGAATGTGAAAGAAGTCTGTAACAGATACGGAGTTAGGCGTTTACAAGAGGAGTTTTTATGCAGAATGTTTCGAGAGAGACATAAAGAAGCGTGGGGCTCGGTGTCTTGTTGCAGCATGATAAGGGAAAGGTTCAGGCACAAAAGGGTCTTGATTGTGCTTGACGATGTAGATAGATCTGAGCAATTGAATGAATTGGTGAAGGAGATTGATTGGTTTGGTCCGGGAAGCAGAATTATCGTGACAACACGGGATAGACATTTGCTACTTTCTCATGGAATAGATTTGGTATATAAAGTGAAGTGTTTACCCAAAAGAGAAGCTCTCCAGCTCTTTTGTAACTATGCTTTCAGAGAGGAGATTAGAATTCCACATGGGTTTCAGGAGTTATCGGTTCAAGCTATTAACTATGCTTCTGGCCTTCCACTGGCTCTAAGAGTTTTAGGCTCCTTCCTTTATCGAAGAAGCCAAAGAGAATGGGAAAGCACTCTTGCTAGGCTTAAAACTTACCCTCATAGTGATATCATGGAAGTTCTGAGAGTTAGCTACGACGGATTGGATGAGCAAGAGAAGGCAATTTTTCTCTATATATCATGTTTCTATAACATGAAGCATGTTGATTATGTCACAAAACTTCTGGATATTTGTGGCTTTGCTGCTGAAATTGGTATCACGATTCTTACCGAGAAGTCTTTGATATTTGTATCAAATGGAAACATAAAGATGCATGATTTGCTTGAACAGATGGGTAGAGAGATTGTTCGTCAACAAGCAGTTAACAACCCAGCCCAACGGTTACTTGTATGGGATCCTGAAGACATCTGTGATTTGCTGTCAGAAAATTCTGTAAGTTAGAGTGCACGCGCTTCTCTTCTCGTTCTATCTTTTCAGAAGTTTCATGTAAATGATTTTGACTTTTGATAGCTTCTTCTCCATTTCTTTAGGGAACACAACTTGTTGAAGGAATTTCTCTGAACCTCTCTGAAATTTCTGAGGTATTTGCTAGTGATCGAGCTTTCGAGGGATTGTCTAATCTCAAGCTTCTTAACTTCTATGATCTTTCATTTGATGGAGAGACTAGAGTGCATCTACCTAATGGCCTTAGTTATCTCCCACGCAAGCTTCGTTATCTCCGTTGGGATGGATACCCTTTAAAGACTATGCCTTCAAGATTTTGTCCTGAGTTTCTTGTTGAACTTTGTATGAGTAATAGCGATCTTGAAAAACTTTGGGATGGGATCCAGGTAATTTCTAAATATAAACTCCAAATAATTTTTCTTTTGCTATTTGCTATTGGACGAGAAGACTAAAACATAATGATGTAAATTTTTCAGCCTCTTACGAACTTGAAGAAGATGGATCTTTCTCGCTGTAAATACCTTGTCGAAATTCCTGATCTCTCAAAAGCCACAAATCTGGAGGAACTAAACCTTTCCTATTGCCAAAGCTTGGTTGAGGTTACTCCATCTATCAAGAACCTTAAGGGACTTTCTTGCTTCTACATGACTAATTGCATCCAACTCAAGAACATTCCGATTGGAATAACTTTGAAGTCACTTGAAACAGTGCGAATGAGTGGATGCTCAAGTCTAATGCATTTTCCAGAAATTTCTTGGAATACTAGAAGACTCTATCTGAGCAGTACAAAGATAGAGGAACTGCCATCATCAATTAGTCGTCTCTCTTGTCTGGTTGAATTGGATATGTCAGATTGCCAGAGACTCAGGACCCTTCCAAGCTATCTAAGGCACTTGGTCTCACTGAAATCCCTGAATTTGGATGGTTGCAAACGTCTTGAGAACCTCCCAGGCACATTACAGAACCTAACATCTCTTGAAACGCTTGAAGTATCTGGTTGCCTTAATGTCAACGAGTTCCCTCGTGTCGCCACGAATATAGAAGTTCTGCGTATATCTGAGACATCAATTGAAGAAATTCCTGCAAGGATCTGTAATCTCTCTCAGCTTAGGTCCTTGGATATTTCAGAAAACAAAAGACTTAAATCACTTCCGTTAAGCATTTCTAAGCTAAGATCACTTGAAAAGCTCAAGCTTTCTGGATGTTCTGTACTCGAGAGTTTTCCACCAGAAATTTGTCAGACAATGAGCTGCTTGAGGTGGTTTGATTTAGATAGGACTAGCATTAAAGAACTACCTGAAAACATTGGGAATTTAGTAGCTCTTGAGGTGCTTCAAGCCAGTAGAACAGTGATAAGGCGAGCACCACGGTCTATTGCACGACTTACCCGTCTTCAAGTTTTAGCGATTGGGAATAGTCTCTATACTCCAGAAGGTTTGTTGCATTCTCTTTGTCCTCCCTTAGCAAGGTTTGATGACTTGAGAGCTCTGAGCCTAAGCAACATGAACATGGTAGAGATCCCTAACAGTATTGGTAACTTATGGAATCTACTAGAAATAGATTTGAGTGGGAACAGTTTCGAATTCATCCCCGCAAGCATCAAACGGCTCACCAGGTTGAACAGACTGAATTTAAACAATTGTCAGAGACTTCAAGCATTGCCCGATGAGCTTCCACGAGGTCTCTTGTATATCTACATCCATAACTGCACATCCCTAGTGAGTATCTCAGGTTGCTTCAACCAATATTGTCTGCGCCAGTTTGTAGCTAGCAACTGTTACAAATTGGATCAAGCAGCGCAGATTCTCATTCACTGTAACATGAAGCTAGAGTCAGCAAAACCAGAACACTCTTATTTTCCTGGAAGTGACATACCCAGTTGCTTCAATCACCAAGTCATGGGTCCTTCGCTGAATATACAGTTACCTCAGAGTGAATCATCGTCTGACATTCTGGGATTTTCTGCCTGCATCATGATTGGAGTTGATGGACAGTACCCGATGAACAATCTGAAGATACACTGCTCTTGTATTTTAAAAGATGCTGATGATTGTGAGCTGGTTGTTATGGATGAGGTGTGGTATCCTGATCCAAAAGCTTTCACAAACATGTGTTTTGGAACAGATCACCTTCTCTTATTCAGCAGAACCTGCATGTCCATGGGAGCTTACAATGAAGCCTTGTTTGAATTCTCAATCGAAAACACAGAAGGAGATTCTTTTAGCCCGCTTGGAGAGGTTAAAAAATGTGCAGTGCACCTTATATCATTTAAAGACATGATGCAAGAGTTCTCTAATGACTCTGACAAAATTCAGAATTCTGATTTGGATCTTTCAAAGGCATTTGATGACGCAAGACTTTTGAAAAGAAGAGCATATGAAACTGAGCTCTTGCATAAGGAGCAACCAAGATCCAAGAGGATCAAGTTTCTTCCAGTTCATTTGGCTTGAGAGCGACATTCCAAATTACATCAGCGAAATGTCATACGAAAGTAAAAAAAAAAAATCACTTGTTGCCTTGTATACATAATTATATATTGATTGATTCATATATTTTGATAGCATACCATGAACTTGATCTTTGAAGAAGCAAGTACAAGAAACCTTCCGCTATAAGAAGCAAAGGTCCAAGTGACAAGATTTACTATGATAGAGAGTGAACATAACGAACCCGAGGAGATAAATTACAATCTGAAACCTCCCGCAGACGCGATACAAAAAAACCACTTGCCGCTACCTCGACTCTACATGTTGCGCTGCTAGAATAAAGAAGCCATCTAACCTTTTTCTACCTACAAGTGCTGTGTACAAACAAATTCTTACCTCCTGGGATGATTTAAGGCGTGCGATTATACTTGAGATGTTGCTCATAGAATTCAATCAGCTGGTGTCGAGAAAACAAATTAGAAAAGATAATAAGAAACTTCAAAATATGTAAGTGCAGAAAAGAAAAAAAGCTATAAAGATAATCTTACCAGATGAGGATTGTGAGCCTTGAGAAATCTGTTGTCCACCATCACTTCCTTCCCATCAGACCTATGAGAGTAGCCAAATAAGTAAAATTGTACAAATATGAACTCAAATTGCGAGAAATGACCAAAGAGCTATAGAGACAAACCTCAGCGCTAAAAAGGTCACCAACACATCCTGGACATTGTCTGATACAGATGCTGAAAAGCTCATCGGTTTAAGTATCTTTGTGATGTCCAACTCCTCAATCTTGGTTTTCTGAGACAAATTATTATTTTCCATCACACCAGGATATTCATTCCCCATCCTTGCAATCCTACCAAAAGAGTCTAATGTAGTCAAATCTGGTGTCAGATTCTGATCTGCAGGTGCTGTGTGGTTGTTACTTGTGGATCCATCTTGTTTGAATCTTTTCACAGAACCAGACTTCCTCCGCTTAGCACCTATGAAACGACTGTTCTTATCAAGCTCCTTAGGATAAACCTTGAGAAGGCCATTGGGTCTTACATTGTCACCTTCAGAACCAATGCCTGCTCCTTGAGAACATCCTGCACCGTTACCATTATTGACTGGTCCCCTTAGCTCGTTAAGTGTTGGATCATATTCTTTCTCATCTTCGATCAAACGAAGTTGTCGGACCATCCCAACACTCCCGCTGTTAGCTTTAACTTGGTTGGATACATAAGCATTCTTACCTTCCCCATCTCCTTTTAGTAGACTCGAACCGCTTAGGTCTAGTGGATCAGGAATGTCAGGAAGGCTAGAGTTGTTGAGAGACGTAGAAGAGTCAGATTTCTCAGCAGCATCATGTGATGTAGATGTTAAACGTTGCTTCTTCTTCATCTGAGAATGAGGACCTGCATATTTGCGCTTCCGTTTCCTACCAGGCTTTCCCGGCTTCAAACTTTGAAACAAGAAAGCAAATCCATACATTAAAACCAAGAAAATCCATGAAACAATCAATTCAAAAGTATCACAAAACTCCTAAATTAGATTGCATTTATTTACCTTCCTTCAAATGCATCAATAACATCAGCAATAGACTGGAGATTCTCTAAAGGCTCCCATGTGTTGGCAGTTTCGGGCCATCCGCGCCTTTCACAACCGATTTTATAACTTATGTCAATGGAAAAGCATATGTTTAATCAAGAACGCAAACTAAAAAATGAAACCAAGTAAGATTAGAAAAAACTCACCATTTAATTAGATACTGGACCTTTCCCTACAAATCAAAAAACACCATCCAGTTTATATAGAGCGGACGAACCAGTAACCAAAAGGCAGAATCATTCAGTCAATCCAAGAAGATATCAACCATTAAAGATCACATAACAACAACAGAATCAAAACTTTGCTTCCTTATAAAACTACTCTGCTATTTCTTCCTCTCCTCTAGAGCAAAGACGCCAATTCTCAGCTCTGTTAAGATGAATACTATTGACTAAAGCAGCCAGTCAACTAGTTATGGTTAACAAAAAAGCCACATTTGCTGAAAAAAAGGAGCTTACTTTTCGAACTCTCTTACGACGAATAGCTTCAATTTCGTAAAACCCTTCATCAAGCTTTGGCCTTTCCTCTTTCCCTCCTCTTCCTTCTCCTTCTTCATCTTCCTCATCTCCTCCATCGTCTTCATCCTCATCCTCTTCTTCATCTTCATCCTCCGTACGCCTATCATCGCCCATCTCGCGAAGAATCAACTCTCCACCTCCTCCTCCGCCGTCGTCACTGAAAAACCCACCGTCGCCGCTTATTTTCCGGCTTTCTCCGACAGTTTCCATTACCGTATCCGCCTCACCAGCTTCGTTAAACAACTGGGTTTTCTTCTTAACACTACTTGCCCCTTTCATTTCCTGAGTATTCGAGCCCACCAAACCTGAAGGAAGGCTGAATCAAGTTAATCGCGTTATCTTCTCTTCTTCTCCGTTTTAGAAATCAACGATTTAGGATGAAGAAAGATTGAAACTTTCTCTATTTTTGAGGTTTTTGTTTTTGCAGGAAGAAGAAGACCTGACCTGACCTGAAAGACCAGTTTTTCACTTTTTTGGATTGTCCTCTTTTTTTTTTTTAATATCACAAATAGGAAAAGTTGAATACAGCGAATTCTTAACGTTTATAATTTAATTAGAAGAGATTATTTCTAAGAACTAATACAAATGTCTTTATACTGAAGAAAACGTGTGAAAGTAAATTAATTCGAAAACAGAAAATTAAAGTTTTATATCTGAAGAAAATGTAAGACTTTTGTTTATCCTCACAAATAAAAATCGAAATCTATTATTGGTTTGTCAACAAAATGGAAACTTTAGTGTCTTAAACCAGCAGAACAATTAAAATATTAACATACATTTGAATAACAAGAAACGAAAATTATATGTAAATGCAAAAAAAAAGGAAATTAGAATCGTTTTAACAAATATAACATTTTGTTAATGTTTACGAATAATGATAGAATTGAAAGAAAAAAAAATGAAAAATGCATGACCATTCAACATGGTTTGGCTTGAAAACATAAAACCATACGATAAAATCAGCTTAGTTTGAAAACATTCAAATATCAAAACTATAATATTATCAACAAGGGAAAAAAAAAGGTAGTCATTAAGGATCAAGAACCATTTAATCGAGATTGGTTTTCCACCAAATAGAGCCATCAACTTGTAATAAGGCAAACCATTTACATTGCTCACAATCCGGTTCGACATGGTTGGACCAAACATGTGAAAGTGGACCGCCACATTATAAGGCAAAACATTGATGAAGAAGTTATAGGGTTCATGTTTGTGAGAATCCCAAATGGCATGAATTTATTTATATAAAAAGTGTAAGCAACAAACTCTTCGAGGAATTGTTCAATCTGAGAGAGAGTGTAGAAAAATACTCAATGAGAATCATTAAGTTTCGGTTTCCTAACCAAAAATGTCATGGAATCATTAAAGATAAAATCAGTATATATGATAAATGGAACTGCAGAATTATCAAATGAACAATTGTAATTAACTTAACAATTAACCAAACAGCAGTATGCTGGATTCGTAAAAATTATTTTGGAATGACAGAACAATAAATTTATATATTATGTTGAAAGAGATAGAAAATAATTCTCATATCTAAGAAACTCAGTCCAACTGCAATGCAAAGGCAGAAAACTCGCAAGGATCTTGTAACATGCTCAATAACATTCACAATCAAATCAACAGAAAGAAAGTCCTTCTCCAAGGTACACTTCACCGAGGTTTAGATTCTTGCAGTTCTCTTGATCATGAACACGGGATTATATATAGCTCGCGAAAGTTTTGTAACATTTCTTTATAATATATATATATGTGAAAAAATTTATTTTAAAAAATCACGATTACAAGCACTCAAAACGATTCGAATTTTTTTGCCCACAAACAAAATATACATCCAATAAAAAGTCAAGAAAAAATTAAAATTACAAACCTCCCATAATATTTTTTTTTTGTTTTAAATCCTAATAACAACCTTTTCTGTAAAACGGCTTTTTTCTCCGACTAAAAGAAAAAGTTCATCCTTCTTAACCTTTTTTCAAAGTTATCAGAGTTGCATTAACCTAATAATGCAATCTCAACACTGATAGTTCAAAAACCACAATATAACACCCATAAATTATTCATTTTTCAAAAAAAAAAAAAAAAAGGAAAGAATATTTTAAAATTTTCTTAAAATATTTCTTTAAATTGATTTCTTTGTGCATTCACTTCCTCTCTTCATCTCTTTAAATTTAGAGTCCACGTTTTCATGCGCTCGTTTGTCTTCTTAACCTGTAATTAGATAAAATCATACATTTAATATAATGAATTTTCTAATAAAAAAATTTCGAGTTATATAAGAGTGAATGTTAAAAGTAAATTACCTCCAATTCCCAGTCAGTTTTGTAAATAACATAAGACAATATCAACGTTTGTACACCAACTCCAGCCAACATTCCAGACCAGAGTCCCTGTATAATCAAAATTCAAAAGCATACAATATAATTTATCTAAGTCATCATTAGTTCTAATGATTGATGATTAAGTACTGTATATCAATTTTCATATTTATGTACCTTAATACCAAAATTGAAAACGTATATAAGGAGGACACCCAAAGGAACACCAATTGCATAATATGATGCTAAGTTCACAAATGCTACCATACTCTGCATCCCTGCTCCAATTGCTACCCCTGTTTATGTTCAACAAATATTAAACTTTTTCTTTTTTGTTACAAATTAGTGAACTAATTTTTGTGGTTACAAATTAGTGAAATCTAAAAGCTTATGTTATAATTTATATATGCCTAATATAAGGGTTTAGTTTTCTAACCAGAGAGAATGGGCTGGATGATGTTGAAGAGTATAGATATGCTAAGGACGAGGGAGAGATCAGAGACTGCATCCGAAACTGCAGGGCTATCGGAGAACAAATACGAAATCTGACCGCCAAACGCTAGGCAAAGAGCGGAACATATCACACCGATCACCGCTGAGACCACAAGCACCACTTTTATCGAGAATCTCACAGCATCCGCATCGCCTTTTCCCAATTCATTCGCCACCCGTACACTGCATTTTCGGATTCATAGATACCATTCTCTATAGTATTAAACAAATAATATATGTATAAATAAATAAATAAAACAAAATACTGTGAATGAGTGTACATATATAGTTACAAACCATGCTGCACCCAACAAGCCAAAGCATATGTTCATCTCCCATGAGTAGATATATTGGCTGCAAATGTCAATTGAGTGTTTAGTTTTCATATATATCAAAAAAAGAAAATGCTTATTCATATATTATACTTTTTGCATAATGGATTTAAGTAATACCATATGGAGAAAGCGGAAATTGCGATATTCGCATCCTTTGCATATCCAGACATCAAGACGATGATGCTCATATACCAGTACTCTAAGCTGTTTGAAGCAACAAAAAAAAAGAGATGCAAAAGAAGAGTCACTAGAAATTTCTATGAGCCTACTAGTGGTCCACACTTAATAGTCATGTTTTGATCCCTCAAAATAAAAAGCAAATTACCAGAGCATGAAGCCGGATGAAATGGATAACTTGAGCATGGGAATAAGATCAACAAAAGCAGCAGTGCTAAAGCCGGTCCAAGTATGCGGGCACCACCCTCCAAACACATATACAAACTCGGCTATCACCACTGACCATGAGCTTATATTAAGCCCTAGAAGCGCACCATGGATCCCCATCCCCATCACGCTCACGCACCACCACGTGGCCGCAATGTCCAATACCAAGGCTAGGGTCGAGAGAATGCCAATGATGGCGTTTCTCATCTGCGCTTGGAGGTACATTTGCATTGTCATAGTGAACACGAGGCTGTAGAGATAAGGGATGACCCATGGGTAAATCTCGTCTACTGTCTCGGAAATCACAACGTTTTGGCCTAATAACCGAAGAATGGGACCCGCGAAGACGATGAAAGGGACGAAGAGAGTGGCTATAAAGGTATCTACTATCCAAGAACGTTGTAAGTATATCCCCATCATGGGGTATTGTTGTGCTCCGTATGCTTGTCCACATAACGTCTCTGTCGCACTTGACATACCTGCCTGTAATAATATTACCATGCGATTCAATTATATAATTTCTACTCTATCATATAATATGTTTATCAATTATTTACTTGCTTTTGAGTTGGAAATCAATAAACAATATACCATTCATTCATTACATTATATCAGAAAAAAAAAAAAAAAAAAAAACATTATAAATTCATTACTTTTCATATGGTTGTCTCCTTAAATGTTAAAAACAGTGTGAAACCACAACAATTCACTATTAGTACCAAAAAGTATATTTTGTAATGGAATTTTTTTGACGAAAATTATAGTATTTTAATGGATCATACCATAATACCGTAGATGAAGCGAATGAAAGTACTTTGAAGGAGAGCATAAGCAGCGAGACCCGTTTCACTTGAGTGGCCAATGAAGGCTTGAGCCACCACTACGCATCCAAACGACATCACTCTAAACAAAGTTGATGGTAAAGCTATTCTCCACATCTTCCTTACTTCACTCCAAATCTTTTTTCTCAGGTAGAGACTCTCTCTCCTTTGTTCTGTCTCTGACCCATTTAGCAGTCTCTCTTCCATTTCTCCACCTCTACTCATGTTTTCTCCCTCTTTGATTTTCTCTAAAAAATACATGTTGAGTTTTTACTAATTACTTCTGTAATAGACATGCCACAAAGATAACATAAGCTTAATTCAAAGTTTCTTTCATTCAGGTTTAAGAAAAACAAAGGGTCAAGACTACCCCCACGCGTCATTGATTAGAGAAGCTAAGTATAACCTCATTCCAAAAAGCTAAATTTCTCTTGGAAAAAATCTTCAACAAATAATAAGCATGTACATATTTTCTTAAAGAAGTTTTATTGAAGTATATATGGAGTGATTTAGTTACCTCTTAAGCTAGGTTCGAGTGGAAAGAGTCGGAGAAACCGAGAACCAAAAAAATATTACCCAGAATATTCAGAAGACAAAAGAGGAGAGGACGACAAGAGAAAATAAGTTTGATATTTTCTCTCTCTCTCGGAGTTGTTTGTGGTAGACTTGAACTACAAAGCTTTTGGCTATATATACTGAGAGAAAGAGAAAGAAGAGAGAAAGAGAAAAAGGGTTAAGTAGGTCTAAACGTGTATAGAGGGACAACGTAATATAAAAGTGTATATACACTCATATGTGGAAACATTTTAGAAAGGAAATGCGTCGTTTTGTTTGTTTAAGGAAATTAACAACGTGCAATTTTAAAAAAAATCAAGTGTTACTTCTGATTAATTCTCTAGTAACAAAAAGTAAACATTATAAGGGTGAGAGAGGATTTGCCCAAAAAAATAAAAATAAGGGTGAGAGGTATTAACTATTAACATAAATCCCTGTTCTAAAAATCGGCCGCCTATGCACTGATCGGGTGGGGATTGCAGCGATTTTGTCCAAATCGGTAAAAGAAATAGGTAATCCGATTTTTGTCCGCCTACACCACCAATAGAGAGTGAAGTGTGGAGGTGTTGTTGTCCACGACTCCACATGCCAAAAATAATCATTTAATCCATGCAATGCATTCCCATATCAATCAAACTTTGAACTTTGAGTAAATGAGCATCAAAAGACATGGAACTCTCTCTCTATCTCTCTCACACACATCCATGCATCATCAAACAAATCAAAGTTTGGAGTTTCAAGTGTCGTTTTTTAACCGAGAAATAGAAAATACTACTCTACTGATATGATAAAGAACAAAGTTTTAGCTTTCTTTTATGTATTCGTGGTTAGCATTTCAATTTCAAAGTTACAAACAACGTCCCGTTTCCTCAGAAGAAACTCAGAGTCATAACTATAGTCTATAGGCGATGTTTTAAAGACAGACACCTTCGACGACTCGATAGGAGGACACGACGGGGACCCATACTAGCTATACGATATGATTTAATTGTGACAATTCATTCCCACCAGCCGTCCACGTTCTTACCGGATACTTCCATCTGTTTTGTTTTAATTTAATGTTCTATATAATACTACTACAAATCCTTGCATTAACTTTTTTTGTTTTTGTTTTTAAACTTCTACTACTTTTATTTTGTGATATATTCCATATATTGAGATATTTAGTTTAATTGTATTTTTGTTTATTTACTATTCTCTATGTTTCAAAATATATGATGTTTTAGTTAAAAATACATATTTTTATTTTTTTAAACTATCATTTAACATTTAATTTTTTAAAATTTAACTAGTGATATCAAAAAATGCAGAATACAAATGGTTATGAAATAGAAAATGTATTTAAAAGTTACAAAAAATTGTAAAACGTTTTATATTTTAAAACAGAAAAAAATATTTAAAACATCTTATATACTCCTTCCGTTTCAATTTAGTTGTCGTTTTATGATTTAAATTTTGTTTCATAATAGTTGTCATTTTAGGTTTTCAATGCAAATGTTTGGTGAAAATTCCAGTTTTATCCCTACTGTTTTAATGTTTTGACCAATGAAATTTTTATAAAATATATTAATAAAGGGTAAAACAGAAAATTTAATGATTTTCTTAATTTGTGTGAAAAAACCTTAAACGATAATTAAAACGAAACGGAGGGAGTATTAAGTATGAAGACGAAAGGAGTATGACACTTATGACTCATCCATCTAACTCTTGGCTAGAGTTATAACTTACATTTGTCTTTTTTTGCTAAATTGTAAATATTTTATAGATATTGAAAACAGTTTAGGTTACAACCAAGAGATTGAAACCTATACATATGGTTCCAAGGCAAAAAGGATAAAACAGGGAAGCATTCCAATACATTTGTCATCGTCAAGTATTGGAACAAGAAGAAAAAAAGAGGTATTAAATGGCAATATGAGAATTGAGATGTATGATGTATCCAACAAAAAAGATGGATTTTGTAATTGTAAATTTGGCGCAGGCATGTGATTGTTAGACCATCTCCAATGTATTTCTCTATTTTTATCTCTATCTCTATAATAGAGGTAAGTTTTCTCTATTTTTACTTCAATGTATTCCTCTATTTTTTTCTCTAAAAATTTTAACTCTATTTATAGAGGAAAAAATAGAGATTCTCTATTCTCACCTCTATATATAGAGAAAAAAATAGAGATATCTATTTTAGAGGTGAGAATAGAGGTGGGTTGGAGTAAATTTACCTCTAAAATAGAATTTAGAGGCAAATATAGAGGTGAGTTGGAGATGCTCTTAGTTCTAGTAGAATATCAAAACCACCGTCATCTTGTTTTGTATCTTCTCGATCACCGTTCCATCTTCCTATCCTCTTCGTTATAATTTTATTATTAATATTTTCTAACTCAAAACTTTATATCATATGTTCTTCTTTCACTTTCATAAACCAAAATTTCTGCTAAAGTAATAACATAATAATAATAATGATAATTTTCTTCTCTAATACAATTTTAATGAAAATAAATATAACTTTCTTTCTTTCTATAATTTTCATGAAAATAAATGGCTCACCTAACGACTGACATGGGGGACGACGGCCTTTTGAGCTAATAGCAGAAAGAGTGGTGACTTTGTAATTATTTATGTTCCTTTTTCATATATCTTGTAGATAGTATCTATTAATATTTTTATTTTTCTTCGGAATTTTCATGATTTCCAGTTGTACTTGTCCCTGAAGACATCGTATGGGTTTGGTTTACTAAGACTAATTAACCGGACGGAATTGGACTGAATTGGAGTTTGGGGGAGGTTATCTCCTCGGTTTGATTAAGTAGGAGACTCCGTATAAAATGGAGGGTCTAAAGAGTTAATTAGCTAGATTATTATTCTTCGTCTTTACTACTATGTTGTAATGGGCTCGACGATCTCTATATGACTCGAGTTTCTGTGCCATCCAGTGATGATTTGATAGTGAATTTGCCGACAGTAAGCTTGGTTGAGACGTAGAGTATCATTATTCTGAGGTGCATGAACTCATAATTTATTGTGTGCTCTTTCATTTTCGTATTGCGATTCTAGTTCCTTAATCGAATGACATGGTAATGGATCATCAAACTGAGCTCAAGATCGTATCAAAAAGTCTCAACAGTCGAGATTATAGCCGGCCAAAGTTTATTTCTCTATCTAACATTAAATCAAGATGATGATAAAGATTATAAAAGAAGAATGCAATTTCTCTATGTCATTGTTGTATTTGTGTGAAACTTTGACCGATCAGTATTCTTGATAAGATTATTAAATTTTGTTGTAAAGAGTTATTCAAAAACGAATAGGAAGAGATTTGATATATGACAACAACTCAATTTAAAAGTTAATGAGAATCGAAAGATCAATTGGTCACTTGGTGGAAGATGGAAGAGCGTCTACTGTCGATATAATTAGTATTTATTAGCTTCATTGATTGATATTTATTATGAAAATGGTATATTTCGCTCGTGTCAATAAAAAGGGCTGAACTGAGTTAGGTGGTTTCATAATTTCATTGAGGAAATGGCTGAGCATAACTACGTAGACAAGTTCTTAAGCACAGCTTCATATATCTATATATGTCACCTAGTTTCTTGGTATTGCAAATAAATATTTGCATCTTTAAATGTGATTGCGATTAAAATCTATTTTTTTGTCTTTATATAATTGATATTCCATCCGTTTCGTTTTAGTTGTCGTTTAAGGTTTTTTTCACACAAATTAAGAAAAATATTAAATTTTATGTTTTATTCTTTATTAATATATTTTATAAAAAAATTCATTGGCCAAAACATTAAAACAGTAGGGATAAAACTGGAATTTTCACCAAACATTTGCATTGAAAACCTAAAACGATAACTATTATAAAACAAAATTTAAATCTTAAAACGACAACTAAACCGAAACAGAAGGAGTATTAAATTTTTCATTATCCTAGTTTATTATGTTTCACAACATGCACTAATAAAAAACCGTTTAACCACCTATATATATATATATATATATATATATATATATATAAAACACCGAATGACAAAGTAATTAAACTTAAATTTTAATTTTTGGATTGCCTATATTTCAAAATCAAAATTTGTACTAGTGTCAAAATTTAGTACGACCAAGAGTGAAATTTCATAGCTAGCGGATATGACAATTTAATTCTATTGCTGATAAAACTGTTTTTCGCTAGTGCATTAATTGTGTCATTATATAATTTTTTTTTTTTGTAGAAATTATATAAAATTTGTTGTATAACACATAGCAATAGTGCTGACTGCCGAGAAGAAAGAAATAGAAGAAAAATAACTGTTTTGTTTGCAACACAAAACTATTAAATATTTATAAATTACTTTACCAAAAAAAAAAAAAAAAAAAAAAATTAGAGTCGGCCTTTTCTAGAACATTAAGTCGGCCAGTAGATTAGTTCCTGTCCGCTATATCATTAAAATCCAAATGAAAATGATTTGATTGATTGATTTTTTTTTTTTTTTTTTTTTTGATTGATGTTACTCTAACTGTATGAGAAAAAAGTGCATTATTGACAGGTTCCTTTTTTTGCACACAAAAAGTATATTAGCCAGAAGCAATTTGTAGGTCACAAAACATTATCATAGTCATTTTTCTGAAATTTTAATTTATGTCTCTTTTTCTCCTTAATTGCTGGGAGTGCAATTGGGTATTTAAGAATGAAGATGAAGCTTTAGGTTCAGGACCATTTAAGTTGGGTGTATTATAAATTTATATAATTAATTATGTATATTGTATAGGTGGAGTAGGACCAATTTAGTCGTCAAAAGATAATGTGCATGAATGATGACAAGAATGCGATATTTTTGGCATGAATCATGATTAATCAACGATGTCAATATATCTAACATAATCAAAATTAGAAATTTATACGAAATGATAGAAAAGAGGTTAAGAGTCACTTAATTACCTCGCAGGAAAAAAAAAAAAAAAATTATACCCTACCTCATTGATATATGTTCGGTTCGGATATTTTTTGTTAATAGGAGGTTCCGAACCGAGATCCGATTAATTATTTAGAATAAATGTAACCGCTGAATAGTTTACGTATCAATTTTTTAATAGATCTAAAATATTACACTATTTTTGATTAACTATGCAAAATAACAAAATAATCTACATTTAAAAAGAATCGATCTATAATATTAATCAATATGGCAACTCTTTTACAAGTGAGAACCATCGCCCACTACAACATAGTTACAAATTTTGGATATGTTATATAAGGGAATACTATAAATAGTACATGTAGGTGTTTTATAAATTACCACAAAAAATATCATATATTTATCTATCTTGATATCATTGAATTCCTTGCTATAGTAGCCTTCTAAACCTAAAATAATACTAATAGTGTGAAAGAGTTCAAGCCATGCTCCTAACTCTATAGTGAATATTTTGACTGCTAAATCAACATGAATTAGTTACCATATTTAAATTTAGAAAAATTACTAAAATTTTAAGAAGGCGTTCCATTATAAATTATAGTACCATTAACTGTTGTGAACCTTTATAAATTAAATATTTGTAGTCTTGAGTTTTTAAAATTAGAACTTATTTTTGTCATATTTGAAGATATTTCTCTATACACAAATAATTATATCTTTCGAACATACACGAATATTTCATTTCTCTGGACAAACCAACATTAGGTTTATTTAATTGTCGATTTGACAAAAGATGAAAGAAAACGAAACCCTATGTATCTTTTAAACACAAGTGACTCCTTGGTTCATGAATTTTATTTCTGGTTCAACGAACTAAAAGGTATGGCTCATACAGAGGTGTGAACTAAGACTTGTCATATAATTTCTCTATCACTATAAGACGAGACAGGTTTGGTAAATTTTCGGTCAAAAAGCACGAGAAAAGACTAATGTGTGTCCCTAAATAATTTAATTGATCAATATTATGGTTTGGCATTGAATTAAACTTTTACGAACAAAATAATTGCCATTTTTGCGAACTAAAGAATGTAAATATCCATTTCACAATGAAAGTTTGAGTTACACAATTAAGCATAACCAAATACATGATCCCATGCCAAAAAATGGATAAAAAACATGGAAGCATACCACTTTCTTGCACCAAATCATCAATTCAAACCATTAACATAATGATAATGGTAGAAGACAGTTTGATGCAAGATAAAAACGTTTCCCTAAAGTGCATCTAGAAACGAAGACAACAATGAAAGTTACAAAGAAACAAAGCGGAAGATCGAGAAGCGAGGAAGCAGTCCGTTCAACGAATAGTCCGAGACAAACATGTGACTGCGGAACCACCAAGCTTAATGAGGCAGGCAATGCTTACTCACTCTACTAAGTCCCTCCTGGAGTCAGTAGCACAGAGCTTAGCAACTTCACATCCGCATAAAACCATACTAGCACCACCAACTCGCAAGACCAAACACAAAAGGAACTTTGAAAGATTTTCGAAGCTTGATACTAGATACACTAACCCGAAGAGGCAGCTGCAAAGGCTTTGACATTTGTGGCAAAGGAAGCAATAAACTTGAGTGCAAAAGCATAAACAAGTGCGACATGACCATGAGATGCGTGGAGATGGAATTGACTACCGCGACGGTGGGCAGCCTCAAACCCATGATCAAGCGGAGTCAACAACTCCCTCAAAGTCGAAACTCACAAGTTGACTACAGATTCAAAACAAAACTTTAGAAATAGTTTCTTGGAATTTGTTTAAATTGAAAATTGTAATTTATTAGAAATAGTTGCATGAGTTGTAATTTATTACTCCCTCTGTTTCACAAAGAGTGTCATTTTAGAGTTTTGCACACAGATTAAAAAAACATTAAATTTTTTGTTTTTTCTAAACAAAAACATCATTAACTATATACCTAAACATAATCTGCCCAATAGTAAAACAATCTGCAGAATACTAATAGTCATAAAACATAAAAAATCATTAAATTTTGCATTGAAAACCTAAAACGACACTCTTTGTGAAACAAAAATAAAACCTTAAAACGACACTCTTTATGAAACGGAGGGAGTAGAACTTATAGAGTTGCATGTATGAAAAAAACATTAGAAATAGTTTCTTGGAATTTTTTTAAATTGAAAATTGTAATTTATTAATTTCAACTACTAATCAATAAACTAACTTTTCTCCTTTGCATTGCAATTTACAAACGTCGCTTCTAGGCCATAAGAAAAATTAGTCTTTGGAGAAAAAGAAAAAACTAGCTGTAAAATGAAGTCACAATGTTTCCTGTAATAATGATACTAATTGTCATTGACAATAGCTAGCTTTTTTCCCTCCATGCGTTTCACGTGGCATATCCGCATATGCCTCTTTTGAAGCATAGAGTTCTTCTTCTAACTCTTGTCTTGGTTTACCAAAAAACCGAAATAGATTCTCCTCGCAAACTGTGAAGTGAAAGCCATAACTGATACATAAACTCTACTTCTTCTTGCCAACAAAAGATTTCTGTAACATTCGTTAGCCAACAAGGGGATACAAATATATTCGGTTCGCTTCTGGTTAACACGTTTCTTAAAACGGAATCTGATAACCAATAACCGGAACAGAACTGCATTTGTACTTGTACGTTACACACAAGACATGCATAATGCATTGTCCTAGGAAACTAAAGATGGACCAACCTCTCAGTCTCAGACCTAGTATCCGATACTAAAATTATGAGATATTATCATTATTGAGGATAAAATTTAGTATTGTTTCACTGCATGACACTATTTACCCTATTACCTGGTCTAATGCATGGATCCCAAGGTCACTAAAAATATCCAAAATTTAACAAAAGAAAAAAAAAATCCAATTCAAGATACCACCCAAAATACATGGCCCTAACATTTATTTACACAAAAATGGATAACTCTTAGAACCCTATTAACCAAAAGAACAAACGACAATACTTTGGAACCGTAGGCCATAGTACTCAAAAGACAATTAACTGTATTGACTTTATGTTTGTTCCAATTATCAACATTTTTTGTCTGAATGCTTCTAAATTCTAATTTTCAAGCTGTATAGAGAGATGAAAATAATCAATTATGGCATTATCTTCCGCCTTCCGGTATCAATTACTCAAAATTCAAGAGTTCATTAAAAATCTCGATCTATTACTTCTAGACTCTGTAGAAATGATACAACGTAGCAATAACAATAACAACAATCAATGGTAAAACAGACCTCTCTCTCTTTCTCTGTATCTCTCTCACACACGCACACAAAACTGCTGAGTCTTGATTATCTTCAATATCAAGATGAAGAAGCTTCTTCTTCTGAGCTTCCTTGTGCAGTTGTTTCTTCTACTTCAGCTTCACGGGGCTTTTCTGGTCCGGGTCCAGCTGATACTTTCACCATTGAAGGACGTAAAAGCCTTTCGCCTAGCAAGAAACCTTTCCTGTATTCTTCTAGTACTATACCCTCTTCGTATTCCGCAGAATCTTCTCTCATTATTGCCTCATGTAGCTTTTTTTACACAACAAAGAGAAAAGCAAAAGGATAAAGAGATGTCAGCTGTTAGGAATTTGAAAAGGCCAACAAACAAAGGCATTAGATTAGGTTAACTACCAACTCATTGTCATTGAAACCCAACTTGTAAAGTAACATCTAAAGTCTCCAAAAACTTTAGTGAGATGTATTCTTAGGACTAAGACGCATGAGCGGTTATGTTCTTCAAACTTTGTTAAACCAAAAGGTATCTAACTGGGATAAGGGATCCTAAACCTCAAAGATTTAATGATTATATGCATCACAAAGTATCATTCAGCATAATTTGTTCTATCCATCTGATCTAGCCACCTTTCAATTAACAACCACATCTACATTCTGATGATCAAGATTATTCTGGTGGCACTATACCAACGAGCTAACCTAACTTCCAAAACAACTTTGATTCTATAGATCACTTCCATAGTTAAAGATTAACCCAACCAGCAAGCTGAGCAACAAAAATTCATTTCTTGATCACTGGAAAGAAGAAAAGATGTATTTAGTAACTTACCATTGGATCAAACTGCTTGCCGACTGTCTCTACATGGATAACACCAAGTGACCCCAGAATTTCTACAAACTGTTTGTATATGCTCTGATAGCTATTAGTGACTTTCTCTTCTCCCTCAGTCTCCACCTTAATTTGGGATTTAGCCCTCTCGAAATTATCCAAAACAGCCAAAAGATTCTCTACAACCTCTCCTTGAGCATTTGAAACAAGGTTTAGCCTTTCCCTCTCAGTCCTCTTCCTGAAGTTGTCGAAATCTGCACTGATTCTAATGAGACGATCCCTCTCCACCGACAATTCATTGGATAAAGACGCTACTTTATCCGCAAGCAGATTTTTTTCATCTTCTATGGACTTTAAAGATGCTTCTATCTCAGCAATCTTCCCCTCGTTGTTGTCTGCTAAAGCTTCTTTATATGAATTAAGCAATGCTGTGACAACAGCTGCTTCTTCTTCCTCAGCTTCAACCTCCTCAGCACCGGCATTTTCATTCTCCACATCAACAGCACCATCCGTCTCCTGCTCCATGATTTCAGAAGTAAAAAAGTCAGAAAAAGAGCAATCGAGTTTACACAGACGAGTCCTATCAATTCCTGATAAAAGCTGAAACAGAACAAAATCTCAAACACACACTACCAACACAATCTAATAACCTAAACAATCAGATTAACACCAAAAAGCTTCAGAACATTCTCTGTGGCCCCCATACAAGATCACACCATGGTCCAAAATTATTAGTGAAACTCCTTCATTTTGGGAACACATCATACCAATGTCAATCATCGGATTAGGTAAATCCTTAGAAACATTAACATTCACTATTTGACGCCTGAATAGACTGAATAACAATCCTATTCATTGCTCTTATTTCATGTGAACGTTCCTCTAGAGGGTAATATAATCAACAAAGTTTAAAACTTTAAGCAAATTCTAACTTCCAGTATCCAAAGTTCTCAACTTTTCAACAACTAGTCATCATAAGACTCGAAATAAGTATCGAAGTATCCCAATTTCGAAACCCTAATCCCCTAACTAACATAAAACCCCCAAAAGGTTGAACACAAGTGAGCCGAAATCGAAAAACCTGAACTTCGGGTTTGTTCGATTCTACCTCCGTCTCCGTCGTCTCAGCTTCTCCCGAAGCAAAGGGTACGAGGTTCAATAACCGGAGAGGATAGCCGCTAGAGACAGACCGGAGAGAAGCTCGGCGTGAGAGTGAGACGCTGGTATTTCTTCCTCCGGCGAAGGAGACACAAAAGGGCTTAAAGGGTACAGAGGGAGCATGAAGAAGAGTTGGTGTGAGATTCAAAGACGGCGTTTTGAGTAGACCGGCCATTGAAGAGTTCGGAGAAAGAGAAGGAGAGTGGCGGAGAGAGATAAGGAAGATAGAGAGAGGGCAAACGGTTCTTCTCTCCGTCGGATGTATAATGATCTCTTTTTGTTTTGTTTTGGTCTTTTTAAACCGTTGGATCTAGTTTTTCTTTACTCTGTTGATCGGACGGTTGTTGTTTAACAGAAGTATATAGAAACTTCTACAATTTTGTGATATCATTTTCTTAACAACATTTTTCACAATATGTAATGTTTCAATAAAATTCTGAAATAATACTACTGAATTACTGATGATTGAATTAGACACTACTATATTTCTTTTGTTCTAGCCATCATTTTAACAATGTGTAATGGTTTTATAGAATTTTGAGGACTGAAATTCGTGGAATTATAGAAGTTTTATATATGTTGAGTCTTAAATACTTTCAAACATATTCGACAATCAAATTTGTTCTTACCGGTTAATTTGTATCAGTGTTTCTTTTTTTTATTGCAGATTCAAATTTGTATCATGCATATTGTTGTTGAAAATAAAATTATAAGACTTGAAATTTGGGAGATTTTAGAAGCAATTACTAGTCAATATGTTATAGATGAAAAGTAAGAGAATATTAGGGTTTAGGTTGACAACAAAGAGATAGGAGACTATCAATGTTATAGTCTGATAGAAAAAAAGCATTTGTTTTAGATAATTTTCTAAGTCTGCGCACTTAGAGCATGATTATCCATAGTGTCTTAGAAATACATCTTAGGAATATTTAAGTAATATATTTTAAAAATATGGTTCTTAACTAGTATTTTTTTGTTGCTTACCTAAGAAACCTTCTTAGCAATAATGGCTTAGTTGGGATTTAATTTTAATCATTTATTGCTAAGATCTAGCTTAAGAAAACTTTAAGAACTTGCCTTTAATCATAGTCTTAGTTTATCAGAGGTAGTGGGTGCAATGGACCTTGATCCTAAATCAGAAGTACTAATTACTAAGTGACTAAAGTTTTAAACTAATTATTAACATTTCACACAAGAGATTCTTCTCTCATTAAATTTTAGATTGATATATTTTACATATGTGTACGTAAGTCTTCGTTCAGACAGTAGAATTTTAAAATCCTTAAAAATGATGTTTGTATATAAAAGGACTAAGCCTGAGTCACTTAGGGCATCCTCAATGCGGGATCACCTTTGGGTGTTCTTAGAGTAAAAATATTGTTAAAAAAATGTAAGATCAGTAGTTAAGATCTTTTGTTAAAAAGTTTGATTAGTGGGAGAACATGTTTAAGATCATAAGATTTAATAATATAATAATAAAAAACTTTTAAAACATATTACAATTATAAAAACTCTCCCTTTGTATCAGATTGATGAGACAATCAAACAACACAAAATCATATACAATCATGTTTCATTTACAAAAGAATTGATTTATCCACAATGTTTGATCCAAAAAGGGGTTTTGTAAGAGAAAGTTTTCTTCAGGAAAAATCATACCAAGAGATCTCTCATCTCCTCCAAAGTAATCATCACCTGATTCAATCAGAAACACATTCTCTGCACTTGGAAACTCATACTTTGGCTGCAACACTTTCTTCTGTTGCTCTGCAAATTCTTCACAACAATTAGAACAAACAAAAAGTGGAGGCAAAGTATCTGTATCATCAATCCCACAACATCTTGTGTGCTGCCATATCTCACATACATCACATGCTATCATTCTCTCACCATCATCATCTCTAGCACTGCAAACACATCTCACCATCCATATATCACATCCACCTTGAAACTTCAGTTTCGATTCCATATCAATCTCATGACCCCTCACTGTTAAGCGGAACAAGACTCACCTCAAACTACTCTTTTCTTAAACTGGCTTCTAGACTTCTGCTCCTGAGAATCGAAACTCGAATCTTCTTCAACATTTTGCAATTCTTGATCTCTGCCGTGTTCCTAAACAGACGAGAGTTGCAGCAATGCCAAGATAAGTTTCTCAGCATTTCATAGCAATCCACAAGAACGATTCTTTATGGAAATTCCCGTAAAACCTCAAGTTCTTAACACGAGTTTTAGTACTATTAAGCTAACACCATCGGGAAACTTTACAACTACGCTAAAATTGCCTATCCTCTGATAAAACTTCTCTCTCTCCTACTCAGACACAGACGCTATAGAGGTTTAACAGAATGAATGTAAGAAAGAGGAATAAAGTTACCTCCTTTGAGTTGCCATCATCACCAATTTGATTTGATTCAGCTCGTGCAACGGCCGTGATAACTCTCCGTTTAACAGAAATCCAATTACAGCGAGAATGAGACAATGGTTTGGGATCGACGAGACGCAAATTCAAATACTTTTCAGAGAAATGGTGAAGAAGAAGAGATTTTCTCTGAGTGGAACGGCAATGACATGTACAGAGAGAGCTCAATGAGAGGGGTACAGGCTTATACCTACAGACTTCAACAAAAGGCGCCATTGAAATCCAAAATCAGAAAGGAAAATTAAAACCCTAAAGATTGGATAAAAGACTAATCTTTACGAAAACGGAATCCTCTGCATCATGGAAGGACCAGATGTTGAAGATTGTGATTCGCTGAATCTATTCGCTGAAATTTTTTTTTCCTTTCCCAATTCTTCCGCCCAATAGAAACTCGCCACGTCACCCCGCAACTCCTTGAAGAACAGATCCAGGATGAGAGCGGGCTGGCTGATCTTAAGCCCAACAAGCCATTATTTTGGATTAAAAAAAGCTAAGATCACCTCCCCTGATATGCCATTGAAGATGGCCTTAGACCTTAGCATTAAAACATTTCATTCTTGGGAAATATCACTTGACTTTTAGAAAATATGTATGGTTTTAATCTAAAATCCGATCAAAAATGCTTTTAAGAAAATAAAATTTATCTAAATATATGTGTAATTTTATTAAAACATACACAAACTACTTTTATATGTGTTTAAATCTTATAAATATTTTATAAATACCGTATAAGTATTTTACAAATATCTTATAAATACTTTTTTTTTGTGAGCAATATCTTATATATACTTTCTAAAACCTTTTAAAATACTTTCTAAGACTTTATTAAACCTTACAAACACTTGGATCGAGTTTACAGGTAATAGTTACCTTCAAAAAATACCTTACAAACCTTATAAAACTTTATAAATTTTTTCAATTCAATAAAATTTATATTTAAAAATAAACACCTAAACGAAGCATTTTAAAAATAGACACACCAAGCATGCATTTTTCAAAAGTTCCCCTAAATAAAAAATTTCTATAACAATAATTTTTTTGATATGAAATATTAAAATAGTCAATATGTTTTAAAACAGCTAAACATATTTCAATATATTTTAGAAATAACATATTGCATTCTATATATTAATTCCAATCGCATGCAACGCATGGGTCTTCCACCTAGAAGAATTATATTAAAGTAGACCAACATATTATGAGTCTGCATCGAATTGGTCAGCGACGTCGACTGAGGAAAATAAAAAGAAAGTCTCTAATCATTTAGTTTCCTACTTGTTATATATTGTCCCGTGATTCTCTACTTGTTTAACTTGACAACAAACTAAAAACTCGGTTTTTAAATTTTTACAATTTAAAAAAAAAAACACTAGATAAATTTGTTTTAATTGTTAGAAATAGAGCGTATAAGATATTCCCAAATAGAGCTCACCAAAAAAAAAAAAAAAAGATATTCCCAAATAGCTTACACGTTTTATATATTTTGAATGAAAGATTCCGCTTAACACGATCAGTGGATTTTGGGAACTCTTTAAGGATTATGACCAAGTTTTGGGTTCAAATTCTACCCTTAGCTAGTTTTCCCTTAGTCAGGTTCTTGGTCTCAAATATTCGTCCAAAACTCTTCGGTTACAAAAAAAAAGATTACACAAACTTATATTATTCAAACGGATGAGTTCTACTGTGGTACTCAACATTCCTCAAGAGTCAAGACCTTAGAAAATAGTCAACATTTTCGGATGAATTTTCACTGTTTAAAAATGTCCTATAATGGGCAACTATAACTCTGTTACGTTGAGTATTGGAGTTACTGAGATTGAAAATGGATCAAATACACCATGAGATGATAACTCTATTGAGAATTGAGATGACTTAGATTGAAATTGGATAGTTAGTTGGCCAATTAAGAAATTTAAACTGGATACAAATCTCATTAATTTTTTAAACACCGTCAACCAATTTAAATACGATTAAAATATTTTAGAAACATGTGCATTTTATTATATTTAATTTCAACCCATGCAACGCATGGATCTTCCACCTGGTTAAATTATATTTTAAAAGGACTATGATTAATCAATTAATTCAGTCTCTGGGGATGTGCTTTTAGTCAAGTGGTTAAGTCCACTTGACTCCGCCTTCTCCACCGGAGTTCGACTCCAGTAAATCGCGTTACTCCGCGTAGTAGGGATTGGCTATGGATTGGGCTTGTCGATCCAAAGATGTCAAAAAAAAAAAAATCAATTAATTCAGTCTCCATGTATATTCCAAAAAAAAACTATGTCATCTAAGTAAACTCAATCCCTTAAATCATAATATATAAATTAATTAGATAATTTTTTTATAAATTAATTAGATAATTAACTCCTTGTAAAATCAAAGAAATGCATCTAAAGTCTATAAAAACCTGTCTTAAAGAGATATTTCTTCTCACCAGAGAGTCTCTTCTTTATCTATTTATCTCTCTCTCTAAAGATCGTTGTGATGATTGCTTCGAGTTTCTCAGAAAAATGTATATCAGTCATCAACGGAGCTCCAAGTTGGGCCGTCTTCTTCTTTTTTTACCTCCTCGACGCTTTTCTTTGCATCGTTTTCAGATTCCTCGACGAAGTTATGGAAGAAAAATTAGAGTCTTGTCACTGTAAAAACCCTCAAGAGAAAACAGATTTTGCAGGGTACGAGTTTCTTTCGGAGACTCTCTATCGGAGGAGAAACGTTTTCCGACAGGCCGGTTTTCTCCGGTTTGCGAAAAAACTCCCTGAGATAACCAAGAAAATTGGTATCGTTACATTCCTGAGAAAATTCCTTTTTTCTCAGACGATGAAGAAAGTCTCTCATGAGGTTGCAAACCGGTGGTCTGATTGTGGTTGCAAGACTTGTGTTTCTTGGACCAACAGTGATAAACTTAACGTGATCGTCAAGCAACCTTCAATATCAGGTAATTAGTAATATAAGTGATTTAGTTGGGTTATGTTCTGTTTTAACTTCTCATTTATTTTATTTTCATTTTGATCAGATTTGTTGATAAGCAACAAACCGGTAGAGAACGTTATTTTGATCTTCATCGTTTTGGACCAACACAGTGTTCAAATATTTACCAGAGATCACCGAAAAAACTAACTACAGATTCTTTGCTGTCGATCTTCTCGGGTTTGGAGACAGCCCGAAACCAAGAGCCAGTCAATATTCGTTTAATGAACATGTCGAAATGATCGAGAAATCGGTTATTTTACCAAATAATTTGACTTTTTTTTCATGTTGTAGCACATTCCATGGGATGTATCATTGCAATAGCCTTAACTGCAAAATTCTCCGACAACGTCAAGTCTGTCGCTTTAGTAGCTCCGGTGAGTTTTCCGATCATAGGAATCTGATTTCTCTTCACAATTTTAAACAACGTTTGTTCTGAAATGTTTTTCTTTATTGTTTTGGTTTTAGCCGTATTTTCCTGATTCAAAAGAAGGAGCAAGTTGTGATGCTCTTAATTAATGTGATCGCCGAGAAAAAACTTTGGCCACCGACTTCGTTTTTTACGTCGATGATGGCTTGGTATGAACACATTGGCCGTGGCGTTTGATTGGTTGTTTGTAAACACCACCGTACATGGGAGAGAATCATCAAAATTGTAACTTGGAGAAAGTCCGTATTTATATATATATATATATATATATATATATAGACAAGGACTATTGTTGGTGAAGGTCCGTCTTTAACATTCTGTTTTCTTTAATGTTTAGGAAACTACCAACATCGATAATGGAATTGACAAAGCACACACATCAATCAGGATGGCATATATAGCATGCACAATGTGATATGCGGAGGAGCGAAATTCACGGATAAACACCTTGAAACTTTGATAAAATCCGGTGTTAAAATCAATGTGGTGCAAGGGGATAAAGATGTTGTTGTTCCTATTGATTGTCTATGGAACATGAAAGGGAAGTTCCCTGCGGTTGAAGTCGAGGTTATCGCCGGAACTGATCATAGTACGGTCATAATGAGTAGGAGAGAGGTCTTTGTTGCAAGCCTTGTAAGTTTGTGGGCTTCTTCCCAAAAGAAACAAAAACTAGTGGCAAGTGCACAGAACATGAAAACTTATTAGTCACTTTTTGACAAATTAAGATATGAATGTTGAAGTGTAAACAAAGTCTTCGTACGATTTACAAGATTTGATGTAGAAAATTACCTCTTGTTATTGTATACTTTGAAACCACATCTTTGAATTTGCTATTTTCTCACCATTTCAGTTGCTTATGGCCTGTAGCATTGATGATGGTTAAGATTTATTGCCGAACGTAGTAAGATAATTTTGAAGTCTTAAACGCTATCCGTTTCGAAAGAAGATCCTCAGCACTTGAGGCTGCTACGGACAATGAATATAATGACCCTCTTTCATTGGGCTTTTCAGGCCCAAACGTTGCAGTGTAGTTTTGTGACTTATGTCGGCGGTTTTTTTTTACGTAGGTAATTTTGTTTTTATCTCCGCATAAATTATGATAAATTTCGAATCATTTATGGTATGGGGTCTCAAAACCCAATTATTCATGATTGACCTAATCTTTTTTTTTTGTCAAACAAGCATTCATTCACTTAAAACCTCAAAAGAGGGAAGTTCATACAAGTTGTAGCTAAGGAAATGCAATAGGAATAAAGATAAAGGCTCCATGAGTTTTCCAAAATGATGCTCATCTTAAAAAGGTTTGCAAAGTTTGAAGAATCTTTTGAGGCCATAGCGGATTCGACCATGAAGACGGGCTTCGCGAAATCCTCGACCAACGGATGGTCATAGACGGCTCGCGCGAATAACGCAAACGAGCTTTTGAGAAAATGCTCCACGGAGGAGGCTGTCGGGTAAAAGAGGTTGGAGAAGCTTTGGTAACCACCTCTCCTCGGAGACGGCGTCATAATGCCATTCTTCTTCAAGCTATTAAATGTTTGAGTATTGTACCTGAACTCTTTGATTTGCACATGAATGAGCTTGGTTTTCAGGGGAGGCGGAGATAGAGAGTTGAAGAAGCTTCGGTAACCACCGCTCCGTAGAGACGGGATCATAATGCCGTTCTTCTTCACCCTTTTGGGCAATTGGTGTATAAACAATGCATCCGAGCTTTTGGAAAGGTGCTCCGCAGAGGAGGCTGACGGGTTAACGAGGTTGAAAAAGAGACGGTAACCACCTCTTGAAGACATGGTCATAATGCCGTACTTTTCCAACCTACCAGAAGATTGCAAATTATCCAAGCAATAGATTAACACATGACTGAACTCGATAATTGGTGAATGGGTAGGTAGAGAGTTGAAAAAGCTTCGGTAACACCTACTCCGTAGAGACAGGGTCATAATGCCGGTCTTCTTAACTCTAAAGGCCAATTGCATATGGTTGGGTAAGAGAGTCTTGGATAGAGTCCAAAGTAAACTTAGCATCTGATCTCGACAAAGGTAACTATCAAGCCAGCCCAAACAAACCATTACTCTGTTAGCGTGGCGTCCATTACCAGCCAAGACAGAGTTGGAGGGTGCTAAAGGGAGGGAACTTGATAGGAAATTAATAATACTTGGCACGGGCAGCAACACTCTAGGACACTTCCAAAGAGAAATTACCTCCAAACGAATCAAGACTAGACTCAAACGATGAAGCAAACGGACCAAACGAGATAAACTATCGACCAGGTTTTGGGAAAGAGAACTACTAATCCAAGCTAAATCCATCATCACCATCACAGGAAAGCGTTCATTACTCTCCCTAAACAATAACAACTTCAGAAAATTTGGGCTTTGTAAAACATAATTAAAATCAGACCTGGGCCTTAGATGACATGAGCTTAACCCAGCGGAAGTCTTCGTGGGCTTCGAAAGTTTGGGTAATGTGCTGGAAGGAGGACAAAAGGGACTTGGGCTAGGCCCAAAACGAGGCACCATTAGGTTTAGCCAGGTTCTTCTTCTCATCCTCACCAAAAGCGGCGGCGGCAGAACGGATTTGGGCTGTCCGGCGACCGATTTGGGGGCTTCTGAGAAAAGATCTACCCAATCAAAAGATGCGGATGATGAAGCTCGGTCTGCAGAAGTTGATTCGCCCATGGTTTGATGCTTCCACAGCTCCGGCGTCGAGGCAGAGCTCCCATCCATCGAGGAACAAGGAGATGCTGATCTTGACTTCAAGGAGAGCCGAGAAGAGGGATCATCCACGAGAATCGCGAAAAGGTTAAGAGGAGAACTAGTACCAAATAAGAGCAGGCTCGAAGGTAATGCGGTCATAAAGCTTTTTGGATAAAAGGGGAGGGAAGAGAGCCGAAACAGAAGGAAACAAGAGAATGCAGATAACCAGAAAATAAAACCTTTGAGAGTAGATCGACGAGGAGGAGAAAGCTCCCGGCACCGGTGAGCGAAAGCTCTACCGGTGCCGAAAAAAGTGTTTGAAAAGTCGGTCTCGAGAATCGTATCTGGGAGAGAAATTCGTTTTTTGGTTGTGATTGACCTAATCTTTAAGACAAAGAATATCCAAAAATTACCGTCAAATAAAACTAACAATCTAGGGATAGTTACGTACCGAGACCGTACTAACTAGTTTTTCGATATTCATTTTAAAATAAACTAGATCTGGACCCGCACGTTCGTGCGGGATAAATTTTATAAAATTGCAAATCTTAAAAATTTTAAACTAAAAATAGTAAAAAATTAATATAAAATGTGAAAATATTATAGTTTTGATTGATATACAGTAGTGTTACAAAAATAATTTTATTTTATGTGGTGTATTAATAGTTTGGTGTAAATATATAAAATTATGGTTAGTGAAGAGTTGTGTGTAAATGTTTTAAAACAATAGTATGTTAACCATGAGAAAACACATGATAAATTTTTAATTGTTGTAATAATAATTTTTGTAACTTAATCTTTAAACTGATTATATTATTATATGGTCTGACAATTTTAATGTAGTGATACATATGTTACATATGTTATTTTTAATGTAGTGGGCAACATTTTATAGGCTACTAATATTGCCTTATTAGCCTAATATATATTTACTGATTTTTTAAAATTATTATATTTAATTAATAAATCAAAACATGAGATGAAAGTTTGGATTGTCTAGGTTTATGAATTGCATTCAAATCACAAAATATTTCGAGATTTTGAGGAATCTAAAATCTCTAATTTATTCGAGGAATATTCTATATTTCAAAAATCAAAATATCTAGTTTATATTCTATTTGGGAAATATAATAATCAAATTTGCTTTTTATTTCTTCCATCTAAACTAATCAAAATTAATTAGTATAGTTTTATTATGGAAATTATAAAAATCAAAAATAAACTATGCTTTGTTATTTTTCAATTATATTAAATTGGACTGTCGCTTCCGGAAATATCTAACATTACCTTACCCAGTAAAACCTTTATAAATTAATAATGTTGGGACCAAAAAATTTTATTAATTTAGAGAGGTATTAATTTATAAATAAATTAATAATTATTAATTTATAGAGAGATTTCACTAATTTTGTAATTTCTTAAAAAAATTCTATCTATAAATAAATTTTTTCTTTATAAAAAATATCTTTTAAAAACCGATAACAAGTAGAGAAATAATTATTAAGTTAAAAAAATAACACAAACTTTTTTCGAATAACAGAGTCATATTTCATCAAATTTTTTACATATAATATTTTAAATATATATCATAGTAATTCATATATAACATATATAAATTTATATAATGTATATATATATATTGATAAGTTAATAAAGTTATTAATTTATGATTTAGATGGGACCATATGTTTACATGAGATTTTTTTAAAAATTATTATTTTATTAATTTATCGATTTATGTCATATTTTACAATGGTCGTAACTCGGGACCGGAAGAAGTTATTAATTTAGAGAGGTTATTAATATATAGAGGTTGTACTGTAAATAAGTTAACATCTACAATTTCAAAAAAAAAAATTCTTCCATTAATCAGAATTTATTAGTATATTTTCTTAAAGAAATAAATTAAAACCGAAAATATATGATGATATTAAAGTGATTTTTTTGTTTTTCGGAAATATTTCAAAATATATTACAAAATTAAATAAGTTTTCATATATACAATTTTGAAATTAATAGTTAGATTTTTTATGGAAACTACTTTAAAAGATTTCTATAAATCTTGGATAGTTATTAATTTGTTTATATTATGGGAACTACTTCAAACAATTTCCATAAATATTGGGTAGTTATTAATTTGTTGATTTAATTTTGGATTTTGTTTTATATAAAAAAACAAATATCAAATAGATATTATATTTTTTTCCTTTTTCAAATTTAAAAATACCAATGGCATTCTTTGTAATTAATCTACCAAAATAAGGTTACTTATGTTTGAGTGATTCCCAATTAATAGTATAGATAAATACAAACCATGAAACTAGATCATGACCCGTGCTATACAGCACGGGATTTAATATTTTTCATGAATTAAATTGTATAGTTTGTTCGAAGAAATAAGAAATAATATAGTATAATAGTATAATATAAAAAGGAATATATAATAATATTTTATATTTATTACTATTTAGATATAATGTTATATATTTTATTTGACTAAATAAGGAGAAAATATTGTATTTTAGAGTTTAATATATTTAGCAGCATTAGATTTGTATTTTTTATATGAGATTAACAATTTCTTTGGTTCAATTAGGTATTGATAATTTTATTGTGTAATTGTGAACAAACAAAAAAAATAGTTGTATTGGGTCTAAGTTTTTTAATGGATTATATTGGGTTTGTGGGCCCAGTTTTATGGTTTTTAAAAAAAGGAAAAAAACGGTTTAACATACCTTTGGAATTTGCTAATGTGTTCGTTTTTTATGTCTACTTGAATTTTGTTACCCTGTAATTAAAATAAGATGACTTAAAACTTACGACTCATATATTACAAAGAGAATTGTATAAAATTTCAATGGTACTTACAGCCTCATCTGTCAAAATCATTTCCAAAGACATGCCAGAACTTTTTGTAAAATAAATCCACGAATGAAGTATACTAACTTGAATACACCAAAAAGTCTTGACAGGCTTCAAGTTGTTAAGAAGAGTGTAGCGACTAACCATAGCCATTTCTGCTGTATTTTTAATTGTAGGATATGAGAATGGTGCTGAGATGATTTCGGTGAGAAAGGTACGTCAAACCTAAATGGATATTTATAGTTGTAGATTGTTTGTGATAATTAGGAGAATCAGAAATATATTAATTAGCATAAAATAGTTAGATAATATTTTAGAAAGGTATATTCTAGATTATTTCGAAGATAGGATCAAAATTATCTAACAGAGAGATTTGACAATCTTTAGAAAAGATTTTAAGGAAACTGAATAGCTGATTATATTGATGCGTGATTAAGCTAAACAAAAAACGTAAAACTAAACAAAAAAAACGATCTAGAATATAACAACTATTATAACTTTTTTTTTTTTATAAAGGGTTTTAAGGAAACTGAATATATTCTCAAAGATTTTAGGGAAACTGAATATATTCTCAAAGATTACGAATTGCTTGAATACGTATTTATATCTAAACAAAATATAACAACCTAATATCTTTAAGATCTTTAAACCCGTTTTTCGTTATTTGACCCGTTTTTTAATTAATTTGTTAATGTTAGTGACATGAAATTAAAATGATTATGATTAGAGATCTCTACTGGCATATATTATAATTTCTTACAAAATTAACGTTACGACTTATAGGATGTACCTCCCAAATAATAGTATAGGATATAACATTTTGAATATCATTTTCAATAACATTTTCGAACTATATGAGTATTATAATTCAAAATAACATTTTTTATAAATTGGATTGATATAAAATGTTTTCAATGATATATCATTTTCGTTAACATTTTCAATAACATTTTTTTATAACATGTTCGAATAATGGATTACTATATAACATTTTGAATAACATTTTCAGTAACATTTCCGAATAATATATTAGTATATTAGTATAGGATTTTTACTAATTGTGTTACATTTTCGAATTGATTAGTCTATAACATTCTCGAATTATATTAATTATGTATTATATAAACAAAATCTTTTAATATCTTTAAATCAGTTTGACCCGTTAATATATATTAGTGAAATGGAATAAAATGATTATAATTAAAGATCTCTAATGGCATATATTGTAATTTTTTACAAAATCTAAGTTATGACTCTTAGGATGTACTTCCCAAATATTAGTATAGGATTCTACATTTTGAGAAGCAATGAAAAAATATTCATAGAATTTTTTTATCTACGTCAATGCTGTGTTTTCATTTTATTTTGGATAAAAAAACTTAATATTTTGTTGTAATTTGACTTGCACGAAATATAAAAATGCTGCAACCATAACAGTAATTTTTCAACTTGGTCAAGAAAATCTCAATATTGACTTTTTTTGTGGAATGTATGCATTTCTTGAACATCAAGTCCCCCCGTACACAGTTTGAGAACATTTCCATATAATTACCGAACAATTGACACCAACGAAATGTCAAAATTATATAAGAATGTGACCTCAAATTCGCTACGTACTCTTTCAAATTATAAACCGTATATAAAAGAGCATTGATGGCTCTCTCAACTTAATTAAATACTCTAACAACAATTCCTACATGGTTTCCACTTAAGCAATGACTACTGCAAAATTTGTGATTTCGGTTTTAGTTTTACTGCTTTCTATTGTAAACTCTGTTTTCGCATCTACGAACGGACCAATATGTTCTTCCACATCCACATCTTTTAATCGGGATATTTTCCCTCAAGGTTTTATTTTTGGAGCTGCTTCTGCCGCATTTCAGGTATTGTAAAAAAAAAATTTAGTGATCTATAATGCATATACCCATTAAGTATTGATCTACAACTTCATATGCTGCTTCTGCCGCATTAAGTGTTAGCTAGTATATAAATTTCTCATGCTATGTATGCTAACTTTTTTTCTAATATCAACCAAAAACTAAACTTCATATGTTGATCAATCAAAATTGACGTATATAATTCATGTTGTAGTATGAAGGTGCGGTCCACGAAGGATGCAGGGGTCCAAGTATGTGGGATTACTATACCCTTAAACAACCTGGTAAGTAATCCTATTTATATATTTATAATCATATTTCATTTTTAGAGTACTGTTTCCTTTTACATATATTAAACACATTTTTAACGATATTTTTAGAGAGGACAAACAATGATAATGCCGATGTAGCAGTTGATTTCTACCATCGTTACAAGGTACGTATGAATACATAACTTTCATAGGCTACAAGCTTTATAGTTGCAGCAATATTACACATAAACACACGGATAATCTAAAACAAATTTCTTATATGGTACAGGAAGATATTCAGTTATTGAAGAAACTAAACATGGACGGTTTCAGATTCTCTTTTTCATGGCCCCGAATATTTCCTCGTAAGTATAGACGTCCATTCATCTATACATTTAAACATTTTTTGTTTTGTTAAAGCTATATTTAATTATTAATTATATATATTCGTTAATATTTCTTACAAATCATCAGATGGAAGAAAGGATAAGGGCGTTAGCAAGGTGGGTGTCAAGTTTTACCACGATCTTATAGACGAGCTTCTTGCAAATGGTAATGACTTTGACTTTTTTTCTTGATAATTATTTCTTGAAAATATATAATATATGAGAATATGAGATTAATTTATTCATATGATTGCATAATGTATATTCAGGTATAACTCCACTAGCAACGGTCTTCCATTGGGACATTCCTCAAGACCTAGAAGATGAATACGGCGGTTTTCTAAGCGAACGTGTAATGTAAGTTATCTCTTTAGTTTCAAATCCGAGAAGTAAAATCATACAAGTTATAACTTAACCTAATTATACACATATACATGCATGCGCATGTAGAGATGATTTTGTTGAGTTTGCCAACTTCACGTTCAACGAGTATGGCCACAAAGTGAAGAAGTGGATCACGTTCAACGAGCCGTGGGTGTATAGCAGAGCCGGTTACGACATAGGGAAGAAAGCGCCGGGACGTTGCTCGCAATATGTCAACAAGACTTGTCTTGGAGGGAGTTCAGGGCACGAGCTTTACATAGTCAGCCACAATCTACTTTTAGCTCATGCCGAAGCCGTTCATGAGTTTAGAAAATGCGCAAAGGTATATACTGTAATGTTTATATTTACTGATAATGGACCCGTGCTCTTTTTACCGCTCTAATATTCATATAGCTGTTCCGGACTCTTAAGTTTAGGCCGTGATATGATATTATACTAGATGAAGTCTAGAAATACATTGAATGCTATTCTGATATCACTCCTAACAAAATATTAATCCCCTATGTGTAGTGCAAAGGTGGGAAGATCGGGATTGCGCATAGTCCTTCTTGGTTCGAGCCCCACGCTCTTGAGTCTAGTCCACATGCCAATGTTTCTGTTGAACGAGCCCTAGAGTTCATGTTGGGATGGTAAATTACGATATACAAGATGTTGCTTAAACTTATGGTGTGGAGTCATAAGTTAAATTTTATAAATGTTTTTCGTATATATATATGTAGGCACATGAATCCAACCACATATGGTGATTATCCACAGATAATGAAGGATCAAGTCGGAGATCGGTTGCCTAAATTCACAGAGGATCAAAAGCAGAAACTGAAGATGTCATATGATTTTGTTGGGATCAATTATTATACTGCCACCTTCGCTGCTTACAATGGACTCATTGATCCTTCAAGACCAACTTGGGAATCTGACTCTCTTGTTAAGTGGGATCGTAAGTTTTTCTACCAATTAAAACGGATATTCATTATAAACTTGAGTTCCAATATCAAGAATCAATCATCTCTCAATATGCATTTTCTTAATTCTCACTATTTTTCTTTTTTTGTTTTTTCAGCCAAGAATATACTAGGATACAACATCGGTAGCAAGGTATACAAAATGGCTCTTAGATTTCAAATTTTAGATATATAGAATTAGGCTATTCCATTTCATAGAATGTCATATTTTTTAAATTAATTTTTGAGGCCACACTTTTATTTATGGAAATCAACGCTTGCTAAGTTTCAGGAAAATATAATTTACTCCATAATGTTTTTTTGCAGCCTTTAACTGCTTCACTCGCCGTTTATGCAAATGGATTACGGGAACTTCTGAAATATGTTAAGGATAAATACGGTGATCCAGAAATTATCATCGCAGAGAATGGTAATAAAAAATGAACAACAAAAAAACACATTTTCAATACTATACAAGTATGAAACCACTACTAGGATTTAAGAAATTATAAAACAAAAAAATGAGTGACTTTTAAATTAACAAATACTAATTGCTTCAGGATATGGAGAGAGTTTGGGAGCTAATGATAAGCTTCCCAATGCACTGGCTGACTACAATAGAAAATATTACCACCAGAGGCATCTTTTAAGTCTAAATGAGGCAATTTGGTGAGTTGATTTATGAATTATGATTTTTTTTTTTTAAATAGATTTCTTGTAACAATTTCAATTTTTGATAAATGATTTAATTTAATTTTCTTGTTGCAGTGTGGATAAAGTAAATGTGACAGGATACTTTGCATGGTCATTGCTAGACAATTTCGAATGGCAAGATGGTTATGAAACGAGATACGGGCTGTATTACATCGACTACAAAAATAATTTGACTCGTCACGAAAAGGAATCAGCAAAATGGTTCAAAGAATTTTTGAAGGAACCAATATCTTCAAAATTCGTTGAAAATATCTACAAAGATGAGCTGTGAACAGATATATGAAGACAATAAAAAGAACTTTGAAAGGATACGTTTCAGACTTTCAGTTCATAAATCACAGTCACAAAGAAAGATTTGTTCTGCAGTATTTTTATTGTATTCTTTATTTTATTTATTTATTTATCTGCGTTGTATTTTTTGTAATCTATAAAATTATGGTTTGATTGAATGTTTTGTAATTGAATTTCAACTCTTCTTAAATTATATTAAGATAGTCTATCCACATTCTTTCAGTTTTCACCAATAATAAAATCACACATAAATATATACATGTTAAAATGTCCCATATCGAAAATGAATATAAATTCATTATTCTAAGAAATAAATGTCTCCTTTAATTTACTTTTTTTTTTTTTTTTTGACATCTTTAGATCGACAAGACCCAATCCATAGCCAATCCCTACTACGCGGGGTAACGCGACTTACTGGAGTCGAACTCCGGTGGGGAAGGCGGAGTCAAATAGACTTAACCACTTGACTAAAGGCACATCCCCATTTACTTATTATAAATAAATATGTGTTTGTAATGTTTACATAAATCCAAACTCACAATTTTATGCAGTTGAATTTTAATTCTCCGGAAAACAACTAAATTGCATATATCAATTCTTTGAAGCTTAAAAAATCTGAAGTGAATATACGATGATAAATAAACAAACATGGCCTCAAGTCTCCTCTTCCAGTTTCTCCAACTCTGACCTCTTCCGTTGGAGAACCGTAACCAACCCCTCGAGCGCCACATCAGGATCCTCATTTTTGTGAAACGGAGTAAGTACATGTTAAAATGTCCCATATCGAAAATGAAAATGAATATAAATTACTCTAAGAAATAAATGTCTCCTTTAATTTACTTATTATAAATAAATATGTGTTTTTAATGTTTACATAAATCCAAACTCACAATTTTATGCAGTTGAATTTTAATTCTCCGGAAAACAACTAAATTGCATATATCAATTCTTTGAAGCTTAAAAAATCTGAAGTGAATATACGATGATAAATAAACAAACATGGCCTCAAGTCTCCTCTTCCAGTTTCTCCAACTCTGACCTCTTCCGTTGGAGAACCTTAACCAACCCCTCGAGCGCCACATCAGGATCCTCATTTTTCATTAGCTCCTCTGCAACTTGAGCTGGAGTCAACACTTCTCCTTTAATCAAACGCTCAATTTCCGGGTAAAGATGGTGAGGGTCGTCGTGGGACAAGCCCAAGTAATTAGACGCCAAAGTCTTGAATACATCAAAACAACAATGTCCCATGTGAATATGCATATCCATACGACCTGGCCTAAGCAATGCCGGATCAAGCTTCTCCTTGTGGTTTGTGGTGAAGATTACAATGCGTTCGTCTCCACAGCTCGACCATAACCCATCTATGCAATTTAAGAGCCCTGATAACGTCAACATTTCTGATCCCTATTCACATAGGATCCACGTATTGGTTGCAAGCATTTCGAGAGATAGTCTAAAAATTAATCTTAGTTTTTTAATGAAAATAAAGACCAAACCTTAGTATCATCTTGAGTCTTTGGTTGCAACCGTGTATGCAAATCCACGGCGCAGTCTATATCTTCTACCAAAAGAATGGAGCTGTTCCTAGTACCGAGAAGTAATCTCCTTAGATCAGCGTCCTCCCTCACGCTTGCAAGCTGGAGATCATAGATATCAAACTTAAGGTAGTTAGAAATGGCCGCAACTAGGCTAGTCTTCCCAGTCCCAGGTGGACCGTACAGCAAGTAACCCCTTTTCCAAGGTTTCCCAACTCTTTTGTAAAAATCTTTCCTTCTGATGAACCGGTCAAGATCATCAATTACAGAACGCTTTAGATCGTCGTTCATAGCCATGGTATTAAATGTTGACGGGTGCTCGAGGTTCACGGATTGCCATTTTAGATACATGTTACAGTAGGAGTACATCTTGAGGATTTTCCTCTCGTTGTTTATCACCTTTGCCTTGCTTTCCACGTAAGGTATATAAGAATTCAAGACCAAGTCTCTGTGTTTGTTTTCAAAGCTAAGCTCGAAATACTCCCGATCGGAGTTTAGCTTAAAATGTTCCCCAAAATCATGAACCATATTGGTCTTCTTGCTTTCAACACAAAAACGCCACTTGAGCTCAATGCCTTGGTAGACATCCGAGACAACCTCTCCTACGCTGAGGTGTAAATTGACGTTTTTCTCACTGCGGTCTCTAAAGATCCTAAGCCTTGCCGCGTTGCAGTTGATCTTGGTGGAGATATAAACCTGAGCAGCCCCATAGAGCTCGTTGTTCATCCCATTCTTGATCTGGTCGTCGATGATGAGCGTGAGAGTCGATGGACTAGAGTGCAAGAAAGAATTGAGATAAGAGATGATGTAGTTTTGTAACGGAGGTGGAATTGTCATCTCAATAAATGGTTTGATCATCATGATGTATCCCGTCAATGATGCGTAGGCTGAGACAAATGGTGCAAGGGAAGGAAGATTTCTAAGAGAAAACATTGTTGATGATCTGAAACGCACCAACTGTACCAAAGGCACTCGAAGTAGAAGAGGTTGTTGTTAATACATATGTGGAGAGGAGCTAAACATTTATCTTGAATAATATTTTTGGTAATGTAAATATGAAGTCATATATGATATATCTCAAAGAAAAACGAAATTCCATATTTTTTTTGTGTCCCCACTAGTTGACAACCCCTATATAATAAGATATGTTATTAATTAAATTTGGATTTTTTTTAATACCAATGTCATGTACATCTTATTTTATAATTGATAAGATCACATGCGTGTCAAAATACTACTGTAATTTTAATTACATTTTTTTGTAGATTGAAGACATAAATCATAAAATGTTTAAGAGAATAAGTTTTATAAAATTAAGATTTCTTTGAAATAATTACAAGCTTTTTTCATGATAATATAATGGAAATAAATACATAACTATAAAGAAATTCTTTAAATTCTCACTTTTGAGGTTTTGTTTAACAATACTACTAAATATCTCAAAATCGAAAGTCATAATTTTTTTTGACAATTGTAACAAACTTTTAGATTAAAATTAATAACATATCAATTTTTATAAAATTAAACTTAAGAGTTAGAGACAAGCTCAAATGAACTTTTTTTATAAAAAAAAAAACAAAAACTCTAAAATCATATATTAGTATATTATATCATTTAAATATACCAAATTTTTTGAAATATATATATATTAATTTATGATAATAATAATAGGATAATATATTTACATAAAATTTTAAACAAATATTGTTTTATTATTTTATCAAATTTTGTTAACTTGTAGATTTGTTCGATTTAAGAAAAGAAAATTTTATAATCATTATTAATTTATAGAGGTTTTAATGTATATATCTACTTCACCTCTTACTTTCACTCTCTCCATCATCAATGAGTGTGAATATTTTACAATATAACATAAGTTCATTATTTCTTGCCAACATTTTTCATTATTATCTTTTGATATAATACTAGTGGTTGATTGAATCAGACACTACTATATTTATTTTGTTCTAGCCATTATTTTGACAATGCGTAATGTTTTATAGATTTTTTTTTCATACACGGATTATTGGTTTCTTCATCGTTTTGGATCAACACAATGTTCAAATATCTACCAGAGACCACCAAAAAAACTAACTACATATTCTTTGTTGTCGGTCTTCTCGGGTTTGGAGACAACTTGGAACCAAGAACTAGTCAAAATTCTTTGAAAAAACATGTCGAAATGATCGAGAAATCGGTGATTTTACCAAATACATTCCATGTTGTAGCACACTTGTGTACATTTTACTTTGAATGTGACACTATTTTTGTTTTCTCTTCCTTTAGTAATTAAAATAAAATAAAAATAAAGATATTTTATTGATAAATACCCTAAAACAGCATCAAGACATGTTTTGCACAATTATAGTACACACTCTACAAACTTTGAATAATAGCATTAGTTGTACTGCTCTGCCAAGAAGTTTCATGCATGTCGTCGAGAAGGTTTTTTTGTTGTTCTTTGCCATGCATTGAACTAACCGAAAGTGGAAGGATGGATAAGTCTCATCTTATTCCAGCGATGAGTATTTGAATTGGTGGGTTCCCTTACCTTGACACGTGGTAAGGAAGGTTGCATGGTTTTACACCCTTGTTATTGTCTTCTAATTCATGAGAAGATTATCAAGCAGTTGTCACTCGTTCTTACACCTCTGCCAAGGAGTTTCTCAATTGTCCTCGAGATGGTTGTGGCATGTTTTATGCAATTGAACTCACTGAATCTTAGGCTGATTGGTTTGAACGGCATCACACCACCTGTCCATGTGGGGAGACCATTTGCCACCAATGCACCTTCCCTGTGCATTATCCAGCGATGTGTGAAGGTCTGATGGCTTGGCGACAACAAATGGAGATGCCTCCGACTGAGTATATCTCTCGTTTTCAGAGCTTAGACCAGGTATTTACTCCTCTAACTTTTAGTTCAGAAATATCTAAAATGTGAATAATACATTCAAATGTAAATCATTAGTAACCCCTATTTCTTCAATTAGCAAATCCAGATTGTTGATGATGTCCTTGATGATGCTCTTGTACAAGTTGTCTCTCCGCTTGATTTAATTCTTTTGAGGGTATACATGAAGGTTTTGGGTTGGCGCAGGAACCTTCTTATGCACTATTGTTTCAGTCCAATGACACTTCTTGATTTACATGATGAAGATACATATAGGGTCTCCATAATTTTTGAAAGCCATCATCCTTGGTCCCTTTTCAAGTATGATTCCGATCGTATATTGCACAACATTATTGAATCTGCTCTAGCCATGATGGCTAGACTCCTTTCCAAGGTTGGAGCAAATTTATCTAGGACCTGTCTTCCTGACACAAGAAGATTTGAATGATTTGTAGTATGTCTGGATTTGTGTTTTAAGTATATGTAGTATGGATTTGTGTTTTAAGTATATGCATTCCCTGTTAAATGTTTCACATTTGCTTCAATGTCTTATTCTCTCTTTTCTTTCAATATCTTAAACGTCGATATTGATTTTTTTGATTCATTCACACTTTCATGAAATACAACGCTAAAAGAACTTTTGAAATCCTTAAATGTTTGTATTTTCAACTCTTAATGATTTATTTCTATTATAGACATGAAACCAGGCTAATGCTATATTAGATGAGGTGTGATTATCTGCTTTTTCTGCAACCACAAAAGATTATATATATATAACTCAAAACTCTTACAAAAAAGAACCATTAAGATATAGCATCTCAAAGCACATATGTAATAATCTCTGTTAAAACACTCCGCATGTTTTTGTATTTCTTCTATTCTCTTCGGTCTTCTGCAAAACATTTTATTGTTTTAATAAAATTAAGATTTCCTTGAAAAAAATAAAAGCTTTCTTCATGATAATGAGTAATTTTATTATATAAAGTATGGTTTGCAAAGTTAATAATTCATAACGTTTGATTACACTTCGACGGCACACCACGGACTCCGACAACGTTCGATGTTATAGAACTTGAACTCATTATAACAAGTTGAGAGAATCACAAGAATGAATCCAAAAGAGAATGAGTAAATCCCAGAAGAGAATGAAAGAAATTTGAAGTTTTCGATTTCTAGGGTTATGTGTTTGGAGATTTTTCGATTTAGGGCAAATGAGTTTGATTGGAGTTTTGTAAATTCAAAATCGACGTCGTTTATGTGTATTAAAACGGCATCGTTTTAATTTAAGAGGAGCTGTTAACAGTATTTAATCAGCGTTTAATTGTTCCGTTAATCGACTTAACGTCGGGTCTTAAATGGTAAAGTCAAACAAAGTTTGGCATTTAAATGGAAAGTCAAAGAAAGTTTAGCATTTAAATCGTTTCAGGCAAAGTTGGGGATTAAAAACGACGTAATGAAAAAGTTCATCATTTAATTGGCATTTCTCCCATTCCACAAACATCGTTTTCTTTTATACACCTAACCAAATTCCGTCTGTTGATAATCCCTTATAATAATATCATATACTAAAGACCTGACTGGTTTAAACGCAGCGGTTACGGTTGCGGTTGCGGGAGTTTGCGGAAGCGGGCGGTTGCGGTTTCAAGCGTTACCAAGCGTTTTGAACGACTGGTTTAGCGTTTGAAAATGGATGCGTTTGCGGGAGTTTTATGACTGGTAAACCAGCGGGTACGGTAGCAATTAAATAAAAAAATGACCACAAAATAAAAAATATTACAAAAAAAAAGAAATAAAAACACCAATATAATATTATGATAATATTAGAAAAATTGAACATACTTAATAATTAAAACCATAAATAAAGTACTAAATAATTATTCAAAAATAAAGAAATTTTGTAATAAGATAGTACTTTATGCTGGGTTAATACCAAAAATTGCATCAAGTAATGGGATAAACTGTAAATAACGTTGAATTCAATCAAAAAGCAAGTGATTTTCTATTCGAGAAAACAAATCGAAACATATATTCAATCAAAAAGCAAAACAATACCTAATGAAAAGAAAAAATGATGCCATGAAAAATATTCAAATAGTTACACACGAGGTGATGAATGAATAAAAGGATATATGATACTTACGTTTGGTTCTTGATTTTCATCAGTTTGAGTGGAAGACATTGAGAAAATAAGGTTTTAGAATATTGATTCGGATTTCTGATGAGAACGTGATACAAAGATGAAAGATATATATAAGATTAATATATTTTATAATAATTAAAAGTAAACGTTTGATTTTTTTTTTTTTTCTTTAAATCCAACCGCTACCGCCCGCAACCGCAAACGCTTGCGGGAAGGAGCTTTTGAAATTCAGCGATTTCAAGCGGTTTGAAGCGGTACAGAGCGGTTTGAAGCGGTACGGAGCGGTTTCTATGATTGGTACCAACCGCTAGCAACCGCAACCGACCGCTAGCAACCGCTAGGAGGGTGCTAGCGGGAGAACCAATCAAGCCCTAAGAATAAATTAAAATTTTGAAGAAAGTTACGTCATGGTAATTTTGTCTTGTCGCCATGTATGGCTTAAAAAACCGTATAGAAAATTAGATAATTCAAAAATCTCATGTGCAAAACTAACTTCATCAGGTCTCCTCAATACCGAGTGATTCCCTTCCTCTACCTCTTTATAGGCATGATCAAAAGCTAACCGTTACCATATTTCGGACCGTAACCAGACCGTTTTTCAATCACCGCATTCCTCTAAAACCCTGACCTCTTCCAGTACTAAACCCCTGACCTCTTCTTCCTCTTCCTCTATATAACACTGGGAATCCTGATGACGGAACCAATGTCAACCTCGATCTCGAGAGCCAGTCACTATCAATTAGTTCCTCCTCGTCCGCAACTTGAGCCGGAGTCAACGCTGTTTCCCTCAATGTCTCATCAACGTCGGCTATTATCTTCTCTCCCTCTTTAATTTTTTTCATCTTAGATTCATCATCACACTTCTCTGGCTCTGACCTCTTCCTCTTGAGAACCTGATTGCTCGAGTAATTACTCAATACACTTAACCGCTAGGTAGTATATTCGAGGTCGATCCACAAGGACCAAAGATACTCTAAGGATTTCCGAGACTTGTTCTTAGCTAAAACTAAAAGATTGTTTTGTTTTGGGTTTTCGGAATTGTAAATAAAAATGCAATTAAAATAGACGATTTAACTTCAAGATTTAAAGACATTGGGCGTTAGGGTATTTAAGAGATCAACGAATAATGGAAACATGAAACCAGGAATTCAGTAATTAAGAACCGTTCTCGAACATGAACACATTTAAACCAATTCTCTTTCAAGACATTAATCACTAAATTTGACTATTCGATTACTAAACTTTCGCATGCAATTTCCTAGTCAAATTCGCATTACCAAACAAGTTCATTAAGTTCACAATGCGTCCTAACGTCAACTTTCGTTGGCTAGAAATACATTTCTCAATTCACATTCTTTCAGGCATTCTATCGAACACTTTTGATGCATAGAAAAACCTAGACTCTACAACAGGGTGATCAATCCTATTCTAGCATTAAGAACATGTGAATCAAAGAACCTAAAGAATGAAATTCCTAATAACAATCAATCCATTAATCCATTGAATCTCCTAATTAGAACCCTAAAACCCAATTGAGAAACTACTCACTCATGGCAAAGAAAACAACACAAAGAGATGAAGAAAGCATAATTGAATTGCAATGAAAATAAGAAATAGGGTTTAGAAATCTTCTCCAAATTGTCAAAGAGGATGAATCTCTAGAATCCCAAGGTTGCTTACAAGAGAAAAGTCTCAGGAAAATTGCAGAAAGAAAACGTGCCCAAGAAAATTAGGTCTCTCGGGTTTTTATACCCAAGTACAGAAAAATGGAAGACAAAACCCGGTTTAGGAAAACCGTCTCGGGACGTCGAGGCTCGGATCGATCGATCCCATGGGTGGATCGATCGATCCAGATATGCTGAATCAATTGGTCTTGGACGGATGAGGGTTGGATCGATCGATCCCCTCCTGGGATCGATCGATCTCGAGCTACTGGAACTTTTGGCTTCATCGTCACAATTGGGATCGATCGATCCACGCCTTGGATATCGATCCCCAGCTCCTGGTGATCTCTTGTACCGTTTCTCCATTGTTTTAGCTCCGAATAGGCTCAATCATGCACAAGATGCTCCGAATCCAGCTCGAGCACCTATAGCCTGCAAAGGACTCAAGACATAACCGAAAAGACGCAAAAGACGGACTTTGACACGATAGATGACTCAAAACATGGACTAAACCAAGACTCGAAACCGTTAAAAACGCAACACATCAGAACCTTAACCAAACCCTCAAGAGCCGCATCAGCATCTTCATCCTTCATTAGTTCCTCAGCGACTTGAGCTGGAGTCAACACGTGCCCATCAATCAAATGCTTTATATCCGGATAGAGAGGGTGAGTGTCATCATTTTCGTCAGACAGGCCTAAATAGTTAGACGCTAATGTCTTAAATCCCTCAAAACTACAATGTCCCATGTAAATATGCATATCCATACGGCCTGGTCTGAGCAATGCTGGATCGAGCTTCTCCTTGTTGTTAGTCGTGAATATTATTATGCGTTCGTTTCCACAACTTGACCATAACCCATCAATGCAATTTAAAAGTCCTGATAACGTCAATGGTGTTGATACCTATTCACATATAAAATGTTTAAGATGGACTCATGTATTGTTTGCCAGAAAAAGAATATTATAAGACTCAAACTAAAACCATCGTGAAGACCAAACCTGGGAAGCACCTAGCATTTTGGTCTTTTTGGTCGTTTTGGTTGCAGGTTGCAACCTTGTAGGCAAATCCACCGAGCAGTCTATATCTTCTACAACAAGAATCGAACTGTTCTTAATGCCGAGAAGTAATCTTCTTAGATCGGCGTCTCCCTGAACGCTTGCGAGCTGGAGATCATAGATATCGAATTTGAGGTAGTTAGACATAGCTCCCACCAAACTAGTCTTCCTGGTCCCTGGTGGACCGTATAGCAAGTAACCCCTCTTCCAAGCTTTTCCAACTCTTTTGTAAAAATCTTTTCTTCGGACAAACTTGTCAAGATCTTCTATCACAGAACGCTTGAGATCATCGGTCATGGCCATCGTGTTGAATGTTGAAGGGTGCTCGAAGTTCACGGATTGCCATGTTTGACACATGTGCGAGTAGGAATGCATCTTGAGGATCCTGCTTGTGCTGTTGACTACCTTTGCCTTGCTCTCCACGTAGGGTATATAGGAATTCACGACCAAGTCTCTGTGTTTCTTGTCGAAGCTCAGCTCGAAATATTCCCCACGATGGTTTCCCTGATAGCTTTGCCCACCAACATCATTAGCCATAGTATTCTTCTTGTCGTTAGTAAAAAACCTCCACTCCAGCTTAACGCCATTGAAGACATCGGAGACAACCTCTCCATTACAAAGATGTAACTTGACTTTCTTCTCCGTAGGGTCTCTAGCCATATTTAGTCTGACCGAATTTGGACTTATCTTGGTGGAGAGATAAGCCTGAGCAGCTTCGTAAAGCTCTTCGTAAGAATACATCGAGGTAAATTGATTGATGGTAAGCGTGAGAGTCGATGAACGAGAGCCAACGAAGGACTTGAGATAAGAGACGACGAAGTTTTGAACTGGACGTGGAATCATTGTGTTAATCATTGGTTTGATTATCATGATGTATCCCATCATTGATGCGTAAGTAGAGAACATTGATGCAGGAGAAGCGATATCTCTAGAGAACACCATCGTTTTTGAGATAAGGGTTTGGTCTCTCCTTTTCAATGTTGCTGCGTCGTCTGAGGCTTTTGCTTAAACTATAAATTTTGTTTATATAGAGAATTAAACGTTTTTGAGATTAGGGTTTGGTGTCACCTTTTCAATGTTGTTGCGTCTGAGGCTTTTGGTTTCATTAAATTTTGTTTATATAGAGAATTGTATTGGGCCGGATATAGTTCTCCTTCTAATTTTTTCCAACTATACAGATTTTTCTTTTCTAGTTACGTTTTTTTTTTAAATCCTTTTTTGGGATAGAAGAAAGAATAATCTCTATCAATAAATTACTTAATAAATTAATTAATATTGGTATGGATATATGTTCATAGGGTGGGCATCAAATTATTAGGCAGTTGTAAATCTATGACTAAGTTAATAGCCAAATTCTGTTTATAATATATTAGATTATTAGTTATCACAACTATCAAAACAAATCTTACTTATAGTACTGTAATTGAAAAACTACAAATTTAAGCATGACCTTAAATATGAATAGAAAAACGATGTGAAATAGAAACCCAAACTAGAATCCAAAAACCAGAACTAGAAAAACGATGTGAAGTACCAAATAAACCCCCATTTAATTTGTAAGATTCTCTCAAGTGAAAACATGGATTGTATGTTCAGGTCTCCTCAGTGTTGGATATTCTCTTCTCTCCCTCTACGAGCATCTTCATCTTCTTATTAGATTCATCATCACACTTCTCCGACTCTGACCTCTTCCTTTTGAGAACATTAACCAAACCCTCAAGCGCCATATCAGCATCTTCATTTTTCATTAGTTCCTCGGCGACTTGAGCCGGAGTCAACACTTGTCCGTCAATCAAATGCTTTATATCCGGATAGAGACGGTGAGGGTCATCATTGTCGCTCGGCAGGCCTAAGTAGTTAGATGCCAATGTTTTAAATCCCTCAAAACTGCAATGTCCCAAGTAAATGTGCATATCCATACGGCCTGGTCTGAGCAATGCTGGATCGAGCATGTCCTTGTTATTAGTCGTGAATATTACTATGCGTTCATCTCCGCAACTAGACCATAACCCATCAATGCAGTTTAAGAGTCCTGATAATGTCAATGGTGTTGATTCCTATTCATACAAAACTTGTTTAGGATCCCTATTCATACAAAACAAATTATTTAACATTAAACCATTGTGAAGACCAAACCTTGGGAGCACCAGATGTCTTGGTTGCAGGTTGCAACCTTGTAGGCAAATCCACGGAACAATCTATATCTTCTACAAGAAGAATCGAGCTGTTATTTGTGGCGAGAAGCAACCTCCTCAGATCGGCGTCCCCTTGCACGCTTGCTAGCTGGAGATCATAGATATCAAACTTGAGGTAGTTAGCCATAGCTGCCACTAGACTAGACTTCCCGGTCCCTGGTGGCCCGTACAACAAGTAACCCCTCTTCCAAGCTTTTCCAACTCTCTTGTAGTAATCTTTTCTTTTGATGAACCGATCAAGATCTTCCATCACAGATTGCTTGAGCTTAGGCGTCATAGCCATTGTGTGGAATGTCGAAGGGTGCTCGAAGTTAACAGAATCCCAGCGATAGTAAGAGCTCGAGTAGGAGTGCATCTTGATGATTCTCCTCTTTTCCTGGATCACCTTTGCTTTCCTCTCCACGTAAGGTACATAGGAGTTCACGACCAAGTCTCTGTGTTTCTTGTCGAAGCTTAGCTCGAAGCATTCCCAATTGACGATATCTTCTTCTTCTTCTCCATCTATAACCGTGGTTGCCTTTTTGCTGCCAGATAAATACCGCCACTTGAGCTCAATTCCTTTGTAGACATCGAAGACAACCTCTCCTTTGCTAAGATATAAGTTGACGTTCTTATTTTTAGGGTCTCTAGTCATCCTTAGCTTTGATGCATCGGGGTTTATCTTGCTTGATAGATAAGCTTGAGCCGAAGAATAGAGCTCGTTTTTCCTCCTTATCCCGGTTCTATCAGTCCCGTTCAGGTCATTGATGACAAGCGTTAGAGTCGATGAACGAGAGCCGACTAAAGACTTGATGTAAGAGAAAACGAAGTTCTGTACCGGTTGTGGAATTATCGTATCAATCATTGGCTTGGCCATCATGATGTATCCCGCTAGTGATGCATAGGTAGAGAACATTGTTGCAGGAGAAGGGAGATCTTTAGAGAACACCATCGTTTTTGACTTTAGGGTTTGGTCTCTCTTTTGGTAAATTGAGTTTATTATATAGAGAATTGTGTTGAGAGATAATTTTCTTTTTTTTCATCGTTTGGGCCACAAAAGGCCAGCCCATTAGCCTAATTACACAAAGTACGCATCAAGCTATTATTACGCAGGTTTAGAATATTCATTACCACATAAATAAATTAAGATAATAAAACTTAAAAGATTTGCTCTTCTCAAAGTCTCTGTAACAAGACTCCCCACTCTATGCTTTCTTCCTTTATATAGAAAGAGTAATAATGTGTATAACATTCTTGGTAATGTACCTCCAAAGTCTATCTCAATAGTTTCTTACTTTAAAGATAAATAAAGTTTCATATTTCTTAATGGGTCTTACAATGGTTCACAACCCTACAAAATAAACATAAAAGAAATTTCTTTAAAAAGCACTCAACTTAAATCATCTCAGAGATTGCCAAACTTTTTAACTTTAGAGTTGTAATTAGCCTCTTACGTCTACTTTTGTTTCCTCATAAATCTTATTTGAACTAATGGATCATAATAACACACGATTAGGTCCAAAACAGAACAAGTTTCTTAAATCTTTTGCTGTTCTTCCTCGGAGAACCCTCAGTATCACTCCTTAATCTTATCTCCTCCATCTCCAATCTACTCTCCTTCTTCTTCATCATCACCGGATTCGATTCCTCAGATTTTAACCTCATTTTCTCTAAAGCATTCACCAAACCCTCAAGCGCCACGTCAGCATCCTCGCTCTTCATCAGCTCCTCTGCTACTTGTGCAGGGGTCATTACTTCCCCGTCAATCAAACGCTCAATCTCCGGATAGAGACGGTGTGGCATTGCGGCATCGCTCAAACCCAAATAGTTAGAAGCTAAAGTCTTGAATCCTTGAAAAGAGCAATGTCCCATGTAAATGTGCATATCCATACGTCCTGGTCTAAGCAATGCCGGGTCAAGCCTATCTTTATGGTTTGTTGTGAATATTATAATCCGCTCGTCTCCACAGCTTGACCATAACCCGTCTATGAAATTCAGCAGCCCCGATAACGTCAATGGTCCCTAAACACACATTTTCACAGAAAAAAAAAAAAAACCATTTTAAGTATAATAAATTTCTCTAGACTAATCAGATTCAATCTGGTGTGACCAAATTTGTACTATTGGTCTACAAAACAAATTTAGTTCGTACGGATTTTGGTTTGGTTCGATTTGGTAATTTTGGTTAAAATGGCCAATCCTAAACCAAAACCAATTAGAGGAGAAATCTAACCTGAGACTCGCCACGGTTCTTGCCTTCAACAGGCTGCTCCACTCTGTTTGGCAAATCCACTGCACAATCGATATCTTCTATGACAAGAATCGACCGGTTACGTGTCGCGAGTAAGAGCCTCCTTAGATCTGAGTCACGCATCACACTAGCTAGCTGAAGATCATAAACATCAAACTTGAGGTAATTAGCCATGGCTGCAACCAGACTTGACTTCCCGGTACCCGGTGGTCCGTACAGCAAGTAACCCCTCTTCCAAGCTTTCCCTACTCTCTTGTAAAACTCTTTCCTTCTTATGAACCGATCAAGATCCTCGATGACGTCACGCTTAAGGTCATCTTCCATAGCCATTGTCTCAAAGGTGGAAGGATGTTCAAGAATAACTGATTCCCATCTAAGACTGTTGAGAGAATGCAGCATCAAGATTCTCCTCTCATCTCTAATCTCTTTAGCTTTACTCTCGATGTAAGGAACGTATGAGCTCAAGATCAAATCTTTATGCTTCTTGTCGAAACTCAGCTCGAAATACTCGCTTCTGCCGTCATCGTCCATACCGCCTCTTCTTCCTCCTCCTCCTCCTCTTCCTCCTACTCCTCCGCCACCGCTTTTCTTGTCTCCACCGTCTGTAACAAACCTCCATACTAGCTGGACATCTTCGTACACATCGTTGACGATTTCTCCGTCGCTGAGATACAGATTGACATGTTTGTCCTTATGGCCTTTACTGATTCTGAGCCTGACGGCGTCAGGACTGATCTTGGTGGAGAGATAAGTCTGAGCAGCTCGGTAGATCTCGTTGTTCATGCCCATGTTGTCGTCGTCGATGGTTAGAGTCAAAGTAGAGGAAGAAGCACGGAAGAAGAGAGACCGGAGAGTCCTGTAGATGAAATCTTGGATCGGAGCTGGGATTAGCTCGTGAGCCATTGATCGTATCATCATCATGTAACCCGCCATTGATGCGTAAGCTGTGAAAACTGAAGTAGGTGAAGGAAGATCCTTAGAGAAAAACATCGTAATCTCTCTCTGTTTTTTGCTCTGTTTTCTTATTGTGTTACTTGGAGATGGAGAGAGTGAAAGTGAGAGGTGAAAGAGATATATAAAGAAGAAGAGAAGAACCTTAAGGAAGAAGGTTTCATTTGGGGTTAGAAGACATTATTAGTCACACAATGTCTTAATTCAATCTTGTTGTCTTTATTCAATGATGTGTGTTTTTTTCCACAATATTATTAAAAAGATTTGAGAATGGAAAAAAAAAGTAAATATTCGAAAAAGTAAGAAAGAAGACAAAAGAAACTCATGGAAAATTTCCACGTCTCTTTCCACGAAGAGCATGTCCATTCATTTTCCATTTTTATCTCATATGAACAGTCTTTTTTAATATTTATTGCTTGACCAATGAAGACTCGAAAAATATCCATGTTTCTAACTTTTATAATATTATGCAGTTGTTGTGTGGCAATTTTTTTGTTTTGTTCTCTTCGTCTTGATTAGTGATTAGCTCTAGTAGAGATACTAATCCATTAATTAACCATTGGATCAGTGACGTTTTCACATAAACACAAGGACTTATTTAATTATGTTATTATTCGAAACGTTTCTTGCTTGACAGAAAAAAAACAAATTGTTTTTGGATTTTGTTTGTTGAAGTGGAAGATGACTTGTACAATACACACTTAACGTAAATAGCCATTATATACTCAAAACTAGTTTGATTTTCTGAAAACTAGATTACCAAAATAACCCAAAACATTATTGTCTTTTTAATCATTTCTACAAGAACAGAACCGATTACACTGACACTATTGTCTACCAAAACAAATTTGGAAGTTTTAGTAGATGTGTTTAAGTTAGTAAGTTTGGGTATTACAGTCACTATTTATGGTTAGAAAATAACTTTTAACTTTTGTATATTTATGAGATATTTGATGATTGACCATAAAAGACCAAAAACAAAAAGATTCCGCTAGATTGTCGCGATGTGGCATGTGGGCGGTAAAGGCAATTGCGTGTTGCAATTCAACAAGTGTACAAATGTGAAAAAGGAAAAAAGTACGTGTCAGAAGATCATTCGATGATTCGACTCATTAACCAAGAAAATTAAGTGTACTATGAGTCATGAATTCATCGTTTCGTTCATTTTGGACCCTGGCGTTATTGAAACCACTCAAACTCTCTTCTGCATCGTTCACCAATACTATCAATAATTTAATTAATTGGTAACGTTCACCAAGACTATCAATAATTTAATTGGTAACGTTCTTCAATACTTCAAAACTGAATTTAACAAGAGAAATAGTTAAAAATGCCCCTTTTTTAGTACCCTTTTTCAAAAATACCCCTTTTGAGAGTCCATTTTTAAGTTTGCCATCTTTTAATTTTTAATGACCATTTTACCCTTATTTGAAACAAAATTAGGTCCACAAAATACAAAATATTTTTTGGCGGGAAAAGTGATCCTGCAATTTTCCCGCCAAAACACTTGTAAAAACCTTTAAAATACCTTGTAAAATTTTCCCGTAAAAATTTTTCCCGCCAAAAAATTCTTTTGCGGGAAAAGTGATTCCGGAATTTTTTTGCCGAAATTTTTTTGGCGGGAAAAATTTACAAGGTATTTTAAAGGTTTTACGGAGTATTTACAAGTGTTTTGTAAGGGTTTACAATGTATTTTAAAAGGTTTTACAAGGTACTTATAAGGTTTTATAAGATATTTATAACTTGTAAAACCTTATAAAAAACTTGTAAAACCTTATAACTTGTAAAATACATTGTAAAACCTTATAAATACCCTGTAAAAACCCTTTAAAATATCTTGTAAATTTTTCCCGCCAAAAATTTTCCCGCCAAAAATTTAACGCCAAAAAATTTGCGGAATCACTTTTCCCGCAAAAAAAAATTTTTGGCGGGAAAAAATTTTACGGGAAAATTTTACAAGGTATTTTAAAGGTTTTACAAATTTTTACAAGTGTTTTGGCGGGAAAAATTGGGGGATCACTTTTCCCGCCAAAAAATATTTTGTATTTTGTGGACCTAATTTTGTTATATTTCCTTATATATTTATGATATCTTTTATTAAAAGAAGGGTAATTTAGTCATTTTGTACATAAAAGGGGTATTTTTAAAAATGGACATCCAAAGGGGCATTTTTGAAAAGGGGTATTGAAAAATGGGCATTTTTGTGAGTCTCCCATTTAACAATACATTTTTTTTATCCAAATATAAAATACTAAAGTAACTTTTTTGTTTCTTTAGTCAAAAAAACGTCTCCATCTTAAAGGCGGAAATTGAACAAGAAAAAAAAAAATTGTAAATGATCAGTTGAATTTATTTTGTCTCATTTTCGAACTGCTTAACAAAAAATCCGAGGAAACAATAGTAAAATATCTTCGAATTAATAATCTTGAATCTTATCCAATGTTATCATGTGATGCACATTTTGAAAGTAACAGAACTGACAATTTTTCCGGTTAGTAACATGTGATATAGTTGAAGGACGGAATCAATCTACGGTCTCATAGTTTTGAACGATCATTATAAAAACATTTTTTTGTTTTTTGATCATTATTTTCACTATTTCTTCGTTAACTTTTTTCATTATTTACATTTTTCACATTTTTTTTTTTCAGTTTTGACTAGTATTTCATATTTCACAACGTCACTAATTCGAATATGAAGGTCAAGGAAAGCACTTTATACAGATGCAGAAGTAAAAGTTTTGTTTTCTCTATTTTATATCCTCATGTAAAATATTGATACTACCAAATTCATATAAATAATAACTAAAAACATCATAAAGCATTATATGATTCAGAAAAAAGAAAAGTTTTGGAAAAGAGCAAGCCGGCTTAACAAAAGCCGTCTTAGAAAATTATAAATTTGTTAATCAATCTACCAATAATATATATTTTCAATCATCTTTTTAGCTTTGCTTTTAAAAAGTGGATTGATGATGATTCACGTATAAGCTAGTAGCCAAAAATTGATGGCAACATACCAAAACACATAGGGTAGGTCATGTCAGTATGTCGCCACTCACTATCCACTATCCAGCATCAAATATTTGCACCAAACCGGTATACGTAAACCAAAATGTCTAACCAATTCGTAAACCAATCAATGGAAACTTTCAAGTGGGCTAACGCAACAGAAAATACAACTCTAACTCAGTTAAGACACAACTCTGATATGTGGGATTGTAACCAACTTATTATGAGTTCCGTTTTCGAGCAATCAAAAGAAGAGATTCAGATCAGAACTGGAATTGCATCTCCAGAGAGTATCCCAGAGCTTCAAGGTTTGCAGCCATGGCCTTGTTCATCGGCGGTGGCCCGCATCTTAGGATCTGCAATTTGAACATGAACCATACTAAGATCGAAACACCATCTAAAACCATATGCTACTCGCTAAAAATGACTTGTTTATCAATGTTCCATTCTCTTGCAGTGTTATTGGCTTTGCTTTGAAACATAGAAAGATATTTTGCGGTTTTGTTTCACTCATCGATTATAAGATTATGTTTTCGAGATAAAATTTAGAGATTTTGATGATCAGTTAGTTATGTTCAACATCAAGAACAGAGGAGGGTTTACCTGAATATCAGATGCCGGTGCAGGGCAATGAGTCTGAATCATTTCCTTTGATACAAATCCAACACCACCATCCCATATTTCCGGAGGCTGATTATTGTCACAGAAGGTAAACCAAAACACCAAGAACAAAAGGTATCAGAAAGAGTTTCTTTTTACGTATTTACACTACAATAATGCAAAAACAATTTTGGATTTCGTGGCTGACCTGATTCAAAACATAGTAGATTTTGAATTGATCTGGGTAATTGGCGGTAAGACCCTCCAATTCTTCCTGGAAAATAATAAGTATTGATTCAAATAACATTTAGTGTTTGAAAATAGTCTATGAAAACGCAATACTTGTTCTCGACTCTTAAGAATCAGTAGGTGAAACGCGTTTTACCTTTAAGAGAATGTCTTCGTATGTGACATTGGCGTAAATGAGATGCACCTTTGTCTTGTCTGTTGGGTTTTCTAGAATTGCTCTAGCGACCTTCACAAATGCAAAATAAAATGCGCTTTAAATATATACATTGGCTTCAAAAACGATATTAAACGCAAATGTATCAGACATACTTGGAACATAGGAGTGATGCCTGAACCTCCAGCAAGCATTCCAAATGCCCTAAACTGACCTGGTTGATACTTGAACCTACCCTGACAAGTAAAAGGTAATAAAAAAAAAAAAAGTTTAAGATTCAAGAAAAGTATAAAACAACAATATTGATTGAAGATCAAGTAAGCAAAACATCTAAATTAAAGGTACCTTTGGTCCCTTAACGGCAAGATAGTCTCCAACACGCATCTCCCTGAAATGATGAGACATCCTTCCTTGCGGATACATCTATTTGGCAGCATTTTTCGATTGAATTAGGGAGAAGGAACACCGGAATTCAAATACTAAGTCAAGTGAGAAGTGTTCTTAAGCATATACCTTAATGACAAGTTCGAAACGTCCAACGTCTGAGTCTAAGGTAGTCGGGGTGTATGGCTTAATAACATCCTCTCCTTGACCATCCTTTCCCCTATAGAGAAAGTCACCATACACATCACAACAACACATCCATGGAAACTCTCTAAATGAATCTCAACACAAAAACCAACCTAAAGTCTACAATTATGCATGTTCACAGCCATTTCACAGGAGCTGGCAGGAGTTTGAATTTTGATCTAAAAGTTCAGAAATTATGAACAAACACACAGAGAGGATGATAATAACTACGAGGACCAAACCTGCAACTGATGTGTTGTCCAATGGGAAGACCCAACACAGAGGTAGAAGTTGGGAGTTCAAAAATGAACTTGGCCACATTGTGACTAAGTTGATTTTTCTTAACAAGCTTGAACTCCTTGAAATTCTCTGGATCCAAGCACACTATAAACCAACAAAAATCACTAGGTTTACTCAAATCTTCAAGTAGATCAATTGAAATAAGTAACCCACACACATAAAGACCAAAAAGGCTCAATTTTTCAATTTCTGTAGACTAACCCAACATCCCAAACACAGACTTTAGCCTAAACCTATCCAAAATTTAACGATTTGAAATCAATCTTCATTTGTGAATAGAAAAGATTTGAAATTGAGATCGAACCTCTGCGTTTCTTGGAGGATGTAAGAAAATAAGCAGCACCAGCACCGGCGGCGACGAAAGCGATGAAGACACCTAAAAGAATTTGGCGATCTAGGGTTCGGAGAAACTCGGTATCCATGGCTCGTAACCCAAATGAAAAAGGAAGGAGAAAAGAATCAAATTAAGCTTAAGAATAGTAATATAAAGGGAAAATAAAATGGGGATTGTTGCAAAAAAATCAGTGCTTTGATTTGGAGTAGTCTCTTTCCCTTGTTATCTCCGCCATTAAAACGAGGGTATGGGATCTGGTAAACCTACCACCATCACGTTCTATAGTTACCTCTTTTGCAACACTTATTACTATACATTTTTGCAACACTTTTTGGGTTCCTAATCGGGTCAAATTTTATTTAATTTTGATCCGGAAATCTTCAATCGGATTTTTCCTTATTTTTGACAAAATTAAAAAACGAAAATTAATCAATAAAATCTAAAAATATATATATTTTCTCAACTAATTACTATACCTAAACTCTTTATTTATGGCACATTCTCTAAATTTTTTATAGATATAGAAATCAAATATGATTTTGTAATGCTAATATAACAAATTTGAACTAATTTCCTAAAACCTCTCTACCTAATTAAAACATAAATATATGATTCTCATTTCACTTTTATATGATCTTATATTTATATTATTTTGAACTATTATAAAATATATATACTTAATAAAAAATTCAATTTTTTTCTGCATATGCTATGATTCAAATTTTTTAAAACGGACATATATTACTCAATCGATGAAGAAAAAAGTATGTGTACAATCTATATTAACATTTTTGAAAAACAAATTTGCGCGTTTAATCAGGTTGTATTTTTTTTTTTTACTCTGACCCGGAATTGAGTCATTCAGATATTTTCTTAATTTCTACAATTATCTAAAATGGGACAATATACCACGGTGAAATCTTAAAATTAACAAATCGAAATACAATTATTTAGTATTTTAATTTACATTTTTAAAATATTTTTACGTGTTGGTCTAAAAACACACACTAATTTGAAAATATATATATATATATATATTATAGAAACTATTTGAAAGCAAACTTTTAAATTGACTCGAATTATATGTCTTTTAAATAAAAGTGTTATTAAAAGAAATAACAAAATGATGTTTAATTTTACGGGACATGATTATATGGTGGGACGGGTCGGATTTGGATTGATATTAATACAGGATAATATATCACGGGTGAAATTCTGAGATTAACAAATCAAAATACAATTATACAATTTTAAACACTAAACAAAACAAATACAACTTAAAATTTTCATTTTTAGTTACAACGCATGTGACTCGCAATGTACAACAAAAAATATTATATACAACAAATTCATCAGTTTATAAAAAGACAAAAAAATCAAATAATTAACCCGCGGTGTACCGCGGGTAACAATCTAGTTCCATCAACATATTTGTTACATTTTTGACCAAAATATTTTTTTTTCAAATACAAGCTGCAAAAAAATATTTATATTTACATATTAAATAATATAATTTTTCTAAGAAAAAATATTATTTTTCGTTTTTTTCAATTACATTTTGTTTCAATCACTCACACACCACAAATTTATTTTGAAAAAAATACTTAAGGATGATAGTATGGTTGGTGGTTGGTGAATTATGTGACCACTAGACTCACTTTTTAGTTCTGACTGACTGGTGCAATTTGTAGACTAAAATAGTGGCAAGGGAAAATGAAAATATTTACCTCATCATATACTTCCATTTTCTCTTTGATTGGTGAAAAGTGAAAACAAATTAGGATATAGAGTAAAACTTAATTATGATGAGGAGACAAAAACAATTTCTAACTTATACTAGCAGTCAAAAGTATTTTTCCTACAGTAAAATTACATGGACTCTTTCAAATCCATGGGGCTGCTTATTGTGTTCGGTGTTCCTCTTCATATCAAATAAACAAAAGGAAACACACAAATTCAAACTTACTTTTTTTTTTTTTTTGATAACTCAGGGGAATCCCAGACTTATGGAGGGGCCCAGACTAATCTCCTGGGGGAGGTGCAGCCCACAGATAGACTCTCTCTCCGGGTATGCAAATGGGCCGAAAGCAAGGGCCCATATCCATGTGGCCAAGTGGAGATCTAACAATTGCGCGCTTGCGGGGAATCGATCCCTTGCCTAGAGGAAAATTCTAGGGTAGCTTGGCTTTGACGTTGAGTGTATAGAGGAAAATTCTTCTCAACTGCAGTCAAAGAACCATGGATTTGACTATAAATTTATCGATGTGAGTACATGGTAGTATGGTACAATCGATAATTGGACTCCATTTTGGCCCCCATTAAATGGCCCAACAACAATAGACTTCATCTTTCAATCCGACTCAAAGAATTCAGTCGACGTCATTCTCGCTTATGTTCCCAGTTTTGCATCCATTCGTTTAGGTCAAAGAGAAGAACAAGATTCTGTTTCTTGTTTATTTTTGTATCAAACTGAGTTTATTCAATGTTTTAAGTAACTGAAACTGTTCTACATGAACACCAAATGCTCTCCAATTTCTCAGCAAACTCTTCTCCTCTTCCACTTATCATACTATCATGATCAGCACCAGCGATGATATCCACTTCCACCGACGGAAATCTCCTCTTCATGTTGCTAGAGCAATGTGAAGGAACGATTTTATCGCGGTCGCCTTGCATCAAGTGAATCTTAACGCCAGAATTTATTAGGGTTTCGAGATGTTCATCAGCAAATTTGGAGCCACCACATATCACATTGTGCATACTATGCCATGCAGAGTGATGTGTGTGCCTTGTTATGTCCTTTATCTTCCAAGGAATCTCCCTAAACAAAACCAAACCCTTTATTGAAATATTTGATATAGCTTTGAAAACTGAGACAATCACCAAAACTGGTTGAAGATGTTTTTTTTTTTACCTTTTACCCATATATAGCTTGATTAGCCACTCCCATATCTTGTGATGCTTGCAGATTATGAAACATACGCATCTACCAATATGTTCATACCAAGACATCACCGCTGTTCCAAACGCAAGCGGCGGCCACAACCGCTTTTTAGCGATTCGATTCAAGACTGATCCTTCAACCGATGAAGGAAAATAAGGCTGAATTGTAAGAAACACAAAAACATAAGTTCACAATCGAATCTTTGAAAAAGATAAGATTAGAAAGCAAACTAATCTCTCACCGGTGCAACAAGAGTGACGGATTTAACAATGTTGGAGTGTTTAGCAGCCAAAGCAAGAGCAATTAAGCAACCCATCGAATGTGCAACTACATGAAATGAATCTAATTGACACGGCTTAATGACAGATCTCTCTATCGTCTCCACATGATCTCTCAATGTATAGAAACTATCCCTTGGCTTAGGACTATCCCCGAATCCCAAAAGATCGATAGCGAAGAGCCTATAATCATCTTTCTTAATGAGTTCAAACACAGTCTCAGTCCAAAAATGTGATGAACCCATAAAACCATGTATAAATATTACATTCTCAGACGGTTCTTGAACAGAGTACTCTGTTTCTTCAACATGAAAGAATCAAAGCAAGTGTAAGTAAGCAAACATTAACTAACCAATGGTGCAGAGAAATAGAATTGACCTGGAGAAGTAGAATCTTTGACCACGACGTGAAGATTCCCATCTTCGTTCTTCGTCCACGAATTGCAAGATTGGCATCCACAGTCTGACCATCTATTCACCGACTCGTGAATCTCAGAAATTTTCATTTCCCGAGAAAGCTTGGATTTGAATTTTCTAGCGAATCCCAGAAACCACATTTCCTGGAAAATGTTTCTCCTCCGGAATAAAGTCTCTGACAATTCATTTTCACAGGTGGTTTGAATTTGAGAAGCCGCTGCCGCCGTGCAGTAACAGTCTCTTGATTTTCCTTCCAAAATCTCGTCGACGAACTTGTAAACGACGCAGAGAATCGCGTCAATGAGGTCCAAGAAGAAGAATACGATTGAAGATAGAGCGACGTGAATCGCTGTCCCGGATTTTCTCTGGAAAGACATAGAAGCGGAGAGAATCTAGACCGCGAGAGAAATTGAGATGAGTGGTTAAGCCACGTCGAAAGAGAGAAGTTTCGAATTTATTACCAAAGTTAGATGCATGCATTCTAAATTTTTTTTTTTTTTTTTTTCTTTTGGTCGGAAAATCCTACGGATATGTTCCATAAGTAAAAAGCCCGGCCCAAAGGTGCGGAGCCTTACTTAACCGCGGAATTTGAAACGATGTCGTTCTTCTGCTGTGGAGTGTGGAATGTGGAGTCTTTTTTAACCAAAGGTTCAAATGTTGGTACGTATGTCATTCTTCTTAACTGGAATCATACTCAAATGCAAATGTTATATTGGCTTGATGAGGATGGTTTTTCTTAATCCCTTTAATTGGAATCAACACTTATTATTACATGACATTGGTTTTATAAAGTTATATGAAAGATGCTTTCTTTTTATCTGTCTTACTCTTTGTTTTATTGATGAATATCTTTGTGTAGATTACAAGAAGGAACTGCGGTTGCTGAATAGGGACCTACAGTTACAGGTATTGGTGCTTGCTGATGTTCTTGTCGAGAGGCCTTCTCAATACGCAAAGAGAATTGGTCATATATCTTCAATCTTCAAGAATTGCATCACCTTTTCAATTCTTTACGGCCTCACCAAGTAAAGAATTGGTGATATATCAGAGCAATGTTGTTTTTGTTGAGAGAAGAAGCACAGCGACTTCTAAAGGATGCCCTCGTCGCTAAAGATGGAGAATAGAGTTTCTACCCATTGTGTATATAAATAAAGAAGTTGAATCAAAGAAATACAAAAATCCTATTGTATATTACTCCGCAAAAATGTTATGCTACAAGGTCATTTATCTCCTTTAACCGTGGGATCAGAGTCGGTGATCTGAGGATTTCTTTGGTGTCGTTGAGAAGTTAAACGCCGTTCCAAGGGAGTCTTCCTCTTGCTGACAACAAACCTATTTACTCCTTTCCTCATCGGCATTATTGATGGGAAATCTTCGTCTGGGATCTGACTCAGCTCTGATATGTTCTTAATCTCAGCCACTCTCTTAAACCATCTCTCCGCTTTTGCTTCCTCTGACATGTCCAACAAGTCAGGCTCCTTCACTAATGAACCCTCCAAGCTCTTTCCATTTCTGATACTCCCTGCCACTGTTTCGGATTTGTTGCTTGAAGGTTCTCTTGGTTCTTGTTGTACTACCTTCGAAATGTTTACTGTTGCCGGAGCTGGAACAGTATCTATTGGTTCCTTGGGTTGTTTCTCTTTGGCGAAATAGTCAGGTGGGAAAGGGACAAAGGGGACAAAGTCTGAATCTTGTGAAGGCCTCTTGTATGCTGGAGAAGTCAGTGAACGGTCTTTTTTCCTACTCACCACAAACCGATTCTCTCCTTCTCGCATTGACATTTTATCAGGAGAAATCTCTTGCGGTATTGTGCTTTCCAAGTCTGAAACATTGTGCAGTTCGGTGACCCTCTTGAACCACCTTGCAGGTTCCTCTGATTCTTGACCATCCTTTTCAAGGCTATTTTCTTTGCCTGAGAGATTTGCATCTGACTTGTCCTCTTGATAGACATTTTGATTTCCGCCTGAGACACCATCCATTTCGTTGTTGTTGTTAGTCAGACCTATCTGTGTTTCCTCCTTAGGTTTCTTGGCAAACATATCTGAAGGTAGTGGCACGAATGGGACGAAATCGGTATTTATTCCCTGGGAAGATTCAAACCTACTGGAAGATACATTTTTGTCATCAGATCGAGAAGCCAAAGAGGATGAAGAACCGAGAATCTCATTCAAGCTCCTATTCGTTTTACTTCCCAAAGCCTTACCGTCGTTCCCATTCGAGTTTCCATCTGTAGCTACACTGTACTCAGTATTAGCCAACCTTCTCTCAAGAGGTGTCTTCCTCGTGCTAACAACATATCTATTCACTCCTTTCCTCAAAGGCATAATCTCTGGAAAATCTTCATCTGTATCAACACTGTCTGCATCAGAACCACCCTGTGCTACTTTACTAAACCACCTCTGTGCTTTCTCTTCGTTTTCTACCAGTCTTCTCTCAAGTTCAGGATCATTTGAATAACCAGAGTTAGCTGAATTGAGTGAAGAGTCCCTGGGTCGCTTGCAGTCACATCTTAAGCAAGCTACATTCCTCCCATAATTGTAGAAATCACATCTGGTAAGTGAAACAGCCAAGAAAGAAAGGAAAGGTTAAACTCATCATTTTTCATCGCATTAACCATAAAGTAGCAGAGAAACAAATCAGTTTCTTACTGGGGACACTCCCATTCACTACCAGTAAGCTGTCTCTTTGGTCTTGTTTCATCACACTGGAAGCATTTGACATTTCTCGCAAAGTTCATGCCACTGCACCTGTTTCAACAAATTCTCACATCACATACAGATTCCCTAAACATCAGCAAGACTAAACGAAGACCAACTTATTGACTTCTTAGCTCTAAAGATATGATCTTTCACCACAAGTAATGTATTCTTATATCTTTCCATGGAAGAATAGCAAGTAACAAGCCATAGGAGATTCATATCAAAAGGCTACTGAGAATCCAACAAATTCATACCTCGAGCAAATCCAATCACCTCGTTTCATCTCAATGTTCTTCTGAAAAGACCTGACTGCTTGTCCATCTCTATCTGTGAACTGATTATGCATAGTGCCATGAACATTCGACTCAGGAGTACCGAAACTCATCTTCGCTATCTGACTCAAGAGGTTACGAACCGATGACTCCATAATCTCTTGGTTATGGTGTTTACTCTCCTCAGAAGAAGCAACATCCACAACATAACTCAAAAGAAGCCTCATCAAATCAACTGTACTCGCCTTATCCATATCCATCATCTAATATGAAACACAAAAGATCAAAACTGTGGGGGCACAAATCACCATTGAACAAAGTTTAGACATAACCTACTAACTAACTTTTCTGAGCGAGACGAGAATTCACCATCCCACCAATAAATAGGACTAAGCTTTTGCCAGAAGATAGTACTTACCTTACCAATACCCTGACGACCACTTCTTAAGTAAAGGCTCAATCTTTTAAGTGAATCTGGACCAGTCCTAAACAAAAATGGCTTCCCATTCTCCACCACCACTTCAACGTCTCTCTTCGAAAGCATTCTAATAAACAGTAACATCAGATAGCGAATCAATCAAAAAGAGAAAGAGAAAAATTCTAGCTTACTTACTCAAGCAATTCTGGTCGATCACGAGCTAGAGATAGGCAAGCAAGAGCTGGACGGAGAAGTTCATCTGGAAAACCGGGAAAGAATTCACTTTCTGAACCGGAAATTGAACCGGAATCTGAGAAGTAACCAGTTTGGGAGAGAGATTGGAGTAGCTCTGTCCATTCAGGTAGCTGGTGGTGGTGATAAGAAGGAACAAAATCTGCGGCGGAGACACGGACTTGGTGAGTGTAGAGCCGTCTAATGGGAAACGTGGGGATAAGCGGTGGCAAAGACACGAAAGGACGGGAAGAACATCGATTGGTTGAGCCAACGGAGGAAGGAGGAAACGCCCGGCGGTGGAAACGGCGGAGATTAGTTATGCGGCTGATGTAGATGCCACGGAGGAGAGAGAGAGGAGGAGGATGAGGAGAGAAGAGGGAGATGAGTCTGGTGGAGTTGTTCATCGTTGCTCGTCGTCGACGGTGACCGTTAGGTTTTTTTATCCAGCTTTCTTACGACGATGTCAATGGGCCCATATTGGCTAACATAGGCCCATACACCCATATTCATATTGGGCTTATCATTATGAATGTTTGATACTTGTTAATCTTTCACCAAGGGTTGCGTTGTGAAGATTTTCTTAAGGTTATCATTTGAGGAGCTTTAAGACAAACAAATATTTTAAATGAAAAAAGCTGTGTCCGAGGCAAATAGTATATTTCATTCAAATGGAATGTCCCTTAAAAGTATATATTTCGTACTAATATTGGAGTTAACCAACTGATAGTAATCTAATGTTTTAAAAAATAGCGTCAGTTTTATCTTGAAATTTTCAAATTCTACAATATAAAAATATAAAAATGGGGTCTGATTCGGTATTTTATCAAATTGCACGTCGATTTGACATCAATTTTCGTGACTTGAAAAGTTGAAGTGTACATTGTACAATGTCACACGCATGCATACATTTCTTTTGACTTTAAAGCCGTTAAAACTCAAAAGATTTATTCACCGTTACTGAATTTTGACTTTTTTTAAAAAATTTAAGTTTACATGTTACAACTTTCGAACATAATAAATGATATATAGACTATTTTTTCGGTTTTTTACATATCCTATAGAGAGAAAAAAAAAAAGCAATGTAAAGGATCTAAAATCGCTTATGTATTACTTCTTGGTTTTGAGAACTTGTAAGTTGTAACATATAAACTTACGCTATATTTTAAAACCTAAGAAATAGAAACTAACTAAAAAAGATTACGTAATAAATATAGTTTAAATAAACGAAAGAAAAGAAAATTAAAACATTAGTGGTAGTAAAAGGGTGAGAATAATATTTGTGTTCTCTTGAACGTGGGAGTCACTGTGAGTTAAAGTTGTGTGTGGATTAGTTGCCGATCACTGCCGTCAACTTTTGACTAATGTTTATTTTGATTAATACTTTTGCATACACTAAGCTATTTATAATGTAATAACTAAATTTGTTGTTTGGATCTATGTGGAGTAAAATATTGGTTAGTACGTAGACAATTAACTGCCTTGATAATGACCTCAATCTAAGTCCGTAAGGTATAACCTCATTAATTCCCCTAGAAATGTATTTTATCATAATTAATTACTATTTATACTTTGATGTGATATGTTTAGTTCTATGCCACAAGTGCAATGGACCGGCTAACAACTTTGACATGATTTGTAATTAAATTCAATTTAAATAAAGAGACTTTATGTCATTACATCATGAGATAAAGCCCTAAATTCCTCAAATTAGTTAAAGTGTCTTCTTTAAAACTAATCAAGATGTTTTAAAGAAACTTTTTCTAAGTTAATGTAATTAGTGTGACTTATCTCATGAATCATGATTATCCGAACAATATTTTAGCGTATGGAGTTCGAAAGTCACCTTTTCTCGCCACCTTTTGTTTGCTGGTTCTATTGCAAGGTTGTCTCAAAATTTAAACAAGGATAAGAAAACCAATTCCATTAAGAAAAATCAGACAAGTTCTCTAGTGTTAGAAATTATGGTTAAGCAATGATCAGATATATTTTTACCATATCTTTTGTTGGTTAATCAATATTTTCGATCGATGAAAACCACTAACCATTTCGGTTGAGGTGATATAAACTTTTTTTTTTTGTTATCAGCATCACATAAACTTAATTTTAAGAGAGAAAAGCGATGTTCGTAAAATTCACGGACGACTTTATCATATGAGGAACATGATCCGATGGATCTACGAACTACGTAAAGAGAAGGAAACTCCGAACAATGTAGAAAAAGCAATCTTATTATCCATTCACTATGTAGCTGGTTTTTTTTGGTCTAACGACTTCCATTAGATCACTGTGTTACCATATTCGAGTCTATATCCCAATACAATTCTTTTGTTTTACTAAAGTTGAAATTGAACAGTTTTTCTTTATTTATTTATTTATTTCTTTTCTTTTTTTTCTCTAACCGGTTTTCTTTATGATTTATTCATTTTTCAAAATATATAGTTGAATTGATTGAATCATTTTTCATTCATGTCAAATAGAAAGAAGAATATGAGTTTGTTCTATTTTGTATAACTATTTAGTGAAGTTCGAAGGAAATAACAGAAAGAAAATGGTAAGTATTAGAGAGTTAGCCGTCTAAGGGCTTGATTGGTTCTTCCGCTAGCACCCTCCTAGCGGTTGCTAGCGGTCGGTTGCGGTTGTTAGCGGTTGGTACCAATCATAGAAACTGCTCCGTACCGTTTCAAACCGCTCGAAATCGCTGAATTTTAAAAGCTCCTTCCCGCAAGCGTTTGAGGTTGCGGGCGGTAGCGGTTGGATTAAAAAAAAAAAAAATCAAACGTTTACTTATAGTTATTATAAAATATATTAATCTTATATATATCTTTCATCTTTGTATCACGTTCTCATCAGAAACCCTAATCAATATTCTAAAACCTTATTTTCTCAATGTCTTCCACCCAAACTGATGAAAATCAATTTGAATATTTTTTTCTTTTCATTATATATTGCTTTTCTTTTTGATTGAATATATGTTTCGATTTGTTTTCTCGAATAGAAAATTACTTGCTTTTTGATTGAATTCAACGTTATTTACAGTTTGTCCCATTACTTGATACAATTTTTGGTGTTAACCCAGCATAAAGTACTATCTTATTATAAAATTTCTTTATTTTTGAATAATTATTTAATACTTTATTTATGGTTTTAATTATTAAGCATGTTCAATTTTTCTAATATTATCATAATAATATATTGGTGTTTTTATTTTTATTTTTGTAATATTTTTTATTTTTTTAGTCATTTTTTATTTAACTACTACCGCATCCGCTGGTTTACCAGTCATAAAACTTCCGCAAACGCATCCATTTTCAAACGTTAAACCAGTCGTTCAAAACGCTTGGTAACGCTTGAAACCGCAACCGCCCGCTTCCGCAAACTCCCGCAACCGCAACCGCAACCGCTGCGTTTAAACCAGTCAGGCCCTAAAACAAATGACTCAAGAAACAACAAATTTTACCCACAATTATAAGCGGTAAGAATTTTACTCAAGAAAAAACAAATTTTACCCACAATTATAAGCGGTAAGATTTACAAATAGTTTTATTTTGTCAACTAAAATTATAATTGAACCGCTAATTCTCATTGTACCATCATCTCTTATTATTTTTACCATCTTCAACCATACCACCATTATTATCATTATATATTTTTCTACCGTTACAAAGCTCTTACCATCTTGCGCTATTATATAGTCGGACCATTAAAAACCTTCACTGAAAATTTTATTAGAAATTTGAATTTAAGTCGTCAAACTTTTTTTTTTCTAATCTATTTCTACTAAATCAACAGTCATTTTAACAAAAACTGACACACTCTCCTTTTGACATGTGGCAAAACTCTCAAATTTTGTTGTTTTACTTTCATAATTCATTCCTATTATTTCTGGAAAAAATTAACAAAAAAGAAAAACAAAAAATATCTTACAACTTTTTTAGTAACTGCTCATTCCCCACGATCTCAAAATTATCCCTTCCTTCCAACTCTCTCCCACTTTAATTGACGAAATCACTGTAACTTCTTCTCCTTCTCTTCTTTTTCATAACCTTAGATCCTCCATTCTTTCTTCTAAATCCTCCATTCTTTCTCATATCTTTTTTTTTTAAATGAGAAGTCGAGAACCATCCACTATCTTTTAATTTTTTGTTTTATTTTAAATCTATGTTGAATATTAAAAAACAGTTTCTAATCAGGCCTCAAAATCGTCTTTCATGCCCGATCACGAGTATAATGGCTCCATCAATTCCCGGTCCATCCTCAGCGATTGTTCAATTCAAGTAAGTTTTGAAAACAAAGTTTGGAAGATTAACGTTCAAGTCATGATTGATTTATAAGTAATTCCAATCATTTTTTGTATGCTTAATTTCTATCTTCTAATTCTTCATACTTTTTTCATGATTGTTGGGCGTGCTCACAAATCACAATGGTTATTTTCGATTCAGCTTTATTAAATTTTACTCATTTGAATTTTATCTTTGATTTTCTTTTTTTTGTGGCCATCTAATTAAGTTTTTTTTGGTTTCTATATCTCAGAAACTTGGTTTGCAAGCGTGTCTGAAAAATTAGGAGATGGAGCAAAGACTTTCCACAACCAGTAACGTATAGATGACTTTATATTAATAATTATGTAGTATGCTCACAAAGTTTGTCCGTCTTCCATCAATAATTTGTTTGTTTCATATTTTTGAAATTTAACTAATTAGATAATAGATTCAATGAACTTCTATTTAAAAAAAAACTAAAGGCAACATATATTTGATTCCCAAAATATTTTGATATATGGTCTAAATTGGCATTAATTGTCCCTGCATAGCAGGGCCAGAATACTAGTAATTGATATAAGTCGTCAAACTTTTGATAATCTTAAGGGGGTGTTATTCAATGGTGGAGTTAAAGTCAATTCTTTAAGGTTCAGATTTGTTTTCTGATATTGGTTTTAAGAATCCGTTTGTGTGGATTTCAAAATCTCTGCAGTATATCTTGGATTTTGATTCTAATAATTTACTCATGAAACTCCAAAGAGGTTTCATTTGAAATGACTTAATATACAAAGATTTTTCAAGTCTTTTAGTTTTGAATAACACTGGATTTTACAAACCTTAAAAAATTGACTTTAACTCCACCATTGAATAACACCAAACTTTTAAAATCTAATGAAGTATAAGATCTAATAACACCAGATTTTAACGTTAGATTTATAATCATTAGTTGAATAACACTGGATTAATGTTGGATTTCAATTCTATTAAAATTCATCATTGAATAACACCACCTAAATGTAATCCCTAAAATACAGTCGATAGCATTTGATGGAACAACTCCCAAATTAAAAATCGATTACTTTAATAAACTAGCTGTAAAATAATTGGGAATCCAAACGAAACAAAAATATCTAGCCCCCGAAACATATTATATATGCTCCACATCATATTTTTTTTTGTTTATGGGTATGTCTTTCATATTATCTCTTAGCCCTAAATAAAACAATCTTTCAAATTACAGACCAAAAAACTTTCATGGTCGTTGCCTAGCTCGTTGGAAAAGATAATTCTTCCATGGTCGAAAATATGATTTGTAAAAATGTCATTAAATAATAATCATTAAAAAGTCTTACTAATAAACAAACAGAAGAAAAGTGGAATTGGTCCATAACGGTTCAGGGAACTTTTCTATGAACCGGAAACAGAAAATCGTGAGGACGGTACACGTGTTAGGTAAGAACACGATCCGCTCGTGTGTAACAGCCAATGATGTCGTCATTCCACGTCGGTACTAGACTTATTTTTTGTCGTCAACAGAAGATTTCAAAATTAACGAAACCGTTCCCATAACCGAAACTCACAAAAAAACAAGACAAAATAAATAAAAAACTTTGAGTACTTTTCTGTCGTTTCTTTGGTTTCTAACGTCTATTCGTGTTCTAGTATTTGTTTTATTCTTCATTTATTATTGTTGAATTTAATTCTAGTTCGAGTTCAGTTACATGATTTCTCTTTAATCTCTAGTATTTTAATCCATCAAAACTATGTGGTTGCATACTCGATCCAATTTAGTACAATTACTAGTTAATTTTATAATTTGTTCTAAAGATATATGGTTTTGTTTATAGTCATATCAAGACTAGAGTAAGCTGTTACGTATGAGAGATAATTATTACATTCAAACGAATGACCACTCAATTCTTATATCAAAAAGATACAAAAATCTAAAGTCTACAACTTATAGGTTTAATGGGAACATAAATAGTCCATATCATTGAATAATAATGGTCTTCAATAGAGTTTGTTATACTTTTAATTTTTTTGGTTCATAAGAAAGGAATTGAATTTTGTGTTTGTTATCATTCACTTTTTTTCTTACTTTTAGTTTTCCTAACTAAAACTAGAAAAACCATTTTCTCTATTTCTTTGTAACTAAAATTTACTTTACATAGTTATTAACCAAATTAATAGTTTAAAAAAAAAACTTACAAACTATGATATACTAATATTTCTTTCCTAAAAAAAAACTACAGCAAGATTAAAATTTAAACTAGTAGCAAAAAATCATTTTGTGGGAATACATATTTAACTAACCCATATCAAAACGAGATATATAAAGGATGTGCACATACAGTATTTTCCGTTTGCCCCGTCAGTTTTCCATTAAATGTCACACAACATTGTTTGAGTTCATTTAAGTTATAAAGAAAACATTACTTGAATTCACTAATACATAAGAGCATCGTTATAGGGGGGATGTTAGCTGAATCTTAGGTATTAAAGTGATTTAAATTAAATAGTTAATACCTTAATAAGCTAAGGAACGTTTCTTAGCTATGGACAAAATATTGAAGAAATTAAGTTTAAAATATTTGTGATTTATGTTATAAATTGTATCTCATGTATGTTTTAATTTTTTTAATTTGCAACAATTATTAAATTTTCTATAATTATAAATTTTATTTTTATATTAATATTTTTTTTCTAAGAACCACATGTTAAGATCCTACCATTAATCACACAAAAATTTTAACTCAAAAATACTATCTCTTAACAATCATTTTTACAAATAAATTATTTAAATATTACTAAGATCTATCTCTAAGAAACTACCTATAATGATGCTCTAAGTAAAAAAGTATACATCCGAAACGACATCGAACCCATCGTTCAAAAGTATTGAAGTACTTGAACTAGTTGTTGAGCTAATCATGATATTACTTTATAATTTAACTATACAAGACGAATTCTTTGAAACATGCGAATATATATACACACACATATACGTTATGGAGAGAACAGAAAGCTCATAAAAGCAATTTATTTCTCTCCCTTTAAGATCTTTTCTTGCTTTGTGTCCGAAACAGACAAAAATTGATTCTGTTGTTTTTTCCCATAATTAACTCACACACACTTAACGTACGTGCAATATCTGTATGTGTGCATACTAGAGCCACACGAGCGGTTCAAAAATGTTTTTTGGAGTTTCCGAGACTGTTGAGACTGTGGGTCCTATGGTCATCGAACCCTCCCACACGCACGAGCGGGTCTCGTTTTGCATGCATCTACACTACACGTACCCACCGACTTTTCCAAAGCCCTTACTTTTGCACGTGTAGAGAGAGAGAGAGAGAGATTGTACTAAAAGTATCTCATTATTCGAAATTTTTCGTGTAAGAGTAAAAACTAAATCGCAACGTACGCGAAGGAAAACGTGACCCTTAAATATATCTAAAAACTAATACGCTTCTAATTATAAGAAAGACAAAAAATAACCAGCAGCTCTTATGATGATTGTGATGGAATAATTGTTATAGATCTTGCTTGAAATTTTTAATGATCGAATTTCGAATTTGTAAGACCACCATCGACTATAAATATAGTTAAATGAAATTGTACAAATTATTTAAAACCATTGGCATGGGATTATTAGGTCTAAATTTGGTAATTAACTCAAGTATTTGATTTGACTATGCTTTTATAAAACTTTCCCTACATTTTTTGTTGGTGTGTGAATAAACAGCTATCAATTTTGTTTTCCATGTACATTAAATAACCACTCATCATCATTTTTTAAAATATTCTTATATATTAACTAGCTTTGCAAATACATGTCAATAAAATATAATTTTCAATTAAAAATTAGAGAATCTCTCTTTCCTCTTCCACCATATAAACAGTGAAAAGCCATCAAGTGCTCTCTCCCTCTATCTCTCTCCTATTTTTAATTTCTCTTCCTGTAACCCCTAGAACCAGAAAACAATGAATCCAAATCTCCTTGAGAAAGATCTAAGTGGTAAGGAAACTACAAATGGGTCAAGAAGATACGAAGAAGCAAACAACTTCGGATCTCTACCAAACTCACACACTGCTGCTTGTAAAACGTCACTCAACAACCTCTCTATCTCTAGAAACCTTTCTCATAACAAATCAGCCTCAGTCTTGCAGTCGGAAGATGAACATGGGAAAGAGAGTGGTGAAAACGAAAAGAGTTTAGGAATGAGGGGTAAAAGTGGAATTAACACAAAAGTATGCTCACGAGGACACTGGAGACCAACAGAAGATGCTAAACTCAAGGAGCTTGTTGCCCAGTTTGGTCCCCAAAACTGGAACTTGATTGCTCACCACCTTCTTGGTAGATCAGGTACATTTATTTTACTTGGTTTTGTTTTCCTTCACTTTTCTTACTCAAAATTCCGCAAATGTAACTATTTTTAAGTAGAAGAAAAATAATTAAATATGTGAAAAAAACTTTGGTGAGTTGAGTTTCCAAAGTTATTAAGCATTTTCGTAACCGTGTTTGGATTGTTTTTTAACATAGCTTTTATGATCTAATAAACGAGTTAGACTAAGTACACAACAATACATATTAGCTAGTGACATAATGCTTGATAGTAACTAATTAATATAATTTGAGAGATACGTAACTAATTAATGTTGCTTCTTTGACTACAGGCAAGAGTTGTAGATTGAGATGGTTTAACCAACTAGACCCAAGGATTAACAAGAGAGCCTTCACGGAGGAAGAAGAGCTTAGGCTTTTAGCAGCTCACCGAGCCTATGGCAACAAGTGGGCTTTGATCTCTCGTCTCTTCCCCGGACGTACCGATAACGCCGTCAAGAACCACTGGCACGTCATCATGGCTCGACGGACTAGAGAAAGCCAACGACAACGTCAACAGCCTCCTCCGGCGCTGTCAAGAGACGCTGAAATGACGGTTTCGTCCTCTTGCCGCTACAATCAAGGTAAGTTCATCAATGGAGAAGATGATGAAGATGACGATGACGATGGCTCAGCTGTCTCGACTTGTACGACGGAGCTCTCTCTCACTCCGCCTTCTTCAGCTTACCAGCCTCGCTTCTTTAATTACGATAATACCCTTGCATCAGGTAACATTTTATTTGTTTGCTTTTATTTATTTTATTATGTTTACATTTTTTTTTTGTCTCTATTAAATTATTTTCATGACCTTGTTGAGACATTTAAAGTATATAGAAACATGGAATGTTTTTATTTTCTTTTTCGGTTTTCTTGAGAAGTGTTTTTGTGAATCTAACTATAATGATTTCGGTCGGTTGGTCGAGATCAGATTGCAATCTTTATTGGGTGTATCGTTGATCATGTTCGGTTTATACTTTAACCGGTATTCCCAAATATGATTTGTGGTCAAAATTTAGCTTAGATTTCAGTCTTGTTAAAAAAAATTTGAATGTTCAAAGCATAGTAAAAGATAATTTTGGCCGATATGTTGTATAACCAACGACGAGTGACCACTTCCTACAATTTTCATATATATGGCAATAATTGTAAATTTGAATGACAAGAAAAGAAAGAAACAGTTTTTTACATCGTAAGAGTACCTATAGGCATAATAATATAAGGAGGTGAAGTACTATTGTCACGTTACTATTTCAATATAACAAAATTTCACGTGGGGGCTGAGAAATTATTTTTCTAATTTTGCAGGCAAAGATGGTCAGTGTGTGCAGAGAGCAGAAGTAAATGGCATATATGGTAAAAAGATGGACCATCAAAATCACCACACAATCTCAGTCAGTGAAAGAAAGGTGGAGCTGAAGATGAAGAATGGCTATTACTTCTTTGATTTTCTTGGAGTTGGAGCTTCTTGATTAATTAGTTGCAGAACTAGGGTTCAATGTTGAGGGAATTGTGAGATAAAAAATGGCTTTAGTTTCTTCTATTCTCCTTGTTAATTTTAGGCATGTTTGTTTAACATCTTAATTTGGGCTTTGGAAGAAGTTGGCTGGGGTATAAGGGAAAACTGGAAAAAAAAAATCAAGAAGTTAGTAATTAAGAAATAAAATAAAAAGTTGAATATAATTATCCTCTTTCCAGTAGAACTAAGATAAGTTTCCATAAAATATTGCATTTTTTACTTGACTCACACACGCAAATTGGACATAAATTATGAAACAACAGCACTAACTAAAACCACTGAGGTACAAGCTTTTATCATTTTTTGTTGGTAAATTACAAGCTTTGATCATAAACCTATTGCATTTTATAGTGCATTTACATGGAGATTATATATCTATGTTATTTTTGGAATATATTATATAAAAATAATATTCACAAATGTAGAAGTAAATAATTAATGTTGAAAATTATATATGTTTACAGTTCAAATTCAAATAACTCGGCTCGGTCGGACCCTATCACCCTATATAGTTCGTTCAATTATACAAGGCACATGGTTAAATTGGGCCTATAAATACATTAGAAACCTTATCTTTCATTTACAAAGGGCCCAAAAAGCTCACATAGAAGTGGGCTAACTCGTTTCTAGTCAAAAGTTTGAACTTAACCCTACCCTTCTTTCAATATTACTTATATGACTACGATATGACCCGCGGTTTAATTATTTGATTTTTTTATTTTTATGAATTGATGAATTTATTGTGTATAATATTTTTTGTTGTATACCGCGGGTCACATGCGTTGTATCTAAAATAAAAAAATTTAAGTTGTATTTGTTTTGTTTAGTGTTTAAGATTGTATAATTGTATTTTGATTTGTTATTTATAGGATTTCACCTGTGGTATATTGTCCCGTATTAATATTGACCCAAACCCGTCCAACCATATAATCTAAAATGAAATTAAACATCATTTTGTTATTTTTTAATAACACTTTTATTTAAATGTCATATAATTCGAGTTAATTTGAAAGTTGCTTTCAAATAGTTTCCATGTATATTTTTAAATTAGTGTGTGTTTTTGGACCAACCCGTAAAAACAATTTATAATTGTATCTTAAAATACTAATTAGGATTTCACCCGTGATATACTGTCCTATTTTAGATAATTGTAAAAATTAAAGAAAGATCCGAATGACTCAATTTCGGGTCTGAATAAAATAACGACATGATTAAATGCTCAATTTGTTCTTAAAAATGTTAATATAGATTACACACATATTTTTATTCATCGATTGAGTAATATATGTCCGTTTTAAAAAATTTGAATTGTAACATATGCAGAAAAAAAAAACTAAAATTTACTAACTATTTATATATTTTATAATAATTTAAAATAATATAAATATAAGATCAAATAAAAGTGAAATAAGAATCATATATTTATGTTTAAATTAGGTAGAGAAGTTTTAGGAAATTAGTGCAAATTTGTTATATTAGCATTAAATCATCATATTTGATTTCTTTATCTATAAAAATCGTGGAGAATATACCATAAATAAAGCGTTTAAATATAGTAATTAGTTGAGAAAGTATATATATTTTAGATTTTATTAATTATTTTCGTTTTTTAATTTTGCCAAAATTTAAAGAAAGATCCGATTGAAGATTTCCGGGTCAAAATTAAACAAATTTGACCCGATTTGGGTACCCCAAAAACTGCTGCAAAAATGTATAGTAGATATATAAATCCAAAATTGATATCCCAGAAATTTTTTTTACTATTCCCTATGTTTTATATTATAGGATGTTTTAGTTATTTTATTTTGTTTCAAAATATAAAATGTTTAGGACAAAAAGTTCAAGTTTCTATGCAAAAATTAAATTTATATACATTTATAACTATTTATATTTTGTAGTATAAAATTTCATTTGCCACTCTTTTCAATAAAATACTCCCTCTGCATCATAAAGAATGATTTTTGAGGTTTTATTTTTGTATCAAAAAGATTAATTTCTGTAAATTTTTATCGATTAATGTTAATAAATTGTGAATTACAAGAACTATTAATTGAGAATTTTAAAATTTGATGATTTACTATTGGTTAATAAGTATGAGAGATAGTTTGATATGAATAAACTGTGTATTTATAACTAAACATTAATATTTTTTTTAATTAGTGTTAAAACTCTATAAAATTAATTTTTTGATACAGAGGGAGTAGTAAATTATGTTTTTAGTGTAGAAAAAATAAAAACAAAAAAAAAATTAGTTTTTTAAACTTTGTGCTTTTAGCCAAAACATCTTACATTTTAAAACAGAAAGAGTAATTTCTATTCATATATACTTTACTTTTAGCTCTCTCATTCCGTCATTCATTTATAGGTGTTTTTCATTGTTTAATTGTTCGCTTGGTAATGTCAAGTGTATATCCTTGGGAAGTGTTTTAAATGCAACTCCCTCTGTTTCAAAATATAAGATATTTAAAGTATATGCACACATAATTAGATCATTTATTTTTCTTTTTTAAAATATCATTTATATTTAATTATAAAAGTTTTAATCAATCAAAAAAAGAACTGCAGAATATTAATGGTTACAAATTATCAAATGCATTTAAATCTACATGAAAACTTGTAAAACATCTTATAATACAAAATTAAATCACTAAAACATCTTCTATAATGAAACAGAGGGAGTATCCATTAGGAGAAACAGAAATAATAATCCTCAATCGAGAATGGTATAAAGTACGTTAATACCTTTTTTTTTTTACAGCATACATTAATACCTTTCTTCCATTGGATAAATAGAATAAATCAGCTATGTACTAAGATGAAATATTATATAATTTTACATTAATTAAAAAGATTAATGTAACCTATCAGTTTAATTGTTTTGGATTTTTTTTTTTTTCGGTGAGCTTGTTTTGGATTATCGTTAAACTAAGAATTAAGCTGGTACTACGTACGGATCAAAAATAATTTCATAAATAAATTTTTTTCTTTTGAAAATATTAGTTAAATTAAATTAAAACAATAGTCAAAAGTTGAGAGCAAAAGGTTAGAAAATGATAAATTAAAATTAAAACAGTAGTAAAAAACAAAGAAATATAATAATACTTTTTATAAGTAGGAGAAAAGATGAGATTGTAAATCACATATTCTTTAATTTATAATGGTCTTAGTCTAATCTAAATCTATTAATGTAAAATGCAAAAGAAGAACTTCAATAAAAAATGTTAAATTGAAGAACGTATTATTACTAGGTTATGAACCCCCGCGATGTCGCGGAGGAACTAATTTTCAACAAATATATTTGATTGTATTTATGTATTAAATTATTATGATAATATATTCAAATATATAAATTATTACATAAAATTAACTATGTTTTAAAGTTATATCATAATTATTTTCTCAAGATGTTAAAACAATTTATGAATAAAAATGTACAAAAGAAGAATTATGATTAAAAACACTTTTGAAACATTTTTTATGAATGTAAAATTATTTATAAGTGACAAAATACATAACGAAGAGTTATAATATAGAGATGAGAAATTCTAGCGGGTCAAAACCCAAAAATTTGGATGGAGTGTACTCAAAATGACTTGTGGGTGACTAAGAACTTCGCCCGAGAATTGATATTTTTTGTTTGCCCACTGTTTTTAAAATATAAGATTAATAATTATTCTATTATATATATTCGAGAATATAAAATTTGATGACGTAAATTACATCTATAACAAAAAAATAAACATTTACAAGATCTCACAAATTTATATTTATATTGATAAATTAACTGAGTAAAAAAACTTCTTCCTTGAATAAACATTTGACGATTGGAATCATTGTTTTTTCCTAATAATGTAGATGATTTCTGGATTACTATACCATTTGAAACAATTCATTTGACGCTTACCACATTTAAAACGCCCAATCACAAGCGTCACATGAGGATGTCTTATCATATTCGGACTTTATAATAGTGTTAATGCAACATCAATATTTCCTTGTATACAACGCATATATATTTTCTTAAGATAAAAAGCATCATTATTACCATATAAAATGGTTAAATAAAAAAATTACTATATAATCAGTCCAATTCTAAGAAAAATTGTTGGTATCTTCATTAGAATTTTATATATAAAGTTGATTAAAACTTCTCCATTTTTATAATCATTCCAAAAAACTTTTGTTACATCAAGAATAAGAAGAATTTCTTTAATATTAAAATGATGTATGTTTAGAAATACTTTAGAGAATAAAGAATTTGGAGCCATTTTACAGATTATTTTTTTTGGATTCATCTTTAAACAAATAATCTATGTTAAAGAACAAAAATTTGGAAACTACTTAGAAAGAAGGACAAATATATAGAGTTCAAAAGTCATGAACATTTAAATAGAAAACTATTTATACAAAGAGTTATGACAAAAAAGGCAATGAAATAGAGTGAAGAGATGTATTTAAATGAATAGATGCAACGATAAAGACATAACCGTAAACTGAAAAATACGACTATAATTGAACAAATAGAACTATCCCAAAAAATAAATGTCAATATTTTAACGAAAAGATGCGATAAAAATACACAACTTGAAAAAATAACCGTCAATATTTTAACGGAAAGATGCGATAAAGAGATCCAAGCGAAAAAAGTAACAGTCAATATTTTAACGGAAAATTGCGATAAAAAGACAAAACCAAAAAATAACCGTCAACAAAAACAAGTAACCGTCAATATTTTAACGAAGAGTTGTGATAAAAAGACACAATCGAGAAAAAATAACCGTTAATATTTTAACAAAAAATTAGGATAAAAAAACACAAATGAAATAGTAACCGTCAATATTTTAACAGAAAGTTACGATAAAAAGACACAACAAAAAAAATAAACGTCAACGAAAAAAATAACCGTCAATATTTTAACGAAGAGTTGCGATAAAAAAACACAACCAAAAAAATATCCGTCAATGAAAAAAGTAGCCATCGATATTTTAACAAAGAGTTGCGATAAAAAGACACAATTGAGAAAAACTAACCGTCAATATTTTAACTAAGAGTTACGATAAAAAGACACAAGCGAAAAAAAAACTGGCAATTTTTTAACGAAGAGTTGCGATAAAAAAGACATAACCAAGATAAAATAACTGTCAATATTTTAACGAAAAATTGCGATAAAAATACACAACCGAGAAAAATAACCGCTGATATTTTAACGGAAAGTTGCGATAAAAAGACACAAACAAAAAAAGTAACCGTTGATATTTTAACGAAAAGTTACGATAAAAATAAACAACCGAAAAAAGTAACCGTCAATATTTTAACGAAGAGTTGCGATAAAAAGACATAAACCGAAAAAAATAACCGTCAATATTTTAACGAAGAGTTGTGATAAAAAGACACAACCGTTTAGAAGTGTAAAAAAAAAGCATAAACATTTAAACGAAAGGTTGCAATAAAAAGACGCAACCGTTCAGATGTGCAAATGATATTTATTGGAAACGACATAACCGTAAAAAAATAACCGTTTACAACGAAAATTGTGATAAAAAGACGCAACCAAAATAACCGTAAAAAAATAACCGATTTAAACGAAAGATTGCGATAAAAAGACGCAACCGTTTAGATGTGCAAATGGTATTTATTAGATTGCTATTATATATAGATTTTCTTTCCTTTCTAGCCAATGCAAAGATTAAAACTTACAATTCCTTTGGTTTCCAGTCTTGCGTGAGATTAGCAAGCTTCCTACCTATTTGGATTGGACCTAAGGAACATAAATAAGAAGATTTTTAAAAACTGTACAATTTACTCAGCTTAAATCTAAAGGAGAAAGGTTTAGACTTTAGATCATGTTTGAAAGACAAATAAAAACAAATACAACAGATTGAGATATTTGAGGAACATTTTAAAGCCAATTAACCTCTATATATGAAACTTTTGCAATGAACAGATTGAGATAGACAAACCTTGATTCTAGTTTCTGAAAAGCGTCCAAAGAACTTAATTTTTTTGTTGACGTTAGGAGCCACAAACGGAAGAGAAGAATCATAAGCTGTTTTTATTTAAAAAGTTATTGAAACTTAGTGATTTGTAAGAAAATAAGAAACCTAACGAAGTAAAACGATGCTTAGAGAAATGATATGGATGACTAACTAACCTTAACGCTGCCGAAACCTTGCAGAAACAGAGATGCAGTTCAATACTAATGTTCGGCATCGACAATAAAAAGTAACATTTGCTTTTCTTTAACTTTATGGATTGTTATTATCGTCACTGTTTTTGATAGGATCATGGGAAGACAAATATTGGAGGTATCTTGGGAAGCAAGATGTGCTCTTGCTCCCCAAGATACCTCCAATAACAAACGGTTAAGATGAATCAAAACCTAAAAACAGAATTGGAAAGAGTGATTAGTAAACAATGTGATGATAAACCCTAAAATCAGAGACATGCAACAACAATTGAAACATAAAGTTGTCGCTCAAGAATTAAAGTTGTAGCAAACAACAACAAAAAAACATGATCTAATTGTTCCCGTAAAGATGGTAACGAAGCCAATCTCTTAAAACAATTAGACCCGTTGAATATCAACCGAAAATTTAAATTTTTTGACCTCAATAAAGTTGCAGAAAAGATAAAACAGAAAAAACAGGAAAAAAAAAAAAAAAAAAGCGATGTAAAGGCTTTTGTAGGGCAGTGGAGAATTTAGGGATCGTGGTGAGATTTGAAGAATGTGAGTTGATGAAAGTGGGAAGTTGGATTAAGGATCGTGGATTACGAAGAAGAATCAAATCTTTTTTTTTCCCTTTTTGCACACGATCTTATATGGGAAAAATGTCACTAAAATACTTAATTTATTGAAAACGTTGATTTAAATCTTCAACTCTCGACGAAATGAAATAAATATCAAATTTATGTTGACAGACTATGTTAATGGGGTTAATTTTCTGTTAACAGATTAGTAAATTAAAAACGACAGTATTCTTTCTTACAATAAAACAATGTCTTTTTTGTTGTAACTCTTCAATAAAATCCCGAGTTTCAAATCATATGAAGATTTAGGGTTAGGAATTTGTTCAATTTGAAGATCTCTCATTGAATTTAGGAATTTAATTCAATCGTTATGACAAAATGACGTCATTTTGTTGTTCTAGGAAACTATGTCGTTTTGAATTATCATGTATGTTAACAGAAAATTAACTTTGTTAGCGGGATCTGTTAACCCACTTAACGTCATGACTAATATGGCCAGGTCAACGAAAGTTTAGTATTTATTTGGAAAGTCAACATAATTTTAATATTTATGTTGTTTCGTCGGAAGTTGAGGATTTAAATCAACGTTTTCAATAAGTTAGAGATTTTAATGACATTTTTCCCGATTATATTGTTGTATAATTATTTTTTTGAAAATTAAATTAAATTGTGAAATAGAAATCTATGTGGCAGTATTCTATTGGCCATATTACTTCTGATTTATAATATAAAGGATATATAAAGTCGAGGGACATTTTTTCCACAAACTTGATCTCTAATCAAAGATTTGGCTTGTTTTGTTAGATAAGGTTTGTCTTCAGGCGAGCAAGAATCGACAAGAAAGCAAAATATCTGACGAGTCCAACATATTTTTTGTTTTTTTAACTTATATTTAATCTAATTATACAAGAAATCAATAAGTAAAAAAGAAACAATCGACCGTATACGGTGCCACACAAGAAAGCCAGTTCATGTCTGTCTCGGTACCTGTCGATGACAAAATGAAAACAAATTTAAAACTTGGGAATAATTAGAGCATTTTAATTATAATAGCGCTAATTGACTAATTAATGACAATACTGAAAACCCTAACGAGAAATGGTTAACATCATTTTATATTCCTAGAAAATGTTGACACCGTCTATTCATTTGACCAAGGGAGAATATAAATTCCCAAGGTCTCTTCTGCCAATGAACTCAATAAAAAAATACTCAACATTTCACAAAATTACTCAAAAAGTGGGATTTATTGGTTCTTGTGTTCTTAGCTATATTCTTTATTTTTAGAAATAAAAAAATAAATAACATGTTTATAAAAAGAAAATTTTGACCAAACCAAAAAGGTCACATATATGAGCTGACATCAAATCCGTAAAGCTTAGTTAAATACTTAAATCACAAGACTTCAGTTACAGATATTAGTTTCTAAAACATTGATATTCATTTATTACATAAACCGACAATAATCAAATTGATTATATTTTATTATATTTTCTGTAGAAATATTTAAATATTTTATATTATATTCCCTCTATTTTAAAATATAAGATGTTTTAAAAATTTGTTTTTTTTTAAATATAAGATGTTTTACAAATTTCTATGCAACTTTAAATAGATTTGATATTTTATGGCTTTTTATATTCTGCAATCTTTTATATCATTGGTTGAATTTTCTTAACTTAAATATTAAATGATAGTTTTTTAAAAACAAAATATAATTTCTTAAAGTATATGCTTTTAGGTAAAACATCTTATATTTTGAATCAGAGTAAGTAGTTACAGAGTGAGATAGGTTCTTGAGGTTAATTTCTATAGCCATTTCTACACACTTTTGCATACTAATCTATAGAAACTATATATACATATATATATATATATATATATCTTTGGTTACAAATATGAATTATGTTTTTTTGGTAAAAAATTATGGTTAAATCGTCGTCGGATGATTACAAAACAAACAAAATTTAAATAGTTCTGATTGTCAAAAACAAAAAAAAAGTTCTGGAAATCATTTATAAAAATATTCATGAGCACTTTGTTAATAGTGTATATATATTAATAATAAAAAGGTGAATTAAGTTTAGTTACCAGGAAATAAGCTTGGCCATGTTGTAAAGAATGCATCAAGAAACCAAACTCATCAGTGGGAAGAGGAAGACCAGAGGAATGAAGTAACACCGAATCTTCACCGAACATTGCTTTCATGTCTATTGCTCCTTTTGTTACTTCCGTCGGAACTCCGTTTATAAACACCGTCATACACCCTTTTGGAAAGCAAAAAAGGAAGATTATTATACAAGAACAAAAATAGAGATTGAGAATTAGCTCTCAAAATACAACATGTTAGCCTAACATAAAAATACGATTTGAAACCCTCCTAGAAAAAATGGTTGGCTCTTTCTTTCTCAATTTCAAAAATTCATTTATAGAAATATGAGTCATCCAAATATTTATAATTAAATTTAAATGGATAGAGAATGTTGATTTTTAGTTAGAAAGGGTCCCGGTTTTATATCTAGAAAACCGAAAATTTACGGCGTAAAAAAAGATATATGAGCCATGCAAATGAATGATTCACCTTCTTGGTATTGGAAATTGGAGTTTTGAACAGACGGGTTTAAAACTGATGCAGCATTTGAGCTGTGATGCTGCTGCTGATGATCAGATTCGTGGCCATACATTTTGAAGAGATTCTCCATACCATTGTTGCTCTCATACTCACCACTTGGAGAAGAGAGTCCGAGGAAAAAGGAAGGGACTTGCGATGAAGACGATCCATTAAGGAAGTAACTAGCTGATGAGTTACTATAACTTCCAAACCCCAAACCAATCTCGCTGTTGCTGCAAGGATATTGATGCATGCTCATGGCCGTCATGTGCTGGTGGTCTTCAGCTCCTATGGAGGTGACAGCAGCGGCGGTGGCTGCTTGGAGCTGCCGCTGTCTCCGGCGAGATCTTGACCTTCGATTTTGAAACCAGTAGAAGACATTTGCGTCTCCCACTGCACCGAATTTCTCAAGCATCTTTCTTATCCTCACCGTTTCGTCTTTTGGTGGGTTAACAGTACCACTGTTGAAGATAGATTCAAGTATCAAGATTTGCTCCGGTTTAGGTGACCAACGTGCCCGGACTGGTTCGGTGGATGTGGAGGATGGACTATGCGATGCACCTTCTTGATCCATTTGCTATCAAGATTGCTTGATTTTTTTTTTTTTTGGTTGGATTATGGATATTAGGAAGAAAAGAAGGAGATGTTGTGGTTACTTGAGGAAAGATTTATGTAATATGTAATGAATTTATAGGAGAGAGATTCTCAATGAGTTTTTTTTTTTTTTTTTTTTTTTTCCATAAATATTAAGCTACACTATTTTAGTGCTTAGATTTAAATATTATATAGGATACGGTCGAATATGTTAACACGTACTCCGAAGGCGAGTTACAACTAGCAAGAAATGCTTATCATTTGATGGTATAACAAAACTAGCAAGAAATGCTTCCACACCATTGCATTATTGGACCAACTCACAAACAAACCTTGGTTCACGTTTTTCTCAGTCTTTAATTTAAATAAACTTATATTAGTGTTCTCAGATTGATAATACTGCATATTCACACTAAAAAAATGTAAAGAAATTGCAAATTCGTATAGCAAAATCTGATTATACAATTGGGGGATGTGCCTTTAGTCAAGTGGTTAAGTCCACTTGACTCCGCCTTCTCCACCGGAGTTCGACTCCAGTAAGTCACGTTACTCCGCGTAGTAGGGTTTGGCTATGGATCGGACCTTGTCGATCCAAAGATGTCAAAAAAAAAAATTTGATTATACAATTGTGAAAACACAGGTTATGGATGTCTTGCTTTCTGCTGTAAATATGATCAAGATATTTTAGCAAGTTCTTCATAAATTTATCTTTATTAAATAGCAAATTATTGTCCAAAGGCGAACTGGTTACTTTTTAGATATAAATGTGGACATTAGATTATTGACGTCCTTGCCGATGAGCAATTCCAGCTCGCCCTCCTCGCGCCGACGAGATCCTCGGACATGGAACCCTCTTCAACGTCACCCCGTCTTTTGACAGTGACCAACTTGTCATCCATCGATTCGCTTGTGGAAGATCACTCGACTAATCGTGACCTCACATGTTTCAGAAAGCTTTATAGCTTTTGTCTCAAAGCTCTCATGGAATTTATGTCGTTTCACCTTATCTATCTTGTTATGACATTGGGGAATGTCTCTTTTATCTCTGTTTTAAACTTTGTGATCTTTGAATCACCCCTCCTTGTACTTGGTTTGATTTGAATAAATGAAAACAAGTCTTTGTCCCCAAAAAAAAAAGATTATTGACGTCATGCAACAGAGTTACAGAGGCCAAAAAGATTTTGTTTGTCAAGTAGAACTTGTCTTTGATTGAGATTTTGATTGATATGACAAGTTTGTGAATACCTCACGCACATAGTATATAATAACAACATTAGCCGATCAAAACTATGTAGAGTCATTTTTAAATATTTCACTCGAAAAAAAATCTTATAATGAAATAATTAATATCAACGAGTTATTTAAATACATCATAGTTGATCGAGAAATTTTATAAACTAACAATAAAAATGACAAGAAATAGATATTTAGGATCTTATTTCACCTTTGCATTTAGTTTTCCAAGTTACGCTTGCGTTGTATCTGACCAATGACCAATGAAAAGTACTTTACTAGTATATCCACGAGAATTACTTATTAGATCAAGGTGGTACAGCAATCAATATATCTTAGTACATTAATTTTAGAATTCGTTCGCGTTTATTTTAGAATAAAAGTCTGGACTAAAATGGAATTTAAGTATCCTGATCACGTCGCTATATGATCGGATAGACCTTGGTTTAGCTGGTGTGTATTAAAATCCATATTGACATCAAACGATCATTTCAGAAGAAAGATAAACCAGCTGAAATTTTAAATCTTTATCGTAACGAGATGTTAAAAAAAATAAAAAATTGCCTCTTTAACGTGTTTAAACAATAAAATCTAAAACTCGAATAAACAAGAAAAAACAAAACAAAACAATTGTAACATCTAGTTACGAAAAAGATTTAAAAAACAAAACAAAATAAGCTTCTGTGAACACAAATCAACTCTATAAAAAATTAATTTGATAAAATGATATCGTATTGATAATATATATTTTTAATTACCGCCTTTTGATTAATAATAAAGCTCTCCGTGTACCGTATGTGTATGTATTGGTAAGTGTGCATGTACGTATGCGGCAGGGGCGGATCTACATTAGTTTACATGGAGCAGTTGCCACCCCTAATTTTTTGAAATCTTTTGAAAATTTTAAGGAATTAAATTTATTGCCCCCAATAAAAAATCTCTCTTGCTCCGTTAAATTTGTGTTTTCCAAAAATCTCTCTTCACGTTACATAAAAAAGTGGTAAATGAATATTGCATATCTCTTATCCCCTATAATTTAGCTAAATAGTAAATTTCTTACAAATTTAAATCCAAATATGACAACGTAATCTAAAAGCATAGACCATACCATTTATTCCCTTTGAATCAACTAATAAATTAATGTTTGAAATTTTGGTCTCTTCCCAATAGCTTTAGTGATTTATAGTTATGGTAATTGGTTTCTCTATAATATTTCTATGTATTGTATTCCAAATTTTTGAGTTTTCTATAAAACAATAAACTAAAATATTAATACAAAATCTAGTAAATTTAAACTTTAAATCAAACTAAATATGACAATTCAAAATCTCTTACTTTTTCATAATGTATTGCTCTTTGATTCGTTTAAACTTAAATGATTTTTAATAAAAAATAGAATTAACTTAAAAATTTTATTATATAGTATAATGAAATAAATATATCATAAATAACATGAAAAAGTATATTAAATATTTTTTATTTATTATATATATTTATTTTTACATAAAATATAATCTATTATATAAATATCGTTCGCCCCCTATAAAAAAATTTTCTGGATCCGCCACTGGTATGCGGTATGCAAATATAATAGACGTTAAAAGGTAAAGAGTGTCGAAAGATACAATCGGCGACAATCTGTTTCTTTCAGATGCATTCTGGTTTTTTTGACGATTTATGTTAGTTGCTTAGCTGTTTCATTTATTTATTTTTCTATTTTCTCAAAATACTAGTATATAAAACTCCAGTTTTCTTACTAAGGCATGTGTGTCAATGTAGTTATTGTGTGTTTACATCCATATTCAAACATGCATATACTGTATGAGATTTTTAAATTAACGATTTTTCTTTGTACTTTATCTTGTTTTTTTTTTTCACATGGCAACCTCTTAAAATTATAACAATCAAACTATTTGGCATGTATTTGTTTTTTTTTCTTTTCAAAATGCTATCTTAAATTGTTAGTGGTATTTTTGGTTAAGAGTATAATATCTAATGAAATTTTGTAAAAGGAATTGCGGTTTATGGTCAGATATAGAAATTACAACTTAAGAATACAAATATTATGTATACTAGCTCATAAATTAGACCTACCACTTTTAATGTATACACACTTTCACTGAAATTCCCTTTTATATTTGTTATACTAGGTTTTAGAATCCCTTTTAGCTTTTAGAATTCATGCACATGAGGAAACAGCCAAACTACTACTAGGAGCAGTGAACTCATCCTCCCGTGACTTGTTTAAATAAAAGGAATCAAAACAGCTACATTACTTTACTTACGTCTGCTGCACATCTTTCTTTAATATTTTTTCTTACATCATATATTTCTAAGCGGTAAAGATTATGCAATTTCTTTTTATATTTTATATTACTGAATGTGACTGATTTGATACAACCGGGTATTACTTGTCTTTTATAACTTCTCTACCTGTTTGTCCTTTTTATATGTTACGTTCTATTGAATTTCTTAAGGGCTATAATTGTATTCATATACACATTATATACTATCTCTATCCACTTCCCATCATCCAAACCACAATCCAAAAGCTGCTTTTGGGAGGTTGAAGACTTGAAGTAAAGCCCAATATATATATATATATATATACATACTAGATATATTGATGCACTTAAATCTTCTATAATTCACTACGGTAAATCGAATAGTTATGAGCCAAAACCCCCTATATTTTCTCGTTGAAAGATAAGTTGTCTTCATGTCAAGTAGAAATTGAATTAGAAAGCTCAATGACGTATAATTTTTGGAGGATCCGAAAACTCGCGACCCACTTAGTAATGTACCTATATATTTTGTTAAACTATAGAGATAAATGGATATAATTAAAATCCTTAAAACAGAGTAATTGTAATTATAAAATATAATAAAATAATAATTATTTGATTCACAATCTAATCTACGGTTAAAATACAAATGAGTCTCTAGCTACTCTACAGTTAATATATATGCCCACAATACGTCATGAGGTATCGGAAAATAAAACATTGACATTGGTAAAAGTCTTATAGTAAGAATAGAGTAGACCCCTAGGGATCAGGCAGAGACTGTACGAGGATTCACAAAAGTTATCTTTAAGCCACTCTCTTTGTGGTCCTGATGACCAAAATCTTGTAAGACTTTGAGACTTCTTCTTCAGAAATCTTTCTTATGTGGTCCTGCTCTGTAACATGTACGGACGGACTCTCCCTTCATATACATGCATGATATTAATAAAGACATACCTTTATTATAATTTATATGAGAAGATGTGTTGATCGATCACATGGCATATGGACATATGTAGTGTGTAAATAATCACTAAGGTTCTGCGTTTGTACTTAGTATTAAACAATATTTATTCTTTAGCTATACAATTAACCATTAATAACCAGAACAAGAACTAATATATATACACTGTTAGTTTGTCCATTTTTTTTTATGTTACTGCAGAACGGCAAGCATAACCGAGACGATTGCATTTGATCACTTTTCGTACTTTCGTGGATCTCTACAAGACTAAGAGCATGTTTATCCATGATATTTGATGGGTATCAGCCCATGAAAAATATTAAAAAAATTCATTTTGGGTTGAGACTGGACTGAAACGGTTCAGTGGGTAGAGACTTCTAATACGGTTTCATTCGACATTGATTAAACAATTAATTAATTTAGTACTAAAAAAATGCTTGTGATACTCATAGGGTTTTATTGATAAACATGCTCTAAAACAGTTTGTGAAAACAAAAAGATTTCTTTAGTTTATTTGAAATCTCAAACTGAACTTAGATTCAATGAAAAACTTTTGTTATTAATTAAATATGTTTAATTGGTCATATATAAATATATATTATATGCCATTATGTTGCATAAAGAATATAGAGCAGTATATATACT